GGAACTGTCCCTAGGAGCTATACATCACCATACGTAATATTACGGTTTAGAATGGCACTTCCCAATTCCGGAAGGAATCGCGATGTTCATCTAAAGAGGCCAAGAGCGAGCAACGATGCTGTAGCGCAACTTACGGCGGGCATTCGCCATGATCGGCTTGGATAGACATCAGATCCCTAGGTCTCCTCTAGGTCTCCTAGAAGCTAATGTGATGGAGCTCTGGATGAAGATACGGGCGAATATTGGTGACGTGCTCAGTATAGGAAAGCCGGGCATCGGACTTTTGACGAGTTTGGACTTTTGTAAGCACACTTCGTATCACCTCATCAGCTCGAAGCTCGAAGAGTCAAAAGATAGACGATTTGGAGGTAACAGTCGTCAAAACCAGCAAACACAAGCGAATTGAAGCGGGGGCAGACTAAGCACAGGACCTTCAGAGGGATGACGGAAGAAGGTTTTGATCCGGTAACCACCACATTTTTGGAAAAGAAATGGTATTATGGTATTAGGCAATGCTGTGACTTTATCGTGAGTGCCAGAAACAAATGTGATGTGGTCTGTAACGAGAAGGTAACGAAGAAACAGGGTGTGAACAAATAGGACAGGTAACCCATGAGATGCCACAGCGTGCAAAGAATCGTGAATCGTGCAGAGAGTTCGTTGCAAAGCGTGGCAGGTGAAAAGAGCAAGTTTGTCTTGGCGTTGAGATATGATTGGAAATTCCCGGTGGCTGCCGGAGCTAAGAGCGAGGGGGGGGTGGGGTAACAACCTTACTGCCTTAGCTGCTTACATACATAGAAACCCCTAGCACAGACCATTATAGGTATCCACATATCCACATATCCACATATCCACATATCCACATCCCACATTTGTTGAAGGTTATCAGGGTTATCTAGTCTATGTACCTAAGTACCTCTATAGATCCCTGAAAAAGGTAAAGGGGGGGGACCCCTCTTTGTCAGAAGCTGGCATCCCCCCCTTTGTCCAATCTTTTTATTATACACTAATCACTTACCTACCTTCACCAGTTACCTACATGTATGTCTCGGATTTACTGCCAATGGCTATTCAGCGATTCCGACGGATAGTAATATTCTAATCGCCGGTTTCGCGACGACTTCTAATATTTTACTAGTAGTGTAAGCATTGCTCATAGTTAGGTAAGTAACGTAGGTCATGAGGTTTTTGTTTCTAGGTTTGATATGTTGTGCTTCGGCCGAGTTTCACACCGTTGGGGTTTAGGATTCGTACCCAAGTAGAATCCAGTTTGTAAGTGATTTGTTACGAGCCTATCTATCTCCTATCTCCCGAAGTCCTCCAAAACGTGCCCAGGTAACATGCAGCTAGAATATCTCCGCTAGGTATATCGTGAACTACACGCGAACTCGATAGCCTAGCGGGGCGTAGGATCGCCTAGTCCAAGGACTTACATAATAAAGATCCTTCTATAATCAAAGCAAGGCAGACTAGGCTATACAACCCACAAGCTTCGTCATAGTCTTACGAAGTCCCTTGCCTTACCAGACTTGCCTTACCTAATATCACGGTTCACAGTTAATACATTACTTGTCTTCAACACGAGGCGACGCGGGAGGCGCAGCGCCTTATGAACCTGGCCAGCTAGCTGATCACGATAGTCTCTAACCGGGCCCACGGCGCTAGGATATAGCTTGTGGAGCTACTATATTTTATATTAATTCTCCACGCTTAAGACATTGAGTATAGTATAGAAACCTATACGCTAATAGAACACGTGGAATTTTAATTGATGCTTAATATAGATCGAACTATCAAAGATACCTAATATATCACAGTAGTACAAGCATAAGACATTTCTTTCAATTTATTCCATGTCCTTGGCATGACCTCAAATTAAGCCTCGAAGCTATAGCGTAAGTCATTTGACATGGGAGGGGTGTGTGGCGTCAAATAAACTAGGTAGTTGCAGATTCGCTTCACCGAATCTATCTGCCTCTGAAGAATCTTTCAACTGAATCCCCGTTCCGACGCTCCCCCGGTTCCCGGTCCGGTTCCCGGTCCCGAGGCGTCTCAGGTTATACAATATCTCGAACATTAAAATTCACATTACAGATACTATTTGGCTATTTATAACCCTCTATTAAGACAGGATGGATCTAGCTTCGCAAATTAGGCACCATTCGAGCGACGCCACAACGTCGGATTGGGAACCGACATGTAAGCTATGCGTGCTGTCCATTAATCACATCAGTTGTGTGACTTATCCCACGCGACGAAAACGCCAAAGGTCGGAACCGTGCGGGGGGACGCGTCGGGCCGCGTCTGAGTGCATGGCAGCCACTCCGGGACCGACTTCAATCCTTAATGTGCTCTTATTTGGATGCATATTATTGGAGCCATCCTCTTCCGCAAAATTAGGATTCGGGAATAACAGTGAGCCAGGCAAATATACCTCCTTAAAGGAGCTTTGAATTTCTTCAGATACTCATGGATCCTCATCACGAGCGGAACGTAAAATTGATTCTCTACCTATAAGCGCCTGAATATTCATGACCTTCACCTTCCTTCCATACCGGGATGCCGGCGGGATCGAGCTCGGATTAGAGCCAAATACTTTACATAGGGTTCTCTCCTTATCCCTACTGTTTAAGTTGCACTGGAAAAGTACTGGGATACTAGGTATATAACACTTGGAAGGGGGGATCCTACATTTTTACTACAGGAAAGATATAGCTAAAATTATTCCCAAGGAAAGTATCACGTATAAGGCGTAATTGCTCGTTAGCAATTACGGCGTCGTTTTTGCGACAGAAAGTAAAATTTAATAATTTCACCAAGAAATAGAAAGAAAGAAAGAGCTGCGCTTACATCAGATTGGTGTAGAGATGAAGAGTGAGATGAAGAGGGTAGAAATTACTTTGTTGACTACCTTCAGGAGAACTGCCAGCCCCTGTCTCTATCCTTAAGGAGCATATTTCACCATCGGGTGGTGGCAAACTCCTATCAATTTCATCAAATAGCATTTTGCATTTCCCCGGTTCTGGTTACTATATGTACACACAGTAAAAAGTCTCGAACCACTCTAATAATCACAAGCTCGAGTCATCTACCGTATCATGTCTTCGTATGTATCTAGACTTATTTCTCGACGAGTATTTTTTACACTTTAGATTACTTCCACGTCATGCTAACTACTAATATATTTTACCATTCATAATGAAGAGAACACCTAGAGCTAGGAGAAGAAGTCCGAATCAGTAATTTACGAATATCTTCTACCTAAAGTACCTCTGTAGACAATGGGTTTTAATGATAACTTTATCATCCCTTCTCGTTGTTAGGCTCTTACATGTTCTAAGACTTGTACTAGAGTAGCGAAGAGTTCCTGTACTGATAGGGGTATGAAATTAGCTTAGAACATGTTCCCCGGCAATACATAGCAATACATCAGCCGTCTGGGTATAGCAATGCTAGATACCTAAGATACCTTGTTCGTTCTATATTAATTCCAAATTTAACATCTCTGGTCACAAGCATTTTCACGGTAACAGACTTTTATCGAGCCCTGATCGAATAATTTAGTATATTAGATTAGCTAGGTATTGTTCGATTCGTAGTACTAACTACCTTAGGTGCCTAATGTGCCTAATCCAACATAGGAGGCCTCAGATGACTGTAGGCAATTCGACATTCCATTCAGTTCCTTATAAAAGTATTTCCATAAAGAGATATAATAGACAAAGCTATAATGAGAACGGGTGCCAAGAATGATATAGTGAGTACTGGATCGGCCTTATAACCGAGTATAGAAGCATGTGGTATGGAATTGATCTAGAATCCTTGATTGAAACATAAGGTTCGACAAGATGGTATCCTTGCAGGCAACCCCCACGCTCGCGGCTCATATGAGACGAGGCATATAACTTAGATTCCCACCTTCACAATACGCCATATCTACGTTATATCTCGCCTTACTATATACGAATATGGCAGGAAGGAGAGATTTATAGTCATATACCTAGTAAAGGCGGCGACATTGGCTGAAATAGGCAAAATTAACATAAAGCCAAATAGGAAAGACAAAGTGAAAGATTTACACATGCTAGGTAAATCGAGCACGCGAAATTTGGGCTTCCCCAGTAGTTCTATCAGGCCGCGGGCGCCTAGCTTATAATAGCTTATAGCATATACCACTCCCGCGGCGGGGGTAGCGACGGGCCCGTTCCCTAGTCGGGGTAAACCTCCATGATTCTTCGTTTTCCATGAGCCTCATACAGGCCAGGCTAACACTAGCTGCCGCAAGAACCAGAGACATAGTAAATTTGGAAATGATGCGGCAAGATTTCTTACACATGTTCGACAAGTTCGTGTCTTCGGTTGTGCTGCTTACTCTGGGCTAAGCGAAGGGGGGCGATATCGCTAAGCAAGAGCTGAGCTGTGAAGAAGATACGGAATTGCTGGAGGGCACACAAAAATTCCACCTACCTATAGGGCATTTTTGATAATCATGACTAAACGATTTTCATCACGTAGTCAAATGTGGCGAAGCTCGAAGCCCGTTGCGGAAGGAGGGAAACACAATGCCGAAGCACGATCGTGATTGGTAACGGGAGCAGCCAGTTCAGGGAAATTCATATTCAGAGTAGTATCCTCGGAATTAAATCAAGACGCGGAAAGACGAAAAACCGACGAATCTGGCCCAGCGCCCTATGCTATCTGGTCGGCCAATACTATCAAAGCTATAATCAAGAGAAGCGAGAGAATATTGTTGCTAAGTAAAATGAATCTCAGATCATCGCATATGAGCACCTCTCACTCGAAATAGTCATCCCTATGCCGTTCGCAAGAACCGTTCAGTGATCCCAACGGGTTCCAGCAGATGAATAACGCAGTATACCAAGAGTGCAGTGTGATGCTCGATATCTGATAGAAGGTCTGTATATCATCACGAGTCAGCGGACCTTAAGAGAATTCTTCTTGGGGAATAGGTAAGACAAACCTTGAGATTCATGAATAACTTAAAAGTTAGTCTGCATAGCCTCGGGGTCGTTCTCGGGTGCTGTGTCGACATGGCCAGCCTGGATGCTATCCTCTGCGTCGGAGGCAGGCTTAGTAGCCATCTCGGAGTCAATTGCAGACTTCTTCTGCGCCTGCGACGCATGTGAATTCTTAAGCTTAGGCTTCGTAGGGGTCTCGACATCTTCATTACCATCATCGCTTTCGTCATCCGCGGCTTTGACGTTGGACTTCTTCATGACGCGGCGTTTAGTGGCTTTGGCCGGCTTCTGCTCGTCTCCGTCGGAATCACCGGGATAGTCGTCCTGCATAGCGTCTTCTGCAGCTGCTTTGGCGCGTTTGGTTGTCTTCTTTGCAACTCGAGCCTTCTTGGCCTTAGTACCGGTATCATTTTCGGCGTCGGGACCATCCATGGAAGCTGCCGTGCGCTTTCGGCCCTTCGTGGGAGTCTTAGCAGCTTCGCTACCTGCCTGTGAGTCCTCTTGAGGGGTGGGGCAGTCTTCAAGGTACTGCTTGCGGAGTTTCTGAAACTGATGCCTATAAATGAAGATCAGACACGTTTCGTACTCGTGAGTATAGACGCATAGATGTAGAAGCTAATCACCCCCAACTATCCCCATATATATAATGCTGGTGCAATGTACATATCGAAATGCGTAGTTGAGGTAGATACCAGACTAAGCCAGACTTACTTGACAGCCGGAAGGGTGTACTTGCCACCAAATACCTCCTTGGCCTTTTCAGCAATAGCCTTCCAGCCTTTGACAGCTAGTTCCTTGTTCTCTTCCTGCATGATGAGAAGGAGGAGACTCGCATTCTCGTCGGAACTCCACTTAGTAGAGTCCCCGTTACCAGCAGTGGCAGACTTGGCGGTCTTGTTAGACATTTTGTGACGAAAGTGTTAATGGAGAAGGATAGTGTAAAGAGGATACGACTGGCACAGAATATGTTAGTAAGACTTCACGTATTGCGGAGGAGGTGTACTCCCAGATTCCTACTCTGGTTGTAGAGGCAGAATAAGGGACAATCAGCAATATCGACAGTAGTTTCAAGGCAAGGGATTGTGGTTCTAGGGCAGGGGGTTATTTGGTGAAGGTCTCTGTTTCAGTTGAAGTCGGGCGACATCTACCTTTCCAAGAGACAACGATAACGAGGGACAGCTTCACGAGATATAAAGGGACAAGTACATTTTATTCTTCGGAACGCGGTAGATGGGATAGTGTATGAAGGGTTTAGTAAAGATCACGAGAGATAGGATATGTTGATTGCACAGGTGGTGTTACCTAAGGAAGGATGGCGAGGGGAAGGGATTGATAGATACCTACCTTTCGTAAATAGTTTGGGTATCAGATAAAATACCCAAGTAGAGTTTACAGATGAAGAAGATTTTATCTTCAAGAGATGAATGTGCAAAGTTTGGTAAAAAAGAGGTTGGTTGGTTTATGTCAAAAGGTAGAAGTTGAGGTTGATTTGGTAAGAAGACAAGAACGGGAGTACACGAACATGTAAATACCTGTTTAGAGCTGCTAAAAACTGAGGGAAGTTACGCAAGGAAACCGCAAGCCCGGTGATAGTTGCTCCTTCTGTTGCTAAGGACCGGACGATATCATAACCCCAGGCAACCACAAAAGGAGGTGCACAAGTCAAGCTACGCCAAACATTTTAATCATCCACCCACATCCGCAGAGATTTACCATTATTTGGTTTTTCTTCCTCTTCCTCTTCCTCTTTTCCTTTTCTTTAAAAGGTTCGACTAAGTGCCTCCTTGTGCTCTTGTGTCGATCGTACTGGTCGATGCACCTGGTCACTTATCCTCTATCTACAATTTATCGATTCAACAAAACATCTCTCTACCCTAGGTAGCCAAAGTTTTCTTCACTTCCCGCACATTTCCTCGTCGACTCAGGAAGAAAACTACAAGTGCAAATTTCAAATTCGGATATTGGTAAGTCCCACCTAATCATCACTATACATCCCAAACATCATCAGAAAAAAAAGAAAAGAAAAAAAAAACAAAGGAAGAAAAAAAGAAGACAGAGTCAATCGGAACTAATCAGGCCAAAACAATAGAAACATTAGTTCTCAAATATCCCCTTGAACCAAATCTTCAACTTCGATTTGGCATTCCTATCTAGTCATCTAGGTAAGCATCTAATCTTTTCAAACTCACACACTATAGTTGTACTCTCAACGCAATTCCCTTTACACTTCAACACATTCACAACCCTATTTTTCCACATTTGCTCTCCCACACTACTTCCCCCTCTCTACACTCGCGCGTGTACTCTCTTCTACAACTTCCCATGAGTTTTCTCCTCATCCTTCATTTAACAAACCTTGCCCAAAACGCGTCTCGGCTAACGGTCGTATCGACTAGCATTAAGCTCCTCACCATACAAGCTACGGCTTGATCTAAAAAGGATACTTACTTGCCCACGCCCTTCAGTTGTGCCAATGTAAGTCCCCATTTCTCTCGCCTATCCCATTAGGCTTAGCTGAGGTAGCCATTTGCTACCCACTCAGGTTACTAATTTGACCATAGATGGCTTCCAAAGCACTCCTAATTGAATTCCTTCCTAAAGAAGGATTTCAATGGTCTACCAACAGCGGGGCTCATTTCATCCGAAATGACCAAGCTCGTAGGGTTGTTCGTGCAATGAAATTGGCAGGGCGACGTCTCGATGAATCGGTCTGTACAGAATACATTGCCCATCTTTTCAACACCGCGAAAGACATGGTACATCGTTGCCGGGCATTTGACCCTCCTTCCTTCTGGGAATTTGTTAGCCGCCGTGTCTCATGGGCACAACGTATTAGCCCAGACGATCTGTACGACCTATCGATTCGAATCATCTCAGCCAGACGCATCTTTCTCGATCAAACGGATTACTGGGCGGATATGAAAACGGAGGGATCCAAGGACATCCCGGACAGCTACCTCATCCGCGTCTTCAATGAGGCCAACACGGCCGTGGACAGCTTTACCAGTGCAGTGGTTGATACCTATAGAAACCACACGAAAATCAGAGAGAAGTACTATCCCAAGTGGACCGATGACTCTGACAACGAAGGGACCGCTGAAGCAACCAAGGCGAGGTCCCTCAAGAATCGTGAAGCACCTCGCAATCCTTCTACCGACGCGACTGCAGAAGACCAAAGCAATGGTCTAGAAGGCGAATATGAGGAAATGGTTGAGATGGTCGAAAATGTCCAAATTGTCGATAGAATGGACGAGGGTGTGGACGGTGAGATGGACGAGATGGACGAGATGGACAAGATGGACTTTGAGATGGACAATTGAATAAGCAAAATAATCGGCGAAAGATACGAGGGGGCTGATGAAGTCGGCCTGGAGATGCAAATTCCGGAGGAAGGTGGATTTGCCCATACTATAGCTCTCTCCTTTCGTTTCCGCTAGAGGTTTGCCTCCCAACTTCATGACTACCTCCTACGGATAGCATATCTCAGTAGTCGGTAGCAAATAAATTACTCGTAGTATTATTATTTACACTATGTCCAATACATTAAGCCGCCAAATTTAGATGCGGCTGTGACTTCTACCACTTAACAGTGGAGTAAATTTGAAGGCTGAAGATCCTAAATAATAGTTGCAAATAAATTATTTAGGTACCTGTGGAACTATTCTTGTATTACAGGACGCATTGTTGATCCTTGAGGACAACGGAGCAACCTCTTGCTTTAGGTACCTATGTATGTAACCTTGGCGCCTCGCTCCTGCCTTTGATGCCTTATTCGTGACTGCCTTGATACCTAGCAAGTGCCCACAACTGTCCACAACTGCCAGGTGATATAGATCACCTGGCAACAGTACCTAAGTTGTCATGTACGTACCTTTAGTATGAATAGGTTATAATTATAATTAGAAGGGCAACTTTCACTCAAGAAGGTCGGCCTTCGGGTTGGGGACTTCTGTCACTCTAAGGATTATTTGGTCAAGTTGGTAGACCGCTGAACTTTCGGCTGCAGACGATAGTTCGATCCTGACAAGGGGCAGGTTTTCTCAGCTCAGAGCTTGCACCCCCAACTCAAACTTGGGTAGTTAAAGAGTCGAAATGATTTACTGTGATGCCTGGAGGAAGATCCACGACTAACCTTGAGAGTTATCTGAATGACTCTTTGGGCGTACTGGTGACAACAGGGACATTCTAGGATATGGACTACTAATCACTCCTAACATTTGGATTGCAATAGCTCTATTTTTTTTTCTGCTCCCCATCATTCCAAATATTCCAGATAAATTTAGTTATGTTTTTCATTCCTTTTTCATGACAACCATCCTTTCCATTTCTGCGCGACTTGGACTGTACCAACTTATCCCCAGTAAACAGATAACCTTCGAGGGTCAACTAACCCTTCCAATTGCACTACCTGAATTACCGGCAAGCTTGGAGTAATAATCTCTCGTATGCTATAAATATTTTCATTACATCGAACATAGGGGAAATTTCTATTGCGAGGTGGGCGTAGAGGGTACAGAAACAACCTTGTTATTCCACAAGATTTTCAAAGCCAAAAACTACACATGGAGGCTTGTAATTATGCGTAATAAAAGTATCCTTCAATGTAGATGCATCATCGAGAACTCTAACAGCGTAAACGCTTATGGAAAATAAAAGGTTGTAAAATAGGAAGAAGCTGTTAATGCTACTAGGAGTTATGCATTAGAATGGAGGAGCACAAGAAGGGGAATAGCAACCTGGACTGTGCGTGATATTCATGACATTGCTGTCGCAATGGACGGATGGGATTGACATGTACCTTCTGTACCTAAACATAGAGGGGTTATCATTGTAATTAGAAGGGAACTGCCAACATCAAATTGGGAACTTCTGCCCCTCACAGGATCACTTGGTCAAGTGGTTAGATCACCGAACTGTCGTCACGACAGTTCGATCCTAGTGGGAGGCAGGTTTTTCCAATTCGGAACCGTACATATGCACCCCCAACTCAAACTTGGGTGGTTAATGAGTCGAAATGATTCAATGTAGTTGCCTCGAGGAAGATTCATGACAGCTGGCAGTGGCTTCGCGCTCGGGTGGGATTGATGACCGAGGTTAATGTCTTGGTATTAAGCGACGCAATCACTCACAACCTTGGAAATGCAGTACGAGTTCCTATTTTTTTTTCGAAGCCTTTCTAATGTAAACCCTTAGTTAGCTACTCCGTCCAACGTAGATAGGTTAGGTAGGTACCTAACAACAATTCACTTCTACCATTTTTGGTCGGTATTTCTACAAACACACAAAAAGCCAACCGGATAGAAATTACCGTACAGTAAATGAACCCTTAGGTATATAGAAATTAGTTAAGCCAGAAGAAATATATAATAGCTTACCACAAATCACAGCTTTTATTCAAATAAAAATTAATTTTAATATTCGTAAGCAATCTATTGCCACCTACAGCCAACAAACCTCCAACACAGCATGTTATAAATACCTATAACATTTAATTACATAACAACCCATTAACTACACGTACCAAAGCCCTTCTGACAACCAGTACCACAGTAAGTACTTCCAGCGCCGCAATAACCATACTAGCTACAACACTGCCCCGAGGGACACGCCGTGCCAAACCCTGTTCCGCAGCGATTGTTGGTTGAAACCGGCAGTGGACTTCGTCGGGGCGGCGGTCGAAGTCGTACTCGGCGTCAGAGTCCGTGTGGAGGTCGTGGTGGAACTATGTAGTCGGAACCGGGGCCTGCTAAAAATAAACCGGGCTTACGTCAGCAATCTGATCTCCATTACACGTGGAGATGATGTCATATCATATATCAATATAAAGTTCATATCAAAGGACCAAGACGGACAATAGGGGAGGAAGGAAGGGGTTAGCAGAAATGTAACTCACCACGCAAGATAACTTCGTATCCGCCGTACTCAACGTATTCAAATCCCTCTTCATATTCTGATAAAAGTCCAGCCCGCTAGCCACATTCGCCGCCGAAATTCGCCCGGCAGCCCGACGAACAAGCGCGCGTTCTTGCTCGCCGTGCCGCCCAGCCACAACGTCCACGTGAAGCCGCTGGTGTTGGACGGCCCGCCGGCGAGGTAGTTGAGGTTAGCGGCGGCGGAGCATTGCGGCGTGTTGTATGTTGTATGTAGTATTGGATGAACAGCATGTCGACGATGCTGTGCTGCAGCGCGTCGGTGAGGTTTATGTCCGGGACGACGACGCATTGCGGCGACGCGGTGACGAAGAGGGTCTGGCCTGCCGCGGAGCTGAAGTTGGCGCGTAGCTGGTTCGTCGGCGCGATGTATCCGGCCCAGGTGTCGGTGGGCGGGTGCTCGATGTAAGTCTAGGTCGAAGCCGTCGACGCTGAAGCCGACGCCGTTGTAGTGTAGTCGAAGGGGCGCGGCTTGCCGGCGTTGACCTAGGTTGTTGTGCGCGGGCCGAAGAGGCCCTATGGCGTGCTGGCGAAGTTGGTGCCGTCGGTTGCGCCTGTGAGTTGGTACTCTGCTGTAGCTCCACCTAGAGATAGGAGAATCTTCTTGTTGCTCGTCTGGCGGCATGTGTATAGGTCGTGCTGGATATTAGGGCATTGGTAGAGGTGGTTGTTGGTCGCGTTGTTCACGCTGTTATATCCCGGGCCTGGATACACGCTATAATAGGTAGGTAAGTCAGATTGTATGTGTCATTTAAAAGTCGAGACTTCCGGACTTGAGAGTAGTAGCCCCCTATCCAAGTAGGCTAAGATGCTAATTTCTACCCCTGAGCCAGATCAAAAAGGGGTGAATGAAATGATACATACGTGGAACCGCATTGGTTTCCGAAGTTGCTCCCAGGAAAGCCATTAGCTTGTGCTGGGAATAAATTCACAAAAGATAAGACGATGACGTCGATACTCGAGTCGGCGCAATAGGTGCTAAGCGCAGGTTGATTTGGTCCTTGGTCCTTGGCCCTACGTTGGGATAATGAGTGTCAGAGGGGCGACACTGTGGAGAAGTAACTGCTCACGTAGTAGACGACGACGTTGTTCTTAGATGTTGTGCTAAACGCGGCCTGTGCGGTAGACAGCAATGTAGATGCCAAGGCAAGGCTGAAGGCGGAACGAATCATCGAAATTGAGTTTTGTGCTCTCGATGCTGTTAGACAGACGTTCTAATAAAAATGGAAATCGGGAAAATCAAACAATGATACGCCTACGAGGCTAGAATTCTACAATTGGCCTCGCTGTAAATGGCTTGCTTGGTCGAATGAGTTATTCCAGAGCAATAAGCTCGCGATGGTCTATTTTATAAGTCCAAGGAAGGCCCTCTAACAGATGACATACACACATCGCCTACACGCTTCCTAGGTCCTCATGAAATTGACTACGAGGTGCGTATCTCTATTGGCTCATCCTGATGATCACTGGTCCACCTACATGGTAAACATTTAGAAATACCTTAAGGGTCTGTCTAATCCACCTCTTTAATGGTCTACCATTAGATGCCACGGCTAGCCAATGGTAGCGCGACTCAGGCACGACTCTGGAGTGGCGAGGTCGGATTTTCGAATAATCCAGCAAGTAGCCATCTAGACATTAGCTGACTCGCTTGCGGAAGGAAACCGCACATAACGCTCAAGTCAGCCTCTTCATGGCTTTGTGATGTCATCAGCCTTCCCCCATCTTGACGTCTCGTCTCCGCCCGCCCAATCCTTCTCTACGTAACCCAGCAACTGCTTAACTTCCGCCACCTTGGCTGAATCGCCTGTGTTCTTCCCAATATTATCACTGATCTTGATCGCCGGATTTCCAGCAGCGGAACTCAGCTTTATGACAATATTTAGGGGTACCGATTTCTTCCCCGTGCTGAGATGAACGAAGTCGTTTGTCAAAAATGTGCCGACACCAAACGTTGGCTGGAAGCCATACTCTTCGGATATCCGCTTGTACTCGATACACTTATCGATATCCAACGAGTCAGAGAACACGATTGTCTTCTTATCCTTGATGCCCTGACTGTCGTAGAATTTGCGCATCAGTTTGACGAAATCCGCAGGGTTGCCAGAATCCTGCCGTACTCCGCTGTATACTTCGGCATAGCTCCGGGATGAAGTTGTAGTTTGGGCACCTTCATCCTGGGCCGGAATATTCGGAGTATTTGGAAGATATCTGATAGGCTTACTAAATGCCTTTAAAAATTCCGGAGTGCCAAATGTGTCTGTCAATGCGATTCCTAATACGCCCTCGCCAAAGCAACCAACCCATCGGCGTAGCGCCTCTTCGGTTGCTGTTTGATAATCATTCGTGATAGCTGCGATGCCCATAAACCACTCGTGCGCAACAGTTCCGATAGGCGGTAGGTTGAATCGCATAGCTAGGTGGACATTGCTAGTTCCCGAGAGCTTTCCCGGGAAACCACGCTTCTGTGCCTCTTTGCTAGCTTTCACGAGACCTCTGAAGACTAACGCTTGGGTGTGATAATCTCTCCGTCTACGAGTTCCGAATTCGGAGAAGATGCATCCTGCTTCAAGGAGGCGCATGCCCTTGTCATATGCCTTTTCCTCTTGGCCGTCGTAATTCCAGTCCGTGTCCATGAACTTGAAGTACGCCTCAGACGTCAGGGCAAGAAGTGGGATCTCATATAGTATAGTGTCAACCCACTTGCCCTTAATCTCAATGTGGATGTCGCCTAGTTCGTCTTCCGCCCCGGTGTCCGCCCCCACGGGGTGGAAAGTCGGATTTAGTTGTTCGCGGGGCTTGAGCCGGAATTCCTTCAAAAAGTCTAGGTATGGAGCCGAAAGATATTTGCAATGCGTCTGCAAGAAATGGAGTTCGTCATCGGAAAGTGAGATATTGCCAAGCTCTGATAAATATCAAGGATCAATAAATAAGCGCCATCAGATATATAAGCGAGTTTACCTACTACTAATTTGTTCGCAGAGCCACGAGAAGGCCTTGCGCGACAATTTCTTCTCCGGAGTACGGTTGGTAAATGCATATGTGACAGGCACGTCAGTGTAATATTTGAAGACGGCGCATTGCATTGTCAATTTGTATAAATCGGTGTCGAGAAAGGATATGACACCTTCCGGGAAGGGCGTTGACCAGTCAAAATCCATCTTAATAGTAATCGGAGAGTAGATGAGGGAGGTTTTAAAGGAGGATATGTGAGATTCCTAGATGTTGGCAAGCAGTTGGATAAACTGCGCAATAAATACAACACGATGGGTGAGATTTCCTTGTCTTAGGAACATCAGTCTTGAAATGATTTCCTCTTATAATCTTTATACCCAGAATCTTGTGTCTAAAAACCAATACACGGAAATGGCTCAAATTATTGGCTGGCCTTGTGAGTTTGCTTGACGATATGCGCAGCGTCTTTTAAGTTGCAGGATGCGTCACCCCACCATTACAACCTCAGGTTTCAATGGGTCTTTGTGTGAGTGAGAAACTGCATGGAAGATTAACAAGCAAGGTGGGGGGTTTACTCAATTAATCGGATCTGCCCGGTTCTTCACATGCGCAAAAGCTAAGCTTGATCTATTAAGGTTAACTAACCTTTTAACCTTATGTAAGTTGTCTCAGTCATAGGGTTTCTGAGGCTTGAGTCTTATTGGCTAGAATCGGTATTAGTGTACGGAATAACTAATGTTAGATATCTAAGACAAGTTATGTAATCAAAGCTTTAAAAATCAAGCCTAGAGCACCGGACAAAGTGATTTTCCAGCTCCTACCATGGGACAGGGTCTGAGCTTTCCAAAATCGTGGCCTCAATTGAACCCCGGATTTTTTGGGGACAGCTCCTAATGACCACGCTATTCATCGTCCACACGCGACTCTATCTTCTTCTATCTATCTTCTTCTATCTACCTTCACTTTTCCAATCCTTAACAATCGCGTAAAGGAAACGTTCTTTGTCTTCTAGTTTATTCTCCAGCCGTCTCTAATTTTCGCAATGGTATGTTTTATTCTATGATATAAGTCGCCTGTAATACGAAACATAGGAGTCGAACGATATATTAGTTCAACGATCATCTGTCGGGTTCTACTCATTGTTCGTTGGAATCGCGCTGACATCTTACGCATGTAGTCTTCTCCTCGCGCAGCTTCTCCCGTCAACTCGCCGGCCGCTACTGGCTCGAGCACCGGCCGTCCCTCCTCTCCTGCTCCTCCCGGAGGTGCCCGAACTGCCATCCGACGAAGGGCCGCTGCCGACCAGAAGGAAAAGATTGCAAATGCGCGACCGAGCAGCACTCGCGCCGCTGGTGCGGGTGGTAGCAGCAGCACAATGCTACGTATGTGAAAAGAAGCCATGCTCGGCATGATGGGGCTAGGTATTAACGTAGTCTAGGTCTCTACACGGACGAATCTCCCGGATTGAAGGTTGATCCTGTCGTTGTCTTGGTTCTCTCTCTGGTCTTCATCTTCAGTGTTGTTGCTTTACACGGTATGTTAAGACGTCTTGATTACATCACACTTTTGTACTAATACCTTTCTCAGTTATTGCGAAGATCACTCGACGATTCTCAAGCTAGATGAATAACGACGGTTAATTGTGTTAATGAGGGTGTTGTGTGACCACCGAAGACGGCGCGGTATGATCAACTGCGACTCTTCTTTGGATGCGCAGAGGGCGATTGACAGGCAGGAAATAGGCACGGCAGCAGTGATGTTGAACCAACTTTACTAGTTTAGAGTCAGTGCCCAGATTCTAGCGGACTAGTCTCATGTACTATATCAAAATCTGGCAGGATCGCGGAAAGTTTCTTTGCCTTAACTGAGATGACATTACACAGGCGTTGTGCGCAGTTGCTCGCGTTTTAAGAAAATATTATTGCAAGTCATAACGAGTTCATAACTTTGCCCATATGATGAAATGAAGCGGGTGGTGGTGTTGCCTTAGGTATAGTATTTTACTTTTACGATATTCGTGTTACTAGGAGATGTTCGATACGGCACAGAATGTTCCACGTATTATGCGGTCAAACTACAAGCTGACATCTGTCACAATAAAGACTAGCAACTAATGTTATAATCGTCTTTATTTTCAAGTAACCTAGCTTGGAGTAAAGATCACATTTGGCCTATATAGCTACATCAAATCCAAGTTCGAATCCGAATCTAATAGCTATTCAACCCCTTGATTTTCTAGGCTTCCTTCAAGCGAAAGGTTACATAGGTAGCTTACCAGACCGAACAAGTGCGAGGCATTCCTTAAAAGTCAAACTTCTGGCCCACTAGCTTCTCGCTAATCTCCCACAGCTTGCGAGCAGCCTCTGGGTCGGTGGCGTACTCGTGCGGAGCGACAATTTGGCAATCTACGATGTACGACCCAGGTCTGTCGTCGAAGTCTGGGTCTAGTGCTGCGGCGAGTAGCGGTGCGGCTCCCTGGGACAAGGTCTTCCTCTGGCCCACACCGCCCCAGGGCTTTCCGGGGTTGTTACGTTGGGCTATCTCGGCGATCCTGCTGAAGTCGTACTCGACTAGGTGGGTAGCTAAGTTGGTACCGTAGATGGTACCGGGGTGCGGCGCGTAGGACTTGATGCCCTTGCTGGCCAACCGCCGCGATAGCTCGACCGAGTACAGGATGTTGGCGGTCTTGGCTTGGCCGTACGCGCTCCAACCGTCGTACGCCTTGCCGTCGGAGAAGTTGTAGTCATCGCCGCGGAAGGGACCAACGCCGTGGCCTCTGCTCGTCACGTTGACGATGCGGGCACCGGGAGCCGCGGCGATGATCTTGTTGATGATGAGATTGGTTAGGAGAAAGTGGCCGACGTGATCCGCCGAGAACGTCAACTCGATTCCTTGCTTGTCCAGCGTGTAGTCTACGACGTTCATAATGCCGGCATTGTTGATGACGACATCGATCTTCGGGATCGAAGCGTCGTTGTTGATTTTCTCCGCAGCTGCTCGGACGGAGTCGAAGTCGGTCAGCTCGCAGGTGATGAAGGTGGTCTTGACGTTGGGGTCGATGCTTGCGATCTCCTCCAACACAGGGTCGACCTTGGCCTTGGTCCGGCTCACGAGGATGAGGTGTGCTGGCGACTCGCGGGCTAAGGAGATGGCGGTTTGGGCGCCAAGACCTTTCGCGGTAGTTCCGGTGATGAGGAATGTGCGTCCCTTGATCTTGTCGGCTAAGGCTTTGACTAGCTCTTCGCTGGTTGTGGAGAATCCAAAAGGAGACATGATGTCGAAAAGCCAAGTGCTGTTTTATTCTGCTTGTAAAGAATTGTTATAAGGTTGTGCTAATTGAGTGTCTCTTTTTGTAGATAGTTCACTGGCTTGAAACCTACATATATATACCTGATGTTTACCCCCCATTCGACCACTAGCATCGGCGATATCACCAAGTCAATCGTCGTTAGGCCATATGTCGAAGAATTCTATTAGTAATTATTTGAGTCATAGCTCTAATACGCCATACCTGCCATAGTAGTAGTATCATATTCTAGCTATAATCTTGATGTCATCTGCAACACCCGGATCTTGGACGGGGTTTTGGCGGAGACGAGGTTTTAGCGGAGTTAAGACCTACAACCCGAACACTCTCGGTAACTTATGAGTAGCACTAGGTAAGACGTGGAAATAGATTCATCTAGATCTCATGATCTAGGTAACAACTATCAAGATTCCTGGGTTGTGAATCTGGCCGATGGCGTTCTAGAAGATGAAACGGGGATTGGACGGAGTTAAGTGTGAGCAACAACACAAATTCTTTAATGATATATATTTATTAGTTATCCCCTTTTCTCAGATCACCTATATTCTTTCTTCTTCTACTTCACCGCCGGCGAATTCCAAGCATACCATTAAACTCACTATACGCGCGACTCGTCACATGGGCCCATATCTTCATGTTTGTACATTTTAGCGAACATAACCAATATACTAAGGATAACCCAATTTTTATTCCGAGCCATTTTGTTATACTAGCATTTCCCCTGTTTTCTTATCGAGTTATCTACTTTCCTTGTTAGGTTTATATCTGCAATATATTCTTTTCTACGAATCTTCAGCATAGTTCCTTGAGACTTCTGTATAGTCAGTGCTTCGTGAGACACCTTTTATACTTAATCAATATAACTGAATCCCTTGATGTTCTAAGATACTCCAATGGTATCTCCTTCATAGATATCCCAAGCTAATGGCAACCATGTGTATTTACATCTGAGACAGGCGGTTAGGTATTTATTATGTTCAGTGAATTTGACGATCGTATTGAGGCTGTCTTCGCGGCCTATCATTGTACTATGGGTTTACGAAAATTCTCGTATCATATTGGAGTAAAGTCCGAGCTGAGCTTGTCTGTACTACATCATGTGACATTGCGGGATCTACCGTGTCGGTTGCCTTATGACGTTGATCTGTATAAAGTAGTACTGATACTTAAGTATCCAATAAGGCTGACTTTGCTCTCACTCAGCCACGATCCTCGCGTCACTAATTGTCACTACTTTTACAGGGATTGGGGCTTAAATCCTTCGTATTTCGCATTTCGCATCAGCCCCCACGACCCCTCGCCGATGTCCCAGTGAAAGTTCGTACCTACGTCAACACCGCAAGCCACGTAAACATTTCTTAAAATCGAACGACCCCTAAACACTACAGACCCCTTTTCAAAAGACGAAATTGTCATTCGCATTTCATAGCGCAAAATGGCTATAAGGTAATTCGCTAGCCAAGCTGTTTGAGGCCGAGGAAATCCGAAGTTCGCTTAGGATGCGAGGTTCGCGGTGCGTTTGCGGTCTAACAGGTACAGGTACGGATTAGGTATGTTTAAATCTAACAGGGTACGCACGCGCACCGCCAGGCATCCAAATAAAACAGCCCCCGCTCTAGAACTAGCCGCAAGTATGTAGGTGGATAACTAGTGGGGCTTCTAGAGCATCATCCCCTGTTTTAATCCCTGTTCGGCAATACATCATCGATGCTTTTTTAACCACAAAGTTGCTTGCTACATATCATATCCCGCGAATCGCAAAAGCTTCGTGATCTGGATCATTATTCTGGTAGTACCTTGCATTTACCTTACGCAATATCTTATTGTACCTCCTACTCCACAAGACAAAACTGTCGCCGATAAATTCCAATTATATACCATTGCTCTGCTTTCTTTCAACTCTTTTACATTCTCGTGAATTGTGATACCCAAGTTGACTGAATAATATTCGTTTGCGCCGATTCATGTGATACCCCTCCTTTTATCTTTTCTCCCCTCTATATCTATATCTCAAGCTTTACTGTCACATTTATCTCTGCACTCCTCGATAACTCTGGCTATATCTTATACATTCCCTCCCTCGTATGCCGTATTGATTATCTAGCTTAGATCTGTCACTATGACGATAGTTGACGAGAAGGCTGCGCTTCGCCGTGCCGAAACCAGTAGATCTGCTCAACGTCCAGGTCGCACCTCTTTCAGCAACGCTCCGGAGGTCGTGCCGCCTGGTTACAATAGCGGTCATATATCTACAGACTTCGAACTTGGGGCAGAAGATGATGTCCCTCCGGCCTATAGCGAAGTACACGATCGCTTCTCTCTTCACCAAACAGGGTTTGAGGCAGGGGCTGCCGTCACTGGTAGGTTTTATTATTATTATTAAGTCCTAGCGCTTTTGTAGCTGATTAAGATGTTTCACGATAGATGACGGCCGAGTTAATATCAACATCAATCAAACGAATAGGCGCCTAGCCGACTTGTTAGCGCCCGCCTTACGTTATCAGGAGTCTATAACCGAGGAACCTCTTCCGCCTGCCTATATCCCTCCCAGCTTAGGTGGTTTACCGGGACAGACCCCCCCACCCCGGTTGAATGTTGTTATACAGATCGTGGGGTCACGAGGTGACGTCCAGCCATTTATCGCCCTCGGACAAATCTTGAAGGACACATATGGCCACCGTGTGAGAGTCGCTACTCATTCTACCTTTCAAAAGTTCGTCGAGGACAATGGCCTTGAGTTTTTCAATATTGGAGGCGATCCTGCCGAGCTCATGGCCTTTATGGTGAAGAATCCGGGGTTGATGCCGGGTATTGATGCGTTAAAGAGCGGAGAAATTACCAAGCGAAGAAAAGGTATCGAGGACATTGTACTTGGCTGTTGGAGATCTTGTATCGAAGCTGGAGATGGCCTGGGACCGGCACCGAGATTCGACCGTAAGAGTAAAGACGGCGAAGACGACTTCAATCCAGTTCCGTTAGACGATGGTTCGGGTCATAAGCCATTTGTCGCGGACGCCATCATTGCGAATCCTCCTAGTTTTGCGCATATCCACGTGGCTGAGAAGCTCGGAATCCCTTTGCACTTGATGTTCACGTAAGTCTCTCAAAAACTCGCAGATGAAATTTCTCTAAGATCTATAAGCATGCCTTGGTCGCCGACAAAAGCATTTCCACAACCTCTCGCGAATATCCAATCATCAAATACAGATCCCGTCACTACGAACTATCTTTCCTACGCAATGGTCGAGATGATGACATGGCAAGGACTTGGCGACGTTATCAACCGCTTTCGTACAAAAATACTTGACCTTGAGCCTCTCTCAGTGCTCTGGGCCCCTGCTTTATTGACCCGCCTTCGGATTCCCTACACATACTGCTGGTAAGTTCAATTAGAGCCCTATTCAAGCGTAACTTAAGTCTTATATTGTGTCTTAGGTCACCAGCGCTCATTCCCAAACCAAATGATTGGGGACAACATATTGACGTCGCTGGGTTTTACTTTCTTAATCTTGCATCATCTTATACTCCGGACCCCGAATTAGCAGCATTCCTCGAAGCCGGTCCCCCGCCTGTTTACATAGGATTTGGTTCTATTGTTGTTGATGACCCGGACGGTTTAACACGCACGATTTTTGATGCGGTAGCGGAGACGGGAGTACGGGCGCTCGTTTCGAAGGGCTGGGGTGGATTAGGAGCCGATTCTGTCGGTATACCGGAGGGCGTGTTTATGCTCGGTAATGTCCCTCACGACTGGCTATTCGAGCGTGTCTCCGCCGTCTGCCATCACGGGGGTGCCGGAACTACGGCCGCCGGAATTAATGCTGGCAAACCTACTATTGTTGTGCCATTTTTCGGAGATCAGCCGTTCTGGGGAGCCATGGTCGCGAGAGCCGGGGCGGGACCTGACCCTATCCCTTACAAGAAACTCACAGCGGAAGCACTAGCTAAGGCAATCCGAATGTCATTGATGCCAGAAACCCAGGAACGAGCCCACGAATTGGGTGAGAAGATACGAGAGGAAAAGGGCACGGACGTTGGAGCACACAGCTTCCATAGACATCTCGATGTCGACAGGCTACGTTGTGCTCTAGCTCCCAGCCGGGTCGCTGTGTGGCGTCTTCGGCGAACACAAGTGCATCTTAGCTCGTTAGCCGCCGCGGTACTGGTGAGTAATGGATATCTACGGTATTCGGACCTCAAATTGTGAGCGGGATTGACTTACTTTTCTACTTGTGATTTGGTCTTACTAATTCTCGTCTCAGGTTCCGTCCAAATGAGTACAGCACCGAGGATCATCCAACGGACCCCATTTCGGCATGCGCATCGGCGCTACTGGGAGACATGGGCACCATTGCCATGTCTGCGGTAGACGTTCCTCGAGGTGTTTTCAAAGGAGGAAAAGCATCAGAAACAAAGTCAACGGGGAAAGGCGGCGATTTAGCTACGATTACATCGAAAGGGGCTAGTAGCAGTACGCTGAATCTTGCTGATCAAGCGGATTCGACTACGACACTGCCGCTCTCGGATGTAACCAGTACACAGTCTAACGCATCCGCCGTTCACCCGCTCGGCATGCATCCGATCGCTATGCAATCAGAGGCTAATAGTCTACCTAACTTAGCGCATACTATGTCAGCTACCTCAGGACATTCAAGATCGCCTTCTGAACCAGTGCGCAGTCCCGGTCATCAACGAAATAGCTCAGCTCCAAAAGCAGGAACACCTACCACGAGCGAATCTCTAGAGAGGGCTCTTCATGCTGGAAAAAGCATCAACAATATCGTGGCAACTGGTATGAAGTCTCCTATGAACTTTTGCCTAGGTGCTGCGAGAGGCTTCAGGAATGCGCCGACTTTGTACAACGATGATACCGTTCGTCCCGCGGAGAAGGTTACTAGTTTCGCTAGTGGTCTAAAGGTCGCCGGCAAGGAATTCGGTTTCGGCATGTTCGACGGGATTACTGGGTTAGTAACCCAACCTCTTAGAGGCGCAGAGAAGGACGGCGGTATTGGGCTGCTCAAGGGTTTTGGTAAGGGAATCGGCGGCCTTATGTTAAAGCCTGCAGCAGGTAAGCTACTCCCCGTTCTAATTTGATGCGATTAAGAGCTCGCTCACAGCTCTTTTAGCTTTTTGGTCCATTCCTGCCTATACCATGCAGGGTGTCCATGCCGAAATCAGGTCTCTGTTCGCTCAGAATGCTCAGAAATACATTGTCGCGTCCCGTATTTCCCAAGGCCAACACGACTTTAACGGCGCATCACACCAGGAACGTGAAGACATCGAAGTTCGTTGGCTTGCTAAGAAGGAGCAGATGAAGGGATTCTACACCTGGAAGCAGAAGGAGAAAGGAAAGACTAAGGAAATCACCCCTGCTACACCGACGCATGGAACAGCTATTACGGAGCAAATCGCCGGCAACGAGCCGCAGAGGACGGGATGGCTACAGACAAGAAGTCTATCCAGCGAAGACCGGAGGAAGCTACATGATCAGAAAAGTTCATGGAAGCAAAAGCAGGCGGAATCAGCGGCTACAGGCGGTACGTTTATTGATGAGAAGGTTCGTTCGGTTTCTGGTACAGGTAATACACATGGTGAGGAAGAAGAGTTTGAACGAGCCATTATGATTGCAGTGCGGGAGACATCAACTGGAGACGCAAACGAAGATGCCCGAGTCGAACAAGCGATTCGGTCGAGTGTCAGGGCATTACGAACCAGATCAACAACTATAGGCTCAATGGCCTCGACCAATTCTCGGGCTTCTAGCACGCAAGACTCTGGATACTTCACCGATATCAAACGCCCCCTATCCGGACCGTCGCTACCATTCAGGGCATCATCTGAGGATTCGATGGAAATCACCGACGAGGAATATCAGGCATTAATCGAACAAGCCGTTCAACTGAGCATGACCGAACAGCACGGAAGCGGAGTCCGGAGACACGACCTCGAGGATAGCGAAGACGACGATTTTAAACAGGTGCTTCAGAGGTCACAGACAGATAAGAGTGTAGAAGATCGAGATGAAGAAGTTTATAAGATGGCACTTAAGGCTTCGGAGGCAGAACATGAGAATAAGGGTGGGTTTTCTGACGATGAGGAGCTTAGGAAAGCTATTGAAGCTTCTCAGGTGGAGCAAAACCAAGGAAATAATGGTGATGATGATGAAGAGCTGAGGCGCGCTATCGAAGAGTCCGAGAGGGCTCACAAGGAGGAATTAGCATTGAAGTCGGAAGAAGACATTGTGATGGAATTCGTTAAGAAACAAAGTCTGGCAGAGGACCAGTATCGTAAAGCTAGGGGTAAGGGGAAATATGCCAACTACGAAGACGACGACGACGACGAAGATGAGGAGCTAAAGCGGGCTTTGGAAGAGAGCCTGCAGACGGATAGCAGCAAAGAACTTGGAGGTAGAGGTGGTCCGTCTCGTTTCTAGGGTCAACGGGTCTTTCGGGTGAACATGAGAATGCATGATACATATTGATACCCTTCATTGGTTAGAAAGAAAAGAGGCGGTTATAGTGATACCTAGTAATTATTAGAATAACATGGCTAACGTTACATTTTCACTTGGCGAGGTTGTTGATTTGAGTTGTGAATGCAAGTGAATGCATGTGGTTGAATGGTATGTCGAATTTCACAAGATGAGTTGAGATGTTAGATCGCTATTCTTGGCCTTGGGAGACTAAACTGGAATAGAAACTACCTATAGCCGAAGCTGTAGGGGTGTATTAGGGCCGTCGGATCAGATCGAATCGAATCAAATCGTGATCATGATCGCAAGTGGCGTCGGTAGGAATAGCCTCGCGTCCAAGATATGGTGCATTTTCCTTTTTCAGCCGTGATTCTTCATCCCCCTGTTACATACTCGGGAGTTGAGATCGCAGCTCATCATAACTACATGCCTCGTTAATCACATGCTAGCCCCGGTGGTTACTACGCTTACAGCGGTGATAGTGACGAGTCACATACATTAGGTACCTAGGTAAGTGTGATAGGAGGCCGAAAAAGCAAAGATTTGTCACCCGGTCAGCCCCGTGTTTCCGTTTCCGCTTCCGCTTCTAGACACGTCAATGCTTTTGGGCCGAGTGTGAATGGCGTCATTGGGGGTGGGTTATAGCTGTCTTCTTGTAGACTCTTGTGAATTTGTGAACGCTGGATAGGAGGCTGGAATGCATGGATACGATAGCGTCGATCGGGTGATAGTGGGGGGTTTGGGGGTTATTATGACGATGATGATGATGATGATGACGACGGTGAAGTGTGTAATAAATATGAGGTATGCTATAGCCCTCATCAGGGGGAAAGAAAGGACGTCGTCGAGTATAAGAATAGGACTCAGTCGCCCTTCCAGAGTAGGTATGTCTAGCCATCACAAAGACATTCAACAGCATTGGATTCAATACGCTTAAAAACACAGCAGTTCACCAAAGCAGCATGCCATCCCACAAGAACCAGACCTCCACTCCCACCAGTACCATCTCACACACCTCGCTCCCCATGCACCCCAAGCCCAAGCGCGAGGACGAAAGCCCCGTTTCCGAGCAATCCGACCAGGACATCGCGGAGAGCCCCGCCGACGAGGTCGTAGCTGACTACGATGTAAAGCTCGGTATGTTTTCCTGGCTTCTTACCCCTTACCCCTACCCCTTTTCCCCAAAGCCCCTTATCCAACCTAACTCGTCTAGTCCCAGCGCTTCTATACACGTACGTGTAGCTCTACTATAGGTACCTACCTATGATAACTAACAACTAAAAAGGCAAAGACGAACAGGAAGCCATCGACACTTCCAACATCATCAGCGAGCGCACTCGTCATGCCAAGCCTATCAATGGGAGTTATATCCTGTCAGATGAGGAAGAGGAGGAGGGCGAGGATGTGCTGTTACGTGAGGACGGGACTATTGTGTCTGCGGATGCGGATGCGGATGAGGAGACTGTTGGCTAGATAGATTTGATTTGATTTGAGTTGAGTTATTATTGACATGGCAGTATGGGGTGATTTGACAACAAGAGTTAGTATAGTTAGGAGTTGAGAGTTAGATGTGGAAGGAATCTTGGTCTAGGTCCGAAAGATTTTTCTACGAAAGGGAGGATCGAGTACTGATATCATACCGCTCTTTTCATCGCGCAAGTATAGGTGGATAGATAGGAATATTAGCGAATACAGCAGCTAGCTAGTCGACTCTTTAGCATTTCATTTTACTTGTATTGGCTATCAGACCATAATTACCTACCAATCAAGCAGATGTCAAGTATTAGAGCTTAATAGTCATGGTATGAAGGAGCCTCGAGAAGATGAAGTGGGATCAGATTTATACAGTTGAGAGACCTAGTCTCGTGAAGTATATGTAGGTATACTTGGTATTACAAAAGAAGTTGACGCCCCTATGCATTGAACCCCTGATCTTGCTCCGGTTCTGACTTTGGCTCTGGCTCCGGCTCCGGTTCTAACTTTGGCTCTGGCTCCGGCTCCGGCTCTGACTCTTGGAACATATGATACGTCTTCCGCTGCTCCGGTGTGATCTTAGCCGGGCTACCAACCATCAAGTCCTCGCCCTTGTTCGTCTTAGGGAACGCGATGACATCCTTGATGGACGGGACATCGCACAGCACAGACAGGAAACGGTCGAATCCGAAAGCGAACCCGGCGTGGGGCGGACACCCCGCCCTTAGTGCCTCGAGGAGGTGAGAGAACTCGGCTATGCCCTCGTCCGTCATCTTCAGGACGTCGCGCAAGATGAACTCCTGGTGCTTGGCGGCGTGGATACGGCGGCTTCCGCCGCCGACCTCGACACCGTTGATAACAAGGTCGTAGTGGTCGGCTCTCGCTTGGAGAGGCGAGTACTTGGCGGAGAAGAAGTCTTTAGGGGTAAGCGGAGCCGTGAACGGGTGGTGGGTTGAAGAGAATCCCGCGGTGCCGCCTTGGCCCGGATCCGCATTGTCCCCGTTCGGTGTGAAAAGGGGGAATTCGGTCACCCAGATTACTTTAAACGAATTGTCTTTGGGTATGAAACCCTGCTGAACGGCAGTATCGTATAGCGCTTTTCGAAGCCTGCCTAGGTCAGTAGAACTTCCATGAAACGTCTCTCGTTTTCGTGCGTGGAAGATGATGATGTCTCCGTCTTTGCATCCGTGGTAATGGCTCTCTTTCAATCCCGTAAATTCCTCAAGTTTACGAGCAGATTCGTGTCCAAGAGCCGACAGGCCGTTGAGTGGCTTGCTAGAGTCATAGACCAATACAGCTGGTGTACTTTCAGGACTTGGCTTGACTGTAGTATTGTTGGGTAGAGAGTCCATGAATTTCCGGATGAATTCCCCAGCGGCGTGGGGCGGCAGATCCAGACGAATCTTGATCATTTCGACGTATGAATCTTCCAAGCTTGTAATCTTTTGGATAAATTCTTGAGGCAGGTTGAGATGTGTCGTACCGCGAATCTGTCTCTTAGTAAATGAAAGGGAAGTTCCGCTAGGAGGTTTGACTTACACTTGTTATATGCGGCGGTCTAATGCGCATATCGGGCTTGTCGGTACCAAAATGCTTCATTACCTGAGAGTATGTCATAAACTGGATGTCGCGATATTGAACTCTAGGATAGCGAGTTATCCCATCTCCGGCTTCTGGTGGCTTTTGGTCTTCCCCTTTACTCTTTTTTTTCTTTTTTTCTGGCCCTTTCGACACAGTTTCGTCGAAACCGACGTAAACCGGATGTTGGATGCCATTGATCTCAGTTGGCGACCATTTTCCACTGAGAAGGAAAAATATTTTATCTAAGAGACCTGAAACGAGCTTCATCACATCAGAGCCGCTGGCAAAGGCCATCTCTATATCGAGTTGAGTGAATTCGGGTTGCCTGTCGGCGCGATGGTCCTCGTCACGGAAGCATTTGGCGAATTGGTAATATCTCGTAATGCCACTGGCCATGAGTATCTGCTTGTACTGCTGTGGACTTTGCGGTAGTGCGTACGCATAACCTTCCCGCCTCGTTGGGACTAGGAATTCCCGGGCGCCTTCTGGAGTAGACTTGAAGAGAAGAGGCGTCTCTACCTGGATAAAGCTTTTGGATTGAAGAAATTTTGAGATGGTTGTCTGTAGAATGCTCCGTAGTTTTAATCTGTCACGGAGGAGAGGATCGAAACGCAACTGTAGATGACGTTGGTGAGGTGGCCACACGGCATCCTTGGAGACGATGATATCCTTTGGAAATGGATTTAGACAATGTATGGACCGTAGTTTAAGATCCCACCTCCGGGGCGACCCGGGTTTGTTCGTGGTATTGGGGGGCTCTTGGAGGGTTCCGGTCACAATAACTGGACTGTAGGCTGGTATGGTCTTAAGGTCTTGGTGAGCCAGGAACTGCCGCGAGCCGTCCTCGTTCCAGGTGGAAACAATCTGAATATTTTTCTGAGAACTGTAATCGAATGCATTACTTAATTCACAGAAGCTCAAGTTTGAGCTCACATCCCTTCGTTTACTAATAAATCCGTGAACGGTCACTTCCTGCCCAGCCTGGTAACCTAGCAAGGGCGTAGCTTGGTGTTGTCTAAGATCGATAACTTTTATATGTATTAGCTACAATCTATTCGGAATGAGTCTCTGTTATTTTATCTTACAATTTGCATTATAAGTTTCCCATTGTGCACTAGGATCAACCGGTACACTTTCGCTGCTTTCAGATTCCGGAGGCGCAGATTCCGCAGGCTCAGAATCTATAGACTCGGTAGCTGTGGATTCAGAACCGGTGGGTTTAGATATCTCATCGTGAAGGGTTCTTGTGTGCTCCAGTCGGAAAATGGGTTGGAATCGACGTGGCAGGGACTGCCCTTTCATGCTCTGAATGCATCTTAGGGTAGTCCTCTGCAAATAGCTTGAGATAATTCGAACCATGGATCCCTCGTCCGACTATTTCGGTTCTTGAGGAGTGGAAGGTTCTAATAACATACCACTGAAAATGTTGAATGTAAAATAAAAAATGGGATGTACCTTAGTACCTATGTTTACATGTAAGGATAGCCCCACATTCATAGGTATCTAGGTACCTCAGGTCCTAGCTTAGCTGAAGCTCTAGCGGATAATTGCGGCTCCGCCCCGGCGCAAAATTCCATTTTCTAGGAAAGCTTCTGCCGAATTTTTGAACTTTTCTTTTCCTTTCTTCTTCATCCTTCCAATTCAAATAAAAGTGAGTTCTTCGACGAATCATCCTATTCCTGCCATATTAAACAAGTTACTAACATTTATTATCGCAGATGATGAAAGCTGCGTGTACCATATGATGTCTTCCTCCTTTCAAAGTTTCAGAACTCTCCCCTTTGGGGCTTAAGCGGTTCTGTTGCAGCGAGAGGTTGGAATCATGAAATGAGCGTTCGACACACCTCGACCTTGTTTACATCGGACGCGAAAAAGCAACTCTGATTACTATTGTAGTTTGGAAGGCTCTAATTTGTTTTCCTCGTTTCCCCCTTTTTCTTTGATTTAATGTAACTGTACCTTATTTGTTAGCTTTTCTTAGCCACGTCTTAGCATGCCTTGTTTTGTACTGATTTCCAAGATATAATGAAAATATTCTCTCCGCTTTCTTCGCATGCTCGGTGATTTTTGTTCATATTTTAGTGGGATTCGATGCTATAACAACATGTGTCTTAGAACGTGACTACATGTTAATACGAATAGGAGGGAGATACAACGCAAACAATGCTTCTACACATTTGCAACTCTTACCGCTAAACTGCCAAGATCGTTAATATAAGAAATCTAAATTGTATCCCTCAATACTCCAGAGCCAAGCATTGTCTTTTACTGGGAATACTATGACCTCATAGCTGACTGAGAGTACTCTGACAATCCCAAAGTTGCCCCGGTCCTACAGCCCAAACGCTAACCCAAGATGGTAAAGTCTACTGTCCGGATTCGCTCTAGCGCCCTTTGGGCTTAACTTTCAAAATAAAATAAAATAATTGATTTTTAATTAATTATAAATTAATTCGAAATTAATTAAATTATTTTTTATTTTTTATTTTTTATTTTTTAAAAAAAAATTTTAAATATGTACGACGGATTACACAGACCAGGTCACGTGCTGATAGGTAGATAGCAGATTAGATAACCAAATACGTGAAGCTATTCGCATTTCGCACCATACAATCTTATACTTGTATATATGCAATTATTCGGCCTTGGTTAATTACCTTTTGTTTCGTAATTATTTCGTTGATAAATTTTTTATATTTTGACAATTGAATGAGTTGAATTGAATCGTTAGATTAGTCGAGTGTGGGACTCTTAAATTTAACCAATCAAATCTAATCAATTAGTTGTGGCCCGTATCTTACTATATTAAGTTAGCGTTTGGGCTGTAGGACCAGGGTAACTTTGGGATTGTCTGTAAACTCAGCTGACTGATATTTGGTTTGTTCCAGAGTTAAATCGGAACCTTGGAAGTCCCAAGGTACTTGGTTCTATGTTTCCACAAAACCGTGCAGGTTTAGGTACACAATATGGTGGCTACGTATGTATAATACGTATGTATAATAGGTAATAGGTACATGCAAGTAGTTATCGATATGTACGTGTATATGAGTGGGTAGGAGATGACATGGACCAAACCTTAAAATTAGATTAGGAGCCCGATATCCCGACCGACGTTTCCCAAACGTGCGGCTGTGTTTCTGGCTGGTTTCTGGCTGGTTTCTGGCTGGTCTCTTTTCTAAACTCCCATTTCTCCAAAGCCTCTAATCTTCTAATCTATAGGACGGTAAACTCCCGACCAAAACAGCAACGACAAAACATAATAACTCATGAGTCAATCATTCGCAAATTAGATATTTAAATGTATTAGTAGTCGTATGGAAAAACAACCCTCTCCGCCCGAAATGGAACAGCCGTAACAAAGCCAACCCCGTCAATGTCCACGAAACTTGAGTCTACTTTAGTCCATCCATCTTCTCCATTTGCTCTGCCACGAACCTAATCAATCCCGACGTCGCACCTCCGATGATGATTGTCGCCTTTGTCCAACATTGAAAATACTCTTACGAATAATTCTCGGCGCTCCCGTTCCAACTCCTCGTGGATAACGATATCGATAGTACCGGCGAATACTTGACCGGAAAGTAAGCCGCCCGACAAACAGACATCTAGTAGCTGAAGCCTCACTCCGTCCTTACCATCATAGCCATCATAGCCATCATAGCCATCATGTCTAGTTCTTTTGAGAAATCCGTCAAGGGTGCAACCAAGATCAAGGTCAGTCCGTGCCTCACGCGGCATGTAAAGTTAAGCCAGTCTAACCCCTGACAATGTTGCTGAGCAGGCCGCTCCTCCGAAAACCAAATATATCGAGCATATCCTTGTCGCTACGCACGCCGGAGAAGCAGGAGTGGGAGAAGTTTTTCGGGCGTTGCAGTTTCGGTTGCGGGACTCGACATGGACCGTAGTACTCAAGAGCTTGATAACAATCCATTTGATGATCAGAGAAGGGTCGCCGGATGCCACATTAGCGTATCTCGCGAAGCATCGAAGCCAGCTAGCAATAGGCTCCTTCACCGATGGTGAGTTAACAAATAGTCTCGGCCTATGCGCCCCGATGACGTCGAGGAAATATTTCTGATGTATATGGTAGCGCAAATTCAGGGGCGAAACATACGACACTATGCCGGCTACCTCGCAGAACGCGTACGCGCATATAGAGATACGAGAATAGATTGGGTCCGAGCTAAAGAAACGCGACTTGAGAAGCTTTCGGTTGACAAGGGATTGCTCCGGGAAACCGAGGCGGTTCAGCATCAGCTTACTGCTCTGCTGAAGTGTGATGTACGTTATGCGATTCTCCCCTAATATAGGAGCGACACTGATTCTGATTCTGACATTCCGGTAGGTTCTTGAGGATCCCGAAAACGAAATTACAATTACTGTGTTCCGACTTTTGGTGCTGGATTTATTAGCGCTGTTCCAGGTCTTGAACCAAGCTATGATCAACATTTTAGGTAGGTTCGAGTTATCTACGAGCGACATACGTCTAGGAGACTAAATGGATATCAGGGCACTTTTTTGAAATGTCAAAGCCAGACGCAGAGAGGGCTTTGGAAATCTACCAGAACTTCACTAAACAAACAGACTACGTCGTACAATATCTGGCTGTAGCGCGACAATGGGAGCCTCATACTAGAGTCGAGGTTCCTAAGCTGAAGCACGCTCCTATCAATCTTCGACGGCAACTAGAGGAATATCTGAAAGATCCTGATTTCGAAATTCATCGAAGGCAATACCTGGCTGAGCTCGAGGCCAAGAAGAAAGGAGGATCTGGTTTGTCTTCAAAAACCGATAAGGGTACTGCGGACTCCAAGGCCGCTACCGCAAAGTCGAATGGACCATCCGCAACTTTATCCAAGCCGCCGCAGGCAACGAGAGGACCGGATCCGGATTTGATCGATTTCTTCGACTCGATCGAGCAGAACCAAACCACAATGGCGGTACAGCCGAATCCTCAGCCGCAGATTACCCAGGCAAACCTTCCTATGTCTACAGGGAACCCTTGGCCTTCAAATACTCCCTTCGCCATACAACCAACCGGCCAGCTCCAAGACAATGGTTTTATACCTCAACAGACTGGCTTCCCAGCTAATAATACCCCTTTCCAACAACAGAATGTTGGCGCTTTCTCCCAGCAACAACAAGTACCAAACCAGATACAGCCGAGTTTCACCGGTGCTGGTTTCGGCGGATATCCACCGCAATCTTTCGCGCCAGGCAGTCTTCCTCCTATACCCCAGAATTCTACGCCTTCTTTCCAGCCTGGGACTTTATCCCCACCTATGCAGACAGGGCTTCAGCCTGGCCAGCAGATAACTAATCCTTTCAGAGCGTCTATGTTGATGGCCAATCCTACTGGAGCACCTAATAATTCCTTTGCCGCACCAACTAGCCCCCAACTTCAGGCCGGCGGTCTTAGCCGGCAAAATACCAATCCATTCGCCAGATCTTCCCCTCAACCTGCCACACCCTTTTCTAATCCTCCCGCCAACTCTCCTTTCCAGTCGCAACCTCCGGTTCAGGCCCAGGCCCCTCCGATTCAAACAACGGCGACGGGCACCAATCCATTCGCCAGGAACTTCGGGCAGCCACAAATCCAACCTCAGAGCCAGCCTCAGACTCAGCCGCAAAGGCCTCAGACGAGCGCCGGGCTTATGCCGCAGCCTACGGGAAGTACGAACCCGTTCCGGCAAGGAGCTTTTGTAAACCACCAGACCGGAATGGGCTGGCAACACGGACATCAGCCGATAGGTGGGGGCCTAGATCAGCTCGAGGCTATGCCGGTGTTCCCTCGACCTGCTACCCAGACGCCTTGGCAGCAGTAGGAAGACGACTAGCGTGATGTATGTAGGAGGGGGTTTGGCAGCTAGAAGAGAAAGAAGACGGTGGCGAAATCGCGTCTCAGGACGTTCTCTAACTTATCACTGAACGCATAGAGCGAGGCGTTATCCTAGGATTTCATAATTTCCCCCCAAGCGCAGGACAAGACTGGAGGAAAGAGGAGAGAAAGAAGGAAGATTTAGGAGAATGGGCTTTACCCAGAAGAAACTAGCAGATGCAGGCAAGAAAGCCAAGATGATTCATCGGATATCCACGGAAGGGTTCCTGTAAAAGAAAAGAAATATAAGATCAGACGTTGCCCCGAGGGGAAATACTATTACCATTACTCTCTCGAAAGGGTTGGCCGGTTGAGCGGAATCACGAGCAAGCAAGCATTGGCGGACTCGAGGTTACTTCATGCGCCTGTATTATTCATGCCCTGTTGACTTCAATTACGTTTAATAATAGGCTATTGCGTAATAGCTCGCATACCGTTGCGCTGCGGGTTATAGTGAAAGAACACTCAACGCTTAGAACTATTTCTACCTAGAGTTGAGCCTCGCAATTCGAATTAGCAGACAGAAGATAGATATTAGCATGTATTCGCGGACGGCGAAGATATAGTTACCTAGGTATATAATTAAATTTCAATAACACCGTGATGCAGTTGTTTATGTATTTTAATCTCCCCTTTGGAAAATACCATGCTTGAACGCCATCGCTGTGTAATTAAATGAAGCCCACATTTGGATTCCACGTCCCTTTACTTCTATGTCATGCTTTATCATGTGTATAGGGATGCAGTTAAACGCTACGACGATGGATGGATATCACTGCAGAGTTGAGGATCATACCCCTGTCAATACCCCTGCAAACCTTAACCCAAACCTTAACCCAAACCTTAACCTTAAACCGTAACCTTAACCCTAATCCCTAATCCTATTCTTAATCGTAAACCGATAGGTTGTTATAATTTAGATTCGGAATTTTTACTTATATATTAATAGTTTTATAAAAAGTAATATTAGTATAAAATAATATTTACAAGCGAAAACAAGTTGTTAACGCAGTGGAAAATGTTTTGGTAATATGAGAAAATATAGTGGTGTTACTATCACGAGGCTGAAACCAAAAGGTGTCGTTTATTAAAGGTGATGTTTTAAAGAACTTAAAACGTAAGATTTTTGCAACAAGCCGCAAGGCCTTGGTTACATACACAAAATAACATTGTGACTTTTGTAGCAACCGTGACGGTACAGTATTTATAGGCTAGATAGCATCGACAGTTTCTCGAACTATCAACGATTTACATTTGGTGGTATAGCGGTATAATAACTATCTTCCGTACCTTTACAAGATACACATATATTACCAGTGTCTTCTATTTATATCTACTTTTATCCATAAAACCGAAGCATTTTAAAAAACTTATCGTGAAAAAGGCATACCTAGGGATTTTGGCCTTACGATCGATCTGTTTTAATGATGGCATACCTATGGCGTTGGTTCGCTGATCCAAAAACGCCTTCCAATCTTTTCTACTTGCTTTATCCAGGTTAAGATGTTAGAACGAGTCACCATCAAGTGACCTAAAACCTCTGTTTTTTTCGCAACTACTAATGCATTGCTCGTTCTCACAATCTCAACATAATCAATCAGATCATCTAGGTATCACCTCCTCTAACGTCCCAATAAGTACGTATCAGCTATGTGACAAGAGGTCAGAATGAGCCCTAAATTCGAAACGCCACGGGTATCGAGACAGCGCCTGTTTTTGTGAATAAACATTTAGCACGGAATTCACCCTTCTACGAGCTCCTTCCAACGAGGTAAGAAGCTTCTTTCGATTCTTCGTAATACCTTTATGGGAGGCCACAAGGTTCTCAAACCCATCCGGATCGAATCCGAGAAAGATCAGGTCTTTCTTATCGAATGCGTAAACACCCTTAGCCTTAAAAGCCATTTTCGATGTCGAATATGTCTGTATATATCGCACACCAGCTCCGTAAAGGGTACCGCTATAAGAAGGCTTTAATGTAAAACTAGCGGAGTTGTACGTACATGGAGCTGGTTTAAAAGGTATAAGTGTTAGTGGAGTAACCGCGGGGTAGCTCTCTATTGAGGGTTGTTTTATTGTCAGGGTTAGGTAGCTTCAAAGGTAAATCTAATATACTATATAAAAGGCGCGTAACACCCTTGTAAAAGAAACAAGCGTTGATAGTTCAATTCCATATATCTTAACATTTACTCTATGTATGACGTTTATCAAGAGTATAATATCTGACACTTATCTCAGTGCCTTAAACTTGAATTCATTGAGCATGTAGTGGGCTGCGCGTGCTTGTACCACGAAACGCGTGGCTTCCATGTGCCATTGTATCTGTACCTAAGCCACGAGCGTGGCGTTCGGCAAATTCTGGTCTAAGGCACCAAGGTTACAAAAAGGTGTAACGTTTGCAATGACTTAATATCTCACAACAACGTACAAAATGCCTTCTATTTTTATAACTCGGGGTAACAATATACTTGCTTTAACTCTCCAGATTTTGCATACCCGTACGGTATCACGTTCTTATATACCAGGCCTTAACGTTTAAAAACACAAACATAATAAGCATTACAGTACCATTACGGGTCACAGTGGACCGCCAGCGTGGCCATAGCATACCGCTATATAAGGGGGTTTAAGCGCTCAGCCCCTACTGGTCCCTTTTCTCTTTTTTGCAACAACAGTTCTATTTACGGTACTTTAACACGAAGTCTTGATTTGTGAATATTAACGGGGTGTGTACCTGTGTCAAGCTCGCACTTAAAGACATGACTTAAGATTAATACTATTGCTCAAGCCCTCCCGCATTTCTGCATACCCGTATAGCATTGCGATACTACCTAATCCGTACATATGTAAGCCTTGACGTGTATTGCAGCGGGTAGTGTTGCAACCGATGGTATTACAGCCAATACTATAGCCAATTTTAACCCCCGAAACACCTGGAATACTTGTAATGCATGTATTTACTAATGATTAAGTGAATATAAATTATCACTTGGAAACGCGTTGATATTGTTATTTTTAATGTTTTTAATGTTGACTCTTACAAAAAAGCTGAAATCGACTGTATTACCTTGGACCAAAGTTGTTGGTTGCGCACAGGCCAATCGTGAAATTTTTGAAAAGGTTCTAAACTTAACCATATTTTGTCTATTAGATATTCGGATTGCGCAAGTAATATTTCCGTGGCCACTGGCCACGGAAATATTGTGCACGGGCCAACATTGACTTTTTTATTAAAATTCCTAATCGTAATCAGACTGGATCAATTAGATTGGGGAGGAGGGCAAACGTAAGATCTTCTATTGCTACCCTCTCAACCACCCCCCTCTAAGCAAAAACATCCTCTTCAACTTTCACCCCTGTTGTCCTCCCCGTCCTCGCCGCCTCCTCCGCACCGACCGTCCCAACCGCCTTCTGCGCATCCGCCTTCTCCTCCGCTACAAACACGCCCAATCCCGCAAACGCATCAAACATGGCGCGCGCCTCGTACTCGTGGGTACTATATCCAGGGACGCGGTGGTCGTCGCGGCTGCGAGCGTCCTCGAGCCAAGGGTTATCGTAGCGCTCGTGCAGCTCGTACCGCGTGGGTTTGAGGTCTAAGCCTGCGAACGCGTCGTATGGCCGGAGGTAGTAATCTGCGTCCTCGTCACGTTTGGATTTGTCTTTAAGACCACGGATCGAGAGGAGTGTGTCGGTAGATGCGGGTGCGGGTGTGTCGGATGCGTTGAGTAAGCTGGGGAAGTTCGAGCCTGCGATTTCGGCGACGCGCGCGCGCTTCTGCGCGATGATACGCGCTTGGATTTCTGCGGCGGTGCCGGGTTCGCCTCGCTCGAGGGCTTCCATGACCTCGGCGTTTATGGAGGCTTCTTCGGCGCGGGCGCGCTCTTCTTCCCGCTGGTCCTCGATTCTCCGTTGGCGCGCTGCTTCCGCTTCCGCAGCTTCGCGCTGTTTGCGCAGGGAATCCGCTTCGCGGCCTTTCTTCTTATTCTTCTCGATATCATCCTTGTGTTTCTGTTCGTACGCAAGCAGTTTCTGCTCAGCATTCCGCTGCTCTGTCTCGTCCCCATTAACTAAGTCGAAAGTAAGGTCCTCGACCTGCTGTAGGTAGTCGTTGTAGTCGCGGAGCGAGACGAAGTCGTCCTGGGTCATGTTGAAAATAGCCTGAACACGGCGGCGTAGGTCAACCTCACGCTCGATCCTGAGGTCCTTAAAAAAGGCGGAGCGGAAGCCGCGCTGGCGCAGGGTCTTGGTGCAGGTGGCCACGGGGCATTGCGCGGGCCCTTTGCTGAAGATGTTATTGACACAGTTGATGCACATTGGATGATAACACTCTGGATTAATTAAGAATTCCATGTCTGTATTCAGATACCGTATGCGATTACATACTGGGCAGGTGTTATCTGGGACGTGATCGAGTGATCGTACGTTAGATGCGGTGGCGGTGGGTATGTGCTTTCGAGACATGATTCCTTTTTTTTACTTGCGAGTGTATACAGAGCTCCTAATGTGTACAAGACTACTAATGTACCCAATGTTCGGCGTTAAGTATCTCGTCCTGCGAGGTGGGTTAAATATGAGGAAGAAGAACGGTTAGAGCGGTGGATGGGTGAGAGAAAGCCTGGTCGAATGGTGGTCATTCATTTGGGTCGAATCTCGTCTTGCGAGGGGTAAGTTGGTATTTGATTACGGTAAAGTGTTGTCCAATATTCCTGTAAGGGATGACCACCAAGACGGCCGTGGGACGGGTTGTGGTAGAAGAAAGAATGAATGCAACTTAAAAGAAGTTCTCAAGTTTGATTTCACCTTCACTTTAAGACATTACCTAACGTAATGTACACATGTACGGCCTGCAGAAAGCTAAAATTACTTGCTTGTTTTCCATTGGTCTAGAATTTCCATAGAGCAGCAGGGGGTACCATGCCCCACTACCCAGGTTAAACAATTGCCCCTCCATCAAGCTTTCAGGCTTTCAATATGTATGAAGCTACTACGTCTTCGCTAGCCTTCTGACTGATTCTCTTGCTGAAACTTACAAGTACACAAACGGCGCAGACAAACCCAACACCAAAACATTGCGAAATTATAAACAATGGCAGACAACGGTACGCGCACGTCTTAAACGCAAACCAGCACTATCGGTTACAAATTAACTAACAAACCATATTATTATAGATCTCACCCCCGAGCAAGAAGCCACTGCCCGCGCCAAGGAAGCCGAGGAACAAGCAGCGCTGCCCTACAAATGGAACCAAACCATCGCTGACCTTGACATCAACATCACTGTCCCCGGAAACCTCAAGGCCCGAGATCTCGTTGTCGAGTTCAAGAGGCAGAAGCTCAAGGTCGGCATCAAAGGCCAAGACCCCATCATCGATGTGCGTATATACCTACCAAGGCTATAAATCACGATATACATATTTATACCCCCCGTACTAACCCCTCCCCAGGGCGACCTCCCGCACACAATCCTAACCGAAGAGTCCACCTGGACGCTCACCTCGTCACCGGACGGGACCAAGACAATCGAGATCCACCTAGACAAAGCGAACAAGATGGAATGGTGGGCGCACGTCGTGACCACCGCGCCCAAGATCGACGTGACCAAAATCCAGCCCGATAACTCCAAGCTGAGCGACCTCGACGGCGAGACCCGCGGCATGGTCGAGAAGATGATGTACGACCAGCGCCAGAAGGAGATGGGCCTGCCCTCCTCCGACGAGCAGAAGAAGGCCGACATCCTCAAGAAGTTCCAGGCCCAGCATCCCGAACTCGACTTTAGCAACGCCAAGGTAAATTAAGATACTTGCTCCCTACCAAGTTACGGAAGAGTACAGTTGGGAAATACCGTGAGGACATGCTTGCTTGCTGCATATAGTTATAAGGACACACGAAGTATCAAGAGCACGGAAAGGCTTTGGAATAAAAGTGCATCTTATTAATTACGTATGTATATATAAGTGCTACGAGAGAAATGGAATGTGCAGGGTGAAACGAATCGCCAGTACCACGGAAAAGGCAAACAAGACCAAGGGTAGCGGCGTCAGAGAGCCCTGCTCTGGTTCAATCTTGGAATCGCTAGTAATGACATAGCAGATGATAGCCGCTACGCATCAATTGTCAGATTGATAAGCGTTCCGTCGCGGTTGTCCGCAGTTTAAAAAATAAAAAACAGAAATATCAAAAACCACTTACGTTGGGCACACGGCATGAACTTACCTCTTGTCGATAGCTTCCTATTGATTTCTTATACTCGTTGAGAGTCTTAGGACATGTTGGCCGTAATAGGGTGATGCATTGATGCTACCTAGGTACGGACCAAGCGCGTGTCGTCTACATGCCAATTGCCAAGGTGACCGATCTCCTGCGAGGCTTATCTCATGTTATAAAACCTCTTCAACGACGAAGACCTCCAGTTGCAGGTCAAATGCGAACCGCAGTCGCAGAACGATCCGAAAACTAGGCATATCACTTGGGTCGAGTTAACGCAAGGCTTCGGTCCTCTTTAAGATTTAGCCAGCCTAGCCGCCTTGAAGCGACTCATCCGCTTTGGTCCACCCTGCTCTTCATCAAGTGGCTGGATAGGACTTTCATCTTCCTTCATGAACCCGCCCTGTTGGTAGATGAGCTTGTTGCGCATCTTGTAGTATTCTTCTGTAGCCTGCTTTTGTAGCATATTGGCATCGAATTCGTCCGGCTCCCTAGCTTCCGAAGATGGTTCATGCTCCAAGATAGAAGTCGCCAGGGTCTGGTTTTCCGGTCCTGAGGGGGTAGGTCCAACGACATCGGGTGTATCTGGCATGATAGGGGTACCACCCAGGGCTACCGGAGTTGTATTTATAGGGGTCCCATTATTCCTCGCCTTTCGGAACCGGGATACTTTCTTGCTTGGTGCTGCTGTCGGTTGTGTTGTCCTGCTGCTGCTACTGCGCTCCATCACAACGTCGGATAATGGGTCCACCTCGTGCTGCTTTGATTGTGTCTGGGACACTCGCTCCGGAGCTGACGCTGGCGCTTCGGCTATATCAAGACTCTGGGCAAATCTAACGCTCTTCTTGTTGTCTTGTGCTGATGACTGGTTTTCGGCTTCGGATGGGACGATTGGCAGACTTTCGACATTGCCATTTAAAGCATCTCCATTCTCACGTTTGATGCTTATGCGGCCAATACCTTCTACCATATCTTCCTCGTCATCTGCTGCCTGGTTCTTACTAAAGGTATAGTCGCTCAGCCTCTCCTTGAGTTCTAGCATCCGCCGTTTCCAATCATCATCAACAGCGAGCTTGGTCTTACCCCACTCGTCTTCATCGTCATCGTTTTCCTCTTCATAGTCACTATAGTCGTCTGTATCGTCACCCGTAGATCCTTCTTCCAGTTGCAACTCGGCAACAATAGGAGCCATCTCAAACTCCATCGTCTCTTTGTTGTAACGAATCATATCTTCTCTCAGTGCGGCATCCTCCATAGATTCGTCGGCAGGGAGAATGGGGTCTGATATTATGCTCTGCTGATCCTTAGCTTTTTGTAGGATCTCTTCCAGTCTCTTGGCAGTTTCCGACTGCTCCAGCTCTTCTCCAGATTTCGTGTCATCGCTAAATTTCACGCTCTTCTTCCTAGATGCAGATTTTACTTTCGCTTTCTCCTTGGCCTGCGAACCATTAAGCGCATCTGGAGCAACCTTTGGCGAATCATTCACCTGGGGTCCCTTAGATTGCTGGTTTGATGTACTCAAGTCACCATTCGATGTTGTTGATTTGCCATCCTGCGTCTTCTGTGAGTCCTCGGGTATCGGGGTAGGATCAGTAGGTGAAAAATCAGAAATTCCAGCTTTTCGAAGAGCTTCAAGGACTTGGGGTTGGCTATCTCCTGCGGTGCGTAGGCTATACGACACAATATTGTCGTCGTCGTCCAGCTCCTCTAATATCTCGGTGATTGGTAGTCCATCTTCATCAGTTGCGTCTGGGTTTGCAACAATTGTGACAGCAGCAAGTCTGTTTTCTGCCTCTTCATGCTGCTTACCAAGCGTGTCGATATTCTTGGAGACATAATCCAGCCGATTAGTGAGCGTACTAATGATCTGCTCGACCTTCTTCGAGTCGTCACGCCCGAAGACGTCAACGAGCTCCTTCTCATTCAATAACTTGCCCTTGAACTTTTCCCGGGTGTTTCTCAGCTCCTTCCGACCAGCTGCTAACGGTAGCGACTTTACATCGGCTCGCAGCGCTTCATACTCTTTCTTCCATTGTTTCCAGTGGTCAAGCGCATTAGAAAGTCTCGTGACATTTTCCTCTAGCTTCTGCCGATGCCTTTCCAGGTCAAGAAAGCTGTCTTTAGCGGCGGCCATTTTGAAGGTTAGAATGTAATGATTTACAGAAAATAATTGTTCGGAGGCAAACGCGAAAATGAGACGGTGCTTTTTGATTAGCTGGAGAAAAATGGAGTTTGTTCATTCCAAAGGTTTCGAGTTGCTGGAAAGAAAAGAGGCTGGTCTCCACCTATCACGTGCTATCATGAAAGGTAAGCTCGGACCACAAGCCGATATTAGGTACTTAGGTACATCTCCTTATTAAGCACATCGCCAGCGCCCTTAGCAAGCAAATATCCCCCTTTTTGTTAACCTGCTTTCAATATAATGGCTACGCATCTAACTTACAGAATGAGCAGGACTTGCGATAATGGGAGCGATGATGAGATTTCGGAAGAGAGCAGGACCATTGGTACGTATTTGGGACGCCCTGAAATGGAAATAGAAGCCATTCGAGTGCATGAGTATCAGTGTATCAAAGTAGACAAAGTAGACAACCAATATTTCTAGTTGAGCATAGTAATCCTGTCCAACTTCTCAACTACTATATAAGCAAATGTCAATTTATTAAACCCAGGATCAAGTTATAAATTGTTAGTGATTAGTTGAGTGTGATCGGGTATTTTCTCATTATATGAAGCTAAAGGAATTAGACCCCCTAACCACAGAGTATCACATATTGCGAGAATTGAAACACAGCTTCGCGTTGACAAATCCTCCAAGAAAGAGTACAGTTGCAAAATTTTATCTTAGAGTCTTGGGATTGAATTATTATATCCTAACCGCCAGTGTAATGCAAAGTGGTATATCGCGTTATCGTCAAAGCCAACTCCTCTTATTTGACTTCATTCACCGAACCCTTATGAAATCAATCCAGCTTTTTATTCAGAATTTATGTTGTTGATCCACGTCTTAACCGCAGCATACGGTAGCTTCCTTTGCAGCACTTGTCTGCTGTCCACTAATATAATCGTTAGAGTTGAAAGAAGGCATAGTGCTCAAAGGGTTTATTAAAGCACTTACCCGCCAAGCTTCTCCCACTGGAAGATGAAGCTGCCAATGTAGGCACCAATGAAGATGCAGATGATGATGTAGCCATTGTAGTACATGGCAAGTCTAATAAAAGGTAGTTAGCCATGTTAATCCATTTTGATGTTATTTGAGAATACAAAGAATGAAATTAGGAGACCTACAACATGAGGAAGTAAGCCACGACAAACTGAGCAGTGTGGAGGAAGGCACGGATAGCCTGCTCAATCAGCTTGGGTCTATAACCGTTGCCCGCTACGGTGTTGACTGAGGGTGCCTCTCCAGGAGGAGTCTGGTCAGGCTTAGGAGAAGTGCGACCATTCTCGTTGTTATCATTACTAGCAACAGAAACAACGAGGCCATGACTAGCATTCTTGCGGACGAGGTAGTTGTCGTACTCTTTAACAGAGCGGCGCAGGAACTCGAGTAGGATAGCAAGCAGGATAACACCAATGCAAGAGCCTGCAAACATTCCCTTTGATGTGATGTGCCAAGAGGAAGAAATGAAGCAGGCATCGACTGTGTACCAGTTCCAGAGCATCTATTCATGTTAGTTAAACTTTACCGTGTCGAATCTAAATAGTCAATTATGTATTATGTAGATAGAAGATCACTTACGTTGATCTGGCAGCCTCCTCCCATGCCCATATCCATATCCATCGTAGCAGTGCTTGATGATGCAGCAGCGGTCATAGTCGGGGTTGCCATGTTCATCGTGCTAGACGTCGTCATTGATCCCATTTCCATCTTAGCTGATATATGAGAATTGCGTCACAGGTTAGAATTTCAATATAGATTGGATGTTAATCCGATGGGTTGAGACTTCTACCTAGAGTCTATGGATGGTGTATATGCAACTTAGGTAAGCCTTGAAGTTGTTACCTGTTTGGAATTGCACGGGACGATAAAAAAAAGAAGAAGAAAAAGTAAAGACCTGCCAGCAGAAAAGAAATTAAGTTAAGGGCAGTGCGGCAGAAACAACGGGAAGACAGTTGACGGGAGAGCCGTCAGGTCGAACCTTAATTATTTATGGTTACCATGGCTTTCAGTGTCCTAATCTGATAGACTGACCGTTGAAGGAATTTACATGTAGTTACCCTTGTTGTGCCACCGCATGGGCTGTAATAGTTTGATCCTGAAAATCAGTAGTTCTAAACTGTTAGTACCTTGGCACACAAAATACCTGCTGTAGGTACCTATTCTTGGCCGGGAGCACATTTGAGCAAGTTATGGCCGTAAGGCCCACCTGCCACCTTACGATGTTGTACAGTATAAAGTAGGCAACTACAATCTTTGCGGCATTCTGCTTACACGCCTATTGGGTATTACCTAACCTACCTATTAATGACAATGGTCACACAAGAGAGCAAATATTGTACATCTTCACTTGTAGCTTCGTCTATCTTCGCTATCGTTAAGCCCAAATCCTGCTTGCCTGCTAACGCGCTTTAATTGGTCTTTTTCAGTTTGATACCAATTATACCGCCTACCATACATGGGTCTACCTCAGACAATTCTTTCATCTACCTATCATATCAGTAGGTAGATACGATTGATATTTCAGACTGATCATAAGCCATATCAAGCAGCCTCGATACGTGCAAAAAAGAATTTATTATTACTTTTCTCAAAGACAGATGCATATCTAGATCCCTTATTGGAATCCCTAAGCGAGATCTATATCGCCAATCTCGGAAAGTGTCCTCAGTCCTTCTCCTATTTTGGCGAGAACATGTACGACAATGTTCGCAGTGTCTTAGCACAGACTTATACGAAGACGTAATCGGTGTCGCACTCTAGCGACTTTGGATTAGGTGGCTGACACGAGGCGGAAGAAACAATCAGCCTTGAGAGTTAGGTTAGTCTTCTGCAATACCTCCTTGGAAACATCATTGGCAAGTAACTTCGATCACTTACGAGGTGCCAACCCCTTTAGACTTAGCATTTTTCTGAGTCTCCGAAGGGATCTTTTCCCGCTTCGATGCCTCTCGCTTTCGACCATCGGCTCCACCTTGACCAGTAACACACAGAGCGAAATATACTGCGCCGCTGGTGTCGGTTCCGTTATCTTGCACGGCTAACTTTCCCGTCATTTCTCCACAGGCAATGGATTCCCGCACTACCTTAGCCTTAGTCACATACAAAACCTCACTGCCGGTTACCTTCGCCACGCAGTTATGCCAAGGAGTAGGAATATGCAATAGATCACGGGAAGTTATGGAGTTGCTGTGCGGCGAGAGTGACTCAACTGCTCTGACCAATTTTGGGTCAAAAAGTTGAACGCCAAACTTGGGTCCAGCATTGTTATGTCTAAGGGGTACATATCGTTAGTTTTGTCCCGTCAAGACTAGTGAGACAATGTCTCAGGTTAAGCCTGGGCAACTTACGCGTGGATCGACAACCGAATATGGTTGGGGAAGAGAAGTTCCACAAGATTTGAGTATGCTTGATTTCTCTACGATTGTTGCGGTTAGTTTATTTCTGCTGCTCTATATAACTCTAGGATAAAGTTTGGATGGGGAGCAGGGCTTTACCATCATCATCTCAAATGCTACTTTGGACGAGAGTTTCTTCTGTTTTGAGCGGCTCATTGTTCGCGTAAATGGATGGAGCTCCAGATCCTCAAGCATGAACCGCGAAAATCCACGATATAATGCTAGGATCCCGGCCTCTTTGGACTCAATCTTAGTTCGGAGCGCGGCCTTCTGCGATTGGCATCCAGCCATTAAGAGACGTCGGCAAAGTTCAGCTTCTACGGTTATTCCCGTCTGGACATAGTGATTGATGGACGGAATATCTAGTTTGGAGATCTTCGCAAGCTTTGACGGGCTATTGTACTTCTCCAACTCAAAGAGGTCGACAAGAGATTTGAAACCTACTCGGTCTGTGTTGCCCCTTTGAAAGCCGATTTCTCGATTCATCTTGATCAACTTCCGACTATACGCGTCCACATCTTTATCGTCGACACCAACTATAAACGGTTAGTACAACTTGCCAGAGTCAGGGGCAAAGATGGTACATACTGCAGTCGCTGAAAACATGTCCGTCGCTAATTATCCAGAGCTTCGCACCCGCGCTGTATACCGCCTCGATAGCTTCGACAAAGCCGTGAAGATGTTCTAGGGCCAGCTGCTCGCCATAATCCGGGTCTTTACCCGTGACCTTGTCTGTATTGGTCGATTTACAGGGGAAGGCGGGCAGACAAAGCTCAAGCTTCCGACCCTGAGAAGTAAAATGGTGAACGCGCTCCGTAAAGTAAACTCGTCCAGAAACACACCACTTATCATGTTCACCTTGATATCGAAGGTTCGTGTCAAACAGGGACACTATTTTCTCAGTAACCAACTCAGTATAAAGATCAGAAGGGCCCGGACTAGAAGGGCCCGGATCAGCCTGATCAGTGATGGCAAAGTTGGCCTGGCGAAGGAGCAAACGATTGAAAAAGGCCTCAAACTCTCTCTTAGCATCCGTGGGGCTTACCAGGTTATCAAGGATGATTCCGGTAAAAGATCCATTCGAGGTTTGATATAGCTCGTACAATTGCAATCCCTGTAAGTCGTCGTCCAGCTCAGCGCAATAGTAGGGCATCTTTTCTACGCTAACTGTGTCATTCCAAGTACAAAGGTCGGCGCTTATGATGTGCCAGTGCCGCCTGATTCGGGTTTCCTGCGGACCTGTGCAATACAATAAGTTGCCGTATGAGTCGCGAGAGAATGCAGCCTGGAATCGATAGTAAATCGACTCTCCTTCTTGGGGAATCTCCATGGTAGGGTGGTGGTAATTTCCGCTGGCTGATCCCGAGATGCGTGCCAGGTAAGGATGGGGCGGCTCTTGAGGAACGGAACACCGAAGATATCCTGGGGATCCGGGATATATATCCGAATATATCCTGCACAGTTTTCCCAATCATTTCGTTTGTCACTTTATCCAAACGACCGTGGATCCATTCACTCCCAACATTGAAGGGCTCGGCGTGCCCTAGCCTGTGTCAGAAATCACGAATCAAGACCGCATCGGAAAGTATCTCCGCTTTAGACAGCAGCAGGTCCCGGGAGACAGTTGCTTAGCGGCTTTTACGATGGTATCTAAAGTAAGGCACAAATATAAGAACTATAGCATCTTGAGCGGGACAGAATAGTCGAAGACCAGGATCTAGGATTGAACTGAAGTTACATGTCAGACAAACCCCGAAGTGCTGAGCCGCAACGCGTGTAAGGGTTGCGACATAGTCACGATCTTCACAAGTGACAATGTGTCTCCAAGCAACATAAAGTTCTGGAAAAGATGCCTTCAAAGCAGCAGTCCGACCCAGATACGTACACAAAATGAGAAGAAGTGGAGAGTAAAGAATTATAGCGTGAGCTAATATGAAAGAGACGATCCTCAAGGTTGTTTCTCGATTAGGGATGGCGTGTCCGTTCTGTCGGGTCAACTACCAAATATCTGGGAGGTGTAGGGATGTGATTTTATTTTCTATGATTCTCTACTCCTATCTATTAAGAGTTCCTTTCTATCACTGACGTAGTCTAGTCGCGGGCCCGATAAAGGAAAACTAAGAACAGAAAAGGGGAACAAAAAGTCCTCGGCGTACTACTTGATCAAGGACCCAGAACTCGTCTCGCCTTAAGGACGTGTGAGTATCATCCACCCTCTCCCACCAAATATCTAGAATCTTTCTTGCTTTGAGACTCTAGCTAGCCATTTTGTATATGCATGTCTGTCGCATAGGAACCATAATTTGGTAGCTTAGATGTCCAGATATAACGGTTGTTTCAGTAACGTTCTTGGGGTAATTATACCTTTTCCCCGTACTTGATGTCGTTAGCCTCTATGTGACAACGGAAACCGCCGGCACCAACGTCCTCCTAAATCCCGCCGACTACCCGGAAAAGGGTCAGAGCGATGCTTTCCACGGTCTTACCTCAAATAAGGTTGCTTAATGTAACTTGACATGTGGATACGGGAGAATTATGTAAGGTTTCGAGATAATCGCTCGTACATAAGTGTCATATGCTACCCCCTTTTTCCTGGTCGACTTCTGGAACTCTGGGAATAGGTACAAAGACGATCAACGCTAAGTTGAATTGTACCAGCGTATTTGATTGCTTGACGTAGAATAATCAAGGTTTAAGTTATGTATTTCAACAACCCAAAAGCCTACATGAATTGGGTGGTCAAGTGGTAAAGTAAAAGTCACTTGTAAGCCAGGTTCTGTTTTTTCCTCTTCAATATCCTCTTCTTCCTCAGTGTTCGAAACACAACTGTACTCTGGTAAGCGAAGAGTTCCACCTAAGAACCATATTCATTCCAAGTCTAAAGCATTCTCAAGACTCAAAATCAAAAGCTTCCGAGATGTAGCACTGAGAGGGGCTAGAATACCTCTGTAAAGACTCTCTTTAAGCCTTCAACAGGACCTTGGTATAGGAAGAGAGATAGGACTGTAATCTAGAGCTTGATATACACAGACTTTTATCCTGTGGAATGTATACACTCACTCGCCTGATGTGTATTCTTCCCCCTTTGCCATGATAGTTAGTTGGATTCGAACACCATTACGCACCACCTGCCAGAGATTAGTTCTTTATGAATCAAGGATAGAAAAAGTTGAGAATTCAATATTATTCATATCCAAAGAAACTGCCTAACCTAGGCGTTACGCAATAGAGAACTTAAAGCTCGGAGCGTACGTATGATACCTCTTGCATACCTACCACCATAGGAGGTACATTTTCTCACTCACCCACTCACCCACCCACTCACGCCCCGCTCGTCGAAAACGACCTCGGTATCTCGCTAAGCCTCCGCGGCAACAACGTGTCTTCCGGCCGATCACTTAACGTAGCCTTCGAAGTATGTCTGCGCGCCAAGCCCATCCTGCGGGAAATACTTTCCTTTATAGACGACGACGAGCCCTCAGTGTGGGACTTACTCGAGCTCCGCCGCAGCCCGTCTAGGAACTTGACCTGTTTCTTCTTCTTCTTCTTTTCTAGAAGAGCAGGCTGGGCGCTGTGACTGTCCCGCAGGGTGTGCATGCCCTCGAATCCGCGCGGCTGCTGCGTGACCACGCCGTCTGCGGTGATACTTACTAGTTCGGCGTGGGGGTCTACGCCGTACGACCGTAGCATGTCGTCGTGTTCCCGAACGGCCTGCTCCGCGCGGTGCGTCGACAGCACAGCCGCTACGTCGATGCCTGCGCGCGCTATCTCCGGCCTGGCGTTGACGTAGCGGTCTGTAAACGGGGTCCAAAATTCCTGACCGAGTAGCGTAGGCAGTAATCTCGGCTCCAAAATATGATTCGTACGCGCCGCCCTATCCAGAATCCAAAAGATATCACCGGCAATCGTCTCCAGCGCCAAATCCGTCTTCCTCTTATCCTCCTCCTCCTCATCATCATCACCACCACTCCCCCCCCTCCTACGAAGATAATCCACATACCCCGCCGCCGCATGATCCAACTGACTAGCCAAGCCCAGCACCCACGCACCACTCACCCTAGACCGCACCTTCTCCAGCCTCTCGAACCCGTCGTCCAGGTACTTTATGCGCACGCGACACACCTTCCCTCTCCCACTCCCACTCCCACTCCCTCTCCCACTACCTTTAACCGGCACCCCCACCGAGTCCGCAAACGCATCGTACCCACTAGCCGCGAGCCACGCGCGCACGTTGTCTTTCGCGTGCGCCGAGCACAGGATACTCACGCGCGCGACGCGGCGCCCCGTAAACCCGTGGTCCACGAGGGCGCCTAGTCCGCAGATCGCGTACGACACGTGTTCGAGGGCGGTAGCGATAGTGTTGAAGACCTGCGCTAGCTCCGCCGCGTCGAGACTCGATGTGCTCCAGCTCGCGCGGGGGTCCTCGCCGTTGGAGGTGGTTGGGAAGCGTTGGCGCGGAAGGCCGGGACGCGGGCGGGTGTGTGTTGGGAGAGGTGGGCGGGGGAGCTGTGGTTCTGCGGGAGCGGAGTGGATGGGCTGGAGCGGAAGGCCGGTTTGTTCGTTTTCGAGTTTAGCTGGGAGGTGAAGCGGGCGCTGGCGGCGGTCTAAGCTCTCTCTTACCTGGGCATTGTACCGATTGCGAAGGTACGTGGGGGTGGTTGGGGTGGTTGGGCTAGACATCTCCGGCTGCGGGCAAGGCATACAGCACCAGATCAGGTTTAGGGATAACCTATCCGTATTAGAAGGCATAGTGTTCGACTGGCGTGGGATACTCACTGTGGAATTAGTTATAGTTTCGATCGTCGTAGTTGTAAATAGACCTACGCTATGCTATGCTATGCTAACGTAGGATGAAACGAGACAACTGATTAGTACTTTTTATTCGGCGACTAGAATTACGTGGATGCGGGATTGGGCGCGGGCTAGATTATATAGCTTCTAAACAATGTCTTTGATCATAGGCGACGTCTTTGTAGATTCACTCATGCCTTTTTCTATAACCTGGCCTTCAAAGACCGACTGGCTCACTTGAGGAGGAACAATCCTAAAGTTGAAGAATGAACCTTTGGACTAGGAACATTGTTATTATCCATAACAATGCCTAACAAGGACAAGGCGTAGACGATATATCGAAGTAACCCTAGAAAACAAAGTCAATAATACGTAGCCACACAGAAGTCGAAACTCTTCACAGCAGGAAAAAACTAAGATGGTATTAGCATGGGCGGAAATATTCCCTTGTTCATGATACCTCGCTAGCACATATGCAAGACCGAGCCGTGAAACGAGCCGTTCATTATCGGGCTCTCTAGACCGGGCCCGCTAGCCCTTCCAACGCCTATGATACACTGCTGAGGATCGAGACCTCAGATTGGAATTAAATTTGTTCTCGAGAATGCAGATTTACAATTCCTCGTCCTCGACGTCCATATGATCCCCGTTCGATTGGCCATTAGCCGCTGCATCCTTTTTGGGCATCGTAGCTTCTTTGTCGATCATCTGCCTCGACACGGAAACGATGTTATCCTCGATAAGCTTCTGTCCAACATCCTCAAGATGCTTCTTGGGGTCCAGCTTGCCAACGTAGCGCGTCTTGAGCTGGTCCTTGGTCAACTCGGTCTCCTCCTTGACTCTCTTCTCGTAGCCCTCGGCTAAGGTCACCAGTGTCTTGAAACGCTCCTTGTTCTTCTCGTCCTCGTGTCTGAAGTCCTCCATCTGTAATGCCTCGGTCCATACGTGCTTGTGTAGGTTCATGAGCATATTCTCCTCTAGCGCAGTCTTGCGGTAGTTGATGCCTATAGAGTAGTAGTGTCGGTTGAGTCCGTGAATAAGCGCTTGGATAGAGGGCTTATTGAGGTGACCCAAGTTGGAAGTACTCTGTCTTGGCTCTTGTCCGAGCATCAGAGATTGCGGGTTGATGAGGCGGAAAGCGTCGATGACGACCTTTCCTTTGACTGACTGTATGGGATCAACGACGACGGCGACGGCTCTCGGTGTTAACTGCTCGAAACTTTGTTGGGTGTTGATATCGACCGAGGAAAGCCAACATCCGAATCCGGGATGAGAGTGATACCATCCAACGACCGACTCAGGTCTGCACAGAAATATTAGTAAAAGCATAGGAAGAGAGGTAGACGGGACCATCTTACCGTCCGGTTTGCGTCAACATGTCCATCATCTTCTGCTGGAATACCGGGTCGACAGCTTCGACACTGACACCGGTACCGCTCTGGGGCATAGCGAAGACATCCACCACTCGTACTGTAAAATCGTCGACGAACTCTCCTAGCATAAGTCCCATGACTTCCATGGGCACACCTGCTCGTCCGTGTCGTAACATCTTGAGTAGCGCAAGGGAAGAAATGTATACTGTCTCGGAGTTGTCGATTAGGTTTTGGTTGTCCTATTTAGATAGTATATTAGTACTCATACGGGATATCCAGAGGACCTATATCGTTGAGAACTAAGCTTCTTACCGATCCCGGGGCGGCGCCGAGTCCCATGCCGCTGGCACCGGCAAGCATTCTGTTCAACCGGTCCATCTTAATATGTCGGCGCTATCGCAGTGTGAATTGTAGTAAGTTTACAAGGTGCACCGAGTCGTAAAATCAACAGGGATTGACGACTAGACTGGCGGGAAGAACGGGTCAGAGTAGAGTGTGATGGTGCGCGGTAATGTTTAATGTTGGTAGAATTATTTGAGAGGCAATGTTTAGAAATGATGGAAGCTCACATCAAAATGCAGGCGTTGACGAAGCCCGGGTCTGCCTGCATAACGTACCTAAATTACCTAAGCACCCAACGCTAAAAGCTATCGCATTTGATCGATAAGGGAGCTCGGGCCAGGTACAGCTTTGCCACGTGACTTTATAGTTCCTGGGAGGTACTTCCTTAGGTACATCCTAATTTGCTCCATCTGTTAATGTATTTTCAGCCTCGGTTAGGCGCATGTACTTCGTACCCTGTAAGCACTATATCTTAGTGCCGTCATCGTCGGAGCCAATCCCAACGTCGCTTCGTCGCCCAGTCCGGTCAAGAGCATCAACCTGATCAACGCCTATAGAAAGATACATGTCAACTAACGAGGCTATGCAATTGGCATATAAGAATGTCTAGCAAACCGGCATTAATTCATAAGGTATAGTAAACTACGACATAGGCAAGTGGAAGTGTAGATTATCTTATGAGTATTGATTCACTTTATTATTATTTCTTAGGTAGGTATGGATTAGAATCGCCAAGTTGTAATTGTAATTTATACAACTAAATATAAACATTTGCGAAAGTCATCCTTGGGCTCGGGGCGATGACATACGTTCCACTACACGGCTGAGCTGATATGATTCGGGCGTCCTACAGCTCCTTGGTTGGGTTCCATTCACTTACCTGATAACACAATAAAAAGCTCCGCTTACTTCATAATCCCAACCCTCCTTTACCTCGCCATGGGATCTGATAGGCTTAGAACAGGGCGCACACAGCCTGCCTGCCTGGCGACAAGCTCGAGGTAGTCTACCCATTCATTATAAGCCCATATTCCTACCAGCAAGCTATATTTCCCAATGTCCTCAACATCACCCGTCAAACATTTACTTCGGAGCTTCCAACGAACAAGCTTCACAATGTCTACCTCATATGGTCTGTTCCAAGTACACGACTCGGGGGAGGCCAAGGTTGAGTACGGAGTTTGAGACTTTTATAACCCTTGAGTTTTTACTAACTTGGCATGTGCTAGTATCGTGCTCTTACACGGGCTACGAGGTGATATAGAGAAGACTTGGACTAAGGACGGAGTTATATGGCCGAAGGACTTACTCCCCTTAGATGTCCCCGAAAGCCGTATCTTCCTCTTCGGCTACGATACTAGCATTGCTCAGAAAGACCCCACGCGCGTCGCGAACACAGAAATCCACAGCGATGCTAACGATCTCTGCTCTAAGCTTGCGGCTGAGCGTTCGAGCACCGGCACGGTATGATGTGTGTCCAAGATCCAATTCGGTATTACTACTAACTTACAATCCAGGACAACCGCCCTATCATCTTCATTGCCCACAGTCTCGGCGGCCTAGTCGCGGCGCAGGTCCTCGTCCACGGAGACCAGCGCGCCGAGGCATCGAGCGCCGAGGCCATCGCCAAGAACATCCGGGGCATGATATTCCTCGGGACGCCGTTCAGGGGGTCTCCATCGGCGCGGAAAGCCGAGGCCGCCCGGAGGATCCTGCAGGTTTTCGGGGTCAACACGCAAGAGCACACCTTGAAGCTCCTGGGGGTCGATTCGGAACGCTTGGACGAGCTCACTAGGGCTTTCCCCGAGGTCCTTAATAAACGCCGGGCTTCTAAGAACCCCTTGGATAGGATCGAGGCGTTCTTTTTCTACGAGATTTTGAAGACCAAGATTGGATTTGGCTCGACGCAGGTTAGTACCTCTTAGGCAGCCTTCTATGTTTCAATTCGTTCTCTCGAAGTAACAGGTCACTGTGTTAGATCGTCGAGCCCGAGTCCGCCCAGCTTCCAGGCTGTGGCGACGCAACCCCTATCCGCGCCGACCACATCGGCATCTGCAAATTCAAAACCCAGAAAGACGAGGGCTACGGCGTGGTCGTAGCCGCTATTCGAAAGATTATGATGCCTACCGGCGGCGAAACTCAACAGGTAAATCACATGCCTAACATACCTATCTACCTATCTACCTAACAAGGCTCGGGGGAAGTGCAACAATTCGGTGTGGAATGCCCTGCTAATTATTCCACCACTCACAGGGAACCAAGATTATCAACATCCTGGGCCGGGCGGTAAACGTCGCAGCTGACGACATCAACATCCAGAACCAAACAGTCAACTTCTAAAGAGGATACACCGAGGGGGGATCTCATGCAGGCTGCCGATCCAAGACCAGTGACAATGACAATTGTCAAAAGCGTGGCTTAGCGGAGGGGGGAGGACAAGTACCTAGTAAATAGCGCACCTTGTATCTACCTACCTACCTAGGTACCTACCAATCCCACCGTGCCAGGCACGTTGTTGCAGATCTGCACATGTAGCTCGCTGTATGTATGTTACCCCCCGTTAGCATTCAGCCCCCAAATCTGCACCGGAATCCCTGACCTATCACATCCATCCCTCTATGCCATTCGTCAGAGGCGCATCCCAGGCTCTGGTACCGATGTTCAGCTGAAACACCATTACAAGCTATCAGCTGTCCATTTTGCTACTTAGTTACGATTCGGGAATGGTGTTTCTGCAGAGAAAATCCCATCTTGGGAAATAGTACTGGGGGGTATGTAATTCGTAAGGTATCTTTAGATAGAATGATGGCATGTGTAAAAGTGACTTTCTAGACCTCTAGTTCCTCGATTTCAGATTAGCTTCATGTCGCCCCTGTGTAGAGGAGGTAGATACGCAGGGTGAAAGCATCATGTTCGAGTCGCCAGCAGTTAGTACGTGTAGTTCTTCAATCAACGAAAGTACCTATCTATGAATCCCTACATATATCCAAAGGAGTGAAATCACCACATCACTATATCATAATCTTACATCAAAAGAGCCTCAGCGTTCGGTGGTGTAAGTTCACCTCTTCCTCTTCTTCGACTTTTTCTTCTTAGATTTCAGATCCTCATCGCTTGAATCATCTTCATCAGATGTCCTCTTTTTCCTCTTTGACTTATTTCTAGGTTTTCTAACCTCATCACTACTATCATCATCCCCAGAGTCGTCATTATCATCATCATTCTCGCCCTCGTCGTCGTCGTCACCGTCGTCGTCATCGCTAGAATTCTCATAAGAGAAGTCCTCCGAACTACCTTCCTCAGACTGTAGCCTTTTGCCTGTCTTTTTCTTCTTGCTGTTGTTTTTCTCGTACGCGTAGATTGGGTCCGCGCGACGTGTTACAACTGGGTAGCCCGGCCAATTGTCCAGTCTGAGAATTCCGTCCCGGGCTAGTTGGGAGTCGTCTTTCCCTAAGCTAAGCTCTTTGAGGTAGCTGTCGAATTCGATGGCTCTCTCCGCGACTTTAGCGAAGTGTTCTTTTCTAATTTCCAGAGGCTTCCCCTGAGTCCTAGCTTCGTAGTTGGCAATGGCGATAGCGGTCTGGAAAGCATTTCGGATTTGCCTAGAGAGAAAGGCACGTTAGATAATGTCATAGTACTATTATAGATCAACTCACCGTCCATTCCAAGGACGCAGCTGCAACTTCTTCAACCTCTTGAATTGCTTCTCCGCGTACTTAAGTATTTCCTTTTTCGGGAATTTAAATTCCCTCTTTTCGCTCTCGAACTCGTCTTCTAGCCTGTTCAGGTTGTTCTCCCAGATTTGCAAAGTTCGTTCTCGATTTAACTTGGGGTAATAAAGAGAGAGATGTATACGAGATTTGAATGCTCTGTCGATAGTCCCGACTCTGTTAGTAGTGAGGAAGAGAATACCCTATCACCTATATGTTAGCGTCTCTTTACCAATGATCACTACGCGGTAGGTTACTGACACTATAGTACTCCAATGTTCGTAAGAAGACTGTTTTAATATTATGTTCTTAGTGTATGGTATAACAAATATTGACAGGCAAAAACTCACCTGACACGATAGCGTTGCGTGTAATATCGTGGTTTGTGCGTCTACTCAGAAATATACTATATCTTACTTAGTAAAGCCTTCGCTAAGTCACTTTGGATACGCATTCTTACTCAGCTTCGTCTAGGAGAAGTACGCAACCCCATTTATGGGCCAGCTGGAAGTTCCTCTCGAGATTCGTCTCTACAAGCTGCGCATTGTCCCCTATATCGCCACATGTGACTGGGAAGAGCGGCCGCTTGGTATGATCAGCTACGCACTCGGCAGTGCTTGTCTTGCCAACGCCGGGTTCGCCATGAAGTAGGATGGTGAGGCCCTTGCCTTTTCCTTGAACCAAGTCTATTGGTGATAGCATACCCTCACCCTGGGGATCTTGATTGTGGGGCTTTTGGTGATACTCTACCAATGCGAGAATAGTGTCCTTGATTGGGTTGTCAATAACGAGATTTTTCCAGCCGTTCTTGTACTCGACTTCGCGGAGAAGATCGATATCAAAGGTTGCCCATCTTCTGGTATGGAGAACGAAGCCAAAGACCTTGGGGGGTAGCAATACCAGTTGGTCGTCTGTTAGTTGGTCCACAAGCCACGTCGAATTAAGAATAGATCGTTTTTGGTTCCTAAACTCGTTGCGATCCTTTTCGTCAACTTCAAAATCGTCGTAAATTACATCGTTTCCACAGCACCCTACCGCATCACACATCGTACAATAGGGGTGAATATCTTTCAGCTCTCGCGGGTCATCATCCGCAAGATTCTCGACTCCTATCTCGGGCTTGTTCTCTGGCTGTTCAACGAAGGAGAGCTGAAAGTCAATAATAACCTCGGACTCAACCTAGATACCGCTGTTAGAAGTACACTGAGTTGTATGGTGCCATAGTATCACTATACCTGCTCTGGACGTTTGTCGAGGGTTAGGCCCTTGTATAGTTTGTGCGCCGTCTTGGCTGGGTTCGATAGTTCTGCAAATTTCTTCCCCCTTTCCAGCAGTTCATTTCGGAGGTGCTTGCTGTCAGCTCCAATTTCGAGAGGGATGACCGGGAGCGATGTAATCTCCCTTGCACCATCAAATTTAGGCATCTGGAATGTTTGGTTGACAGGTCCGTACTGCTTGCCATCAAAGTGCATATAGAAGCACTCTATGATGAGTGATCCGGTAGAATAGCCCGCTTCTTTCAACTTGATCGACGCATGGTTGGTAGGAGGCTCTATCCAGGGGTTTAAAATATCTCGTCCACCTGTTACTTTAAGTATACGATATCTACTCTAACGTCAGCATATTATTTAAGGTACTGAGTAATGCCATTTGGTGTCTCTCACAGCTGAACTTGGCTCTTGCCTGTCGTCCGTACTTCATCTCCGGTTTTGAATATGTACCAGAGATCTTCGAAATAAACCATCTGTCCGATAGGACTTAATCGATGTCGTAGATTAACCTTAGGCTGTAAATATTTACGTATCATGTCGCACAAGAGGCCAAGATGGGCTTTTGCCTCTTCCGTCTCTGTCTCGTTAGGAACACCATGATATCCGCCAGACGCTGCTTCTAATGTTAGTCTATATCTTCATCGAAAGTTGGAGGAGTCTACGTACGTGTAGCTTTATTAGTGATTTGTTGAAGGTGATCCCGTAATTTGTCAGTATACTCAACTAGGAGCTTGAATGGTTTGAAGAATACGAGTTTGTGCCGGTGCTGGCCAACAACTGTCTCAAGCCCTGTCGCTTCTTTGAGTACTTTTAACAGTATTGGTGATCTAATTCGGATACGATAAGGTGTCCCCGGCTTCTCCCTACTTGCTGCACTTGGTATAAAGTCATGTTGACTCGGCATTTCAAGACCCGGTAATTTCCCTTGGGGGTTTGGTTGACCTGGAAGTTGGATCTTCTCAGTCTTGCGGATCACATCATATCTCGGTTCTTCTATTAGCACCTCAATTACTGGCTTCGGAGTTGGATCAAGCTCTGCCACGTGCTGCCAAGTATTCGAACTAGCTTTCGGATCGAGATCAGCTCTCACGCCGTACTCTGACCAGGTCAGCTCGTTAATTACGCCAGTACTTGGTGGAATTGACACTGATGCATGCTCGTCTAATTGTGGTTCGGGCTCCTTAAGGATCTTTCGAAGTGTCTTTTCGAGGTGTAGTATGCGATCTTCCACTAAGTTAAGGTATGATTGAGATTGTGCTAGCCTTCGGTTGGCTTTTTTACGTCTCTCTTGAAGTGCCTCGGGATTATGATAGGATTCGTTATATAGGATCCGTCTCCATTTCCCATCACTTATCTTATCATCCTCGGATAGTTCAGCGGCGAGATCGGATTTCTTCTTTACGTTTTCTTCCTCTTGGCCATCATTCTCGGTCATGCCGTGATCTACATCTTTTCCATTCACTTCCTCTATTCCAATATCGTTGGGTAAACCTTCATTATCGTGGCTATCATCTATATCTGTTGCCATGGTGGAGTTGTGTGATGAGATGGTGTCGGCGTTCGTAAGAAGGGATGAGGTATTAGACGATGAATCATCTATAGTCGCCGCCATTCAAATCATTTAAGTAGTGGGTGATAGTGTAGAGGGATTCATACGAGGCTCTGGGCAAATCTCTGTGTAATTAAACCAGAAGAACTTTCTAAGCTGCCTGCGCCTCAAAGTATAAGTTTAGGGTATGATTATAATTCCGTAAAGGATAAGGCTACGAGTTCTCATGACAACTCCTTCCCTTCCTTTCCAGTCGGTCCGAAGTATTAATAGGTACCTAATGTTGGGTAATAGTCTACATGTACATATAACTATCGAAGCTGTAGGAAACCGAGAACCCCCACCTCCCTTTAATAGACTAGAGTTTCTCAGCTGAGAGAACCGCATTAGTAGCGCGATATTTCTTGCAGCTTACATCAAGTCTACCAATTATATTTTAGAGACGCCCGAGTTGACAAGGATTTCAAATATATACATACAGGGCAATGCATTACCAACGGAGTCGCACTGTATACGAGCCCATGCTATTGCTTTACGTACCTAACCTAATATACCTTGCAAGCCACAGGGTTCGGTATTGTCACCAGCCGTGTAACTATCCTCTTACTTAATAGAGCAAGACTCATTTTTCATGGGATAGAAGGTTGATTTGAAACGATAAGTAGGTAGACGTCGCAATGGAAGTTGAGGGCCGGAATCTACAAATAGACGGAAAAGCAGTCAATGCAGCCCAAGGCGACGTTTCGGTCGAACATCAACACATTGATCAAAGAAAGGACCATGAAATCAACCAGAATCACCAAACTAGTGTGATTATTAACAATCAATATGACAAGGGCATCTATGAGCGTCGCATGGTACCATCAGACCCTGCTGCCTCATTTATCGACCAGTTACTATTGAGGGCTATTATCCTCGCTCAAAGGGATGACATCGAATACGATGATCGTGTCGGGAGCCACGTCCGTGTTGAACAGGCCAATCGTCTGACGGAGCATATGTATGCCATTCTGTCGCCTTAGGTCCGTTACGCAAAGGCTAATCTTCTGTCCGAGTTCAGTGCTTCTTTATGGGATAATACATCACCGGCAGTAGATTATCTCAATAAGTCTATTCGAAAGTTCCGGATGCAAGTATTAGAGCCAGAGATAGGCAAGGACAATACGCCGACTCTCCCACATAAGTCATTAGAGGATTCAGTGACTTGGGTCCGGGCAAGTTTGGCGTGTGCAATTTCTCAATCAAGAGATGTTTATACAACACGAAGGAGCACTTCACTTCTACTCCTTGATCTTAAGAAGCACATCTATCCCTATTGCTATTGGGTTAGTTTGCTTAGGAATCAAAATAAAACATGCTGCTTGAGCGGTAAGTTTCTATAGTTATTTAATGAGATCTAAGGTGGCCTTCTAATTTGATGTTACCTATCAGATGCATTCGGCTGTTTGATCTCGGTAAGTCTTGAGTTTTAAAATAACCTCCTTGATTTTTTAACTGCATTCACTTACATGGTAGTTATAGGCTACTATAGGAGGTGTTGAAATCGACTCTGCTATTCTCAGATGCCTAGACGAACTCGCACAGATGTTTTATCACGCCGAAGACTATCTGGCTCTTTGCGCATCTCGCACTCTTAACAAGTCTCTTCATGAGGAGACAGTTCAAACGTTTGAAACCTTAGTAATACTACTTCAAAAATTACTCGAGTATGCCTGGAGAGGTAACAAATTAAATAGTATGGATACCTATACACACCCTAACTGGCGTTATATGGACAACTAACTATAAAAAAGAAAGCCAGAAACAGGATATAGCACACCAGACGGACGAGCTCAAGAAAAGTCTATTTGAAATGAATATAAAGTCCAAGACATTAAAGAACCCAGTCAGGGCAAACGACCTCAATACATACCACAGCGGAGACCTTGGGTTATACGTTCTTCGGACTTTCAAGACGTTCCTCAACTCAGCTGCTTCACAGAGTTCGGCGGATAGCATACCCTACCGCAGGAAGAAAGCTTTGAAAGAAAATGTGCTATGTACGGCAAACGACGGTATGTAATAAAATTGCCTACCTAAACTATAACGCTGTATACTAACATGATTTTACCTAGGACTCTCTCCCGCTACCGTAGCAACACAGTACCTACTTCACGATCAAAGCCGAGTAATCCAAGATTTCGAGGATGCCGCATCGCCAAGCAACATCGACAACGAGGCGATGCGCCAACTATCCACCCTGACCAGACGAGAAGAATTCAAAACCTGGCTACGAGAAGACGGCAAAGCTACAAAACTCCTCATACACGGCGGCCTCGACGACACCAGCACCCTCTCCGCGCTCTCCTACCTCTGCGCGCGCATCCCCATGGAATACCTCCGGAAAACCCGCACGGGATTCATATGCCTCCACTACTTCTGCAGCCTGCGACGAGCGCGTCGGGAAGACCCCGCCGACGCATTCGACATCGTGCGCAGTCTCTGCGGCCAACTCCTCGCGCACGCCGAGCTAGTCTCCGATTTCGACCTAAGTTTCCTCGACAAGAAATGGCTGCAACGGATCCGCGAGCAAAACTTCGTCAAAACATACCGGTTGTTTCTGCGTCTCCTGAAGCAGCTCGACGGGAAGAAGATGATAGTATTCTGCTTCATAGACTCCATCTCGCTCTACGAGACCGGCAGCCTACGGCACGATACCGAGAGGCTCTTTTCGTCGCTTGAGGAGTATTCCAGGTCCCAAAGACGTCGCCAGAGAGGGAAGAGGCCGAAGTTGATATTTAAGCTGCTTGTGACGGATGCTATGGCGACTGGTTATGTGCGCAAGTATTTTAGGAGAAAAGGGGAGATGATAGATATGGATGAAGGCGACGAGCGTGGCGATAATGATGATGTAGATTTAGATGTTCTTTACGGTTGACTTTTAACATATCTAAATGTCTCTATCAGGGCAAGAGGTGATTATAAAGTCTCTGCTTTTCCTTTTAAAGTATCCTTGGATATTTGAAGCTCTTCATATCTCGAAAGGACGGCTATCGTCGTATACGAAGGTGGTACAATTTAGCCCCCTTTTCAGGCCCACTAAATCCACCCCTTTTTCTATACCGGGTATGTCCGGGTATATCCCAAACCCCTTTTCAGAAATGCAAAGTCTACCTTTTTAAAACAGAACTTATTATCCTCCTACCTACTAGACTAGGATCCACAGTTTTTCATAAAAGTAATAATATTGTTTAGTCAAATTAGATACGCTAACCTCAACACATCAGCAGATCACCTCAATCACGGGATGTAAAAACCATCACATAAAATCACAAAGCGCTAAGCAAAAGATACTAGCTAGGGGGCGAGCCCGCCAACTGAACGCAAGGCGACCGTCCCTCCGCCACTGATGCTGCCGGGAAACCTGAACGCCGTTCCCTCGGCTAGTCTACAATGATCTGAAGAACCCGATGAACACCATCCCCTATTCCGTCCCGTCCATCTCCTATACACTGGTTGCTTTAAAGACTTGGAAGGGCGACAAGATTCAAAACGTGGGTATCAAAATTAGTGTTTGGATCTTCTTAGGAGCTCGCATCATCCTTTTCCTTGTCCTTGTCTTTGTCTTTACTGGCGGGCTCCGCAGAACTAGGCGACGCAGCGCCAGCCTTCTCTGCGGGCTGGTCCTTGGCGTCTGCTCCATTCTCTTGCTTTGGCTCAGGGGCGGTGGCAACGGGGGCGTCCATGTCGATGTCCCCATCTTGATCAACTTTTTCAGCTTCCGGAGTGCTCTTGGCCTCTGGCGCTGCGCTGGGCGCCTTTTCAGCCTCTTCGGTTGGTGCTTTGCTTTCACCGGCATCCCGCATCGTCTCGTCAGCCTCCTTAGATGTCTCAGCCTTTTCGCTCGCAGACTCATTTTCAGCGGCAGCTGTCTTTTCGCTTTCACTACCATCTTTATCGGACTTGGCGACTCCCTGGGATTCTTTTGGTGCTCCTTCCTGATCAGCAATACTAGCAGCCTTGCTTTCGTGTTCAGCACCCTTCTCCTCTGGCTGGGAGTTATCGCGAGTGTTTGTTTCGACCTCAGGTTCCTTGTCTATTACATCCTCCATAACGATGTCATCTGTCTCCTTAGATTTGATGACATGTTCAACAGAGCCATTGGCAGGCGTCGCGGCGCCGCTATCAGCTTCAACATCTGAATTGCGATAATCGAGGAATTGCCGTCGCGTGTTGCCGTTTCGATGAACTCCGTTCGCTTTGTCTAGGTCCTCATTATCGCTTTCCTCGTATTCGTTGTCCCGCTCTATGCGCTGCTCCCACTGGCGCTGACTCATGCGAACATCTTTATTTTCGTCCTCATCGAGGTCGTCAAGCTCAGCTTCTTCCTCATCAGACATTGCTCCCATTGAATGACGGGGAACATCCTGCATCTGGACAGATGGGGCATGAGCGGTACGTCGAAGATTTTCGATCAGCTGATTTTTTATCTTCTCTAGATACTCGGGGCTATTGGCGTTCTCCATGTTGGAGGCACGCACGTCAAGCGAGTAGTCAGGCCCATAATACTATTTTCAAGGTTAGCGCTCGAAGTAGCAGTAAGAAGGACCGTAATCTTACGTCGTAATATTCATTAAATGGTAGGGTTCGATCCATCTGAGCATCAACCAGCAGACCAGTCTCAAAAGCCCAGGTACGGGCGACATTACGCATTGTGTAACCGCCACCACCAAGAACCAGAGTTGGTCGGTTGAAGCTCTTGACGAACTTTACGCAGTTGGCATGCCCATCCATACTCAAGTTAAAACAACCGAGGCGGTCACCTGACAAACTGTCCCCGCCACATTGAAGAACGACCGCATCCGGATTATAGTATTCCATGACGGCTGATATGACGGGTTCGAAGATTGACTTGTATGAGGAATCATCTATGCCATCGCGAAGGGGGAAATTAGTCGCGTAGTAACGGCCCTGGCCGATACCAATATCTCTCAGCTCGCCCGTTCCAGGAAAGTATTCGCCGTACTTGTGAAAAGAAACTGTCATGACTCTGTCCGTGGTATAAAATGCTTCCTCAACACCATCGCCGTGGTGTACATCGATATCGATATATAAGACGCGCTTATTAAATCGTAAGAGTTCGAGAATTCCGAGAACGATATCTACTCAGTAACTGTATTAGCATGGTTCAAGGGAGAGGGATATTAAAGCCAGCAAGTCAGATGAGATAATTCGTACCGTTAACATAGCAGAAGCCACTAGCCTCAGACTTCTTTGCGTGATGGAGGCCACCCGCCCAGTTGACTGCGATATCGCACTTTTGACGGTTGAGCCGGGCGGCACCCTCCATGCTGCCACCAGCACTTATGCCACAGAATTCAAATAGTCCGTCAAATACTGGACAATCATCTCCGACGTTATATTTGCCTTGTTCCCGCTGGAAATTGTCCATATTCTCGGGGGTGACTCGCTGCAAGAAATCTATGTACTCGTCCGTATGGAATTGGGTCATCTCGAGTCGCGTTGCAGGTTTCGCACGCTTTGGGATGTCAGTTATCTTGCTGGCTGGAGCGACAGGCGCTATGATTACTCACGTAAATTTCCATCTTCTTGTACACACCATAATTCATAATCAAGCTGTGCGCCAACCGGATGCGATGGGGTTTCATTGGATGGCCCGACACATAGGCGAAGTTTCCGATGTCAGAATCATAGAAATAAGCGACCTTCTTGGGAGAAGGAGCTCCCAAGGCGATGCCATTACCGTTCCAAATGTCAACAGGGGCTGCGTGCGCCATTGTTGATCGTGGGTTAACCAAGAGAGAATAAAAAAGAATGGGTTAAGATGGGAAAGTGTTAATGTCGGGCGAAGATCTCGAGCACCTATCTATCATGCCGAATACATGTACCTAGCTATCGATAAGGTTGGTGCATCGCGGCGTGCACCTACCTTAGGTACTAACCCGAACTAGTTACTAAGTACAGGTCCGTAACCTAGGGTACGTCCAGAGCTAATGACGAAGTAAATTCAGTGGGAAATTTCCCTTTTAAGCTTAAACTATATTCACTCCTTCTAGTACCTACATAGAACGTACGATTCCAAAATTTTATAGTTGTTGATGTATGAATTTCTGTATGTACCTACTTACCTGGCCTTTATGCTATACATTATGAGATCGTGACATACCTAGGTAATTTCTCTCATTACAGCATTGTAAAAGGGGACTTACTGCAAAGAATCAAATGGTAAATTGTAATTGGTCAGCTTGCCTTGGACTAATGACAAACTAGGCATAGCGTGCTCGCTGGTGTCAGAATTCACTGTTTCTAGTATGACGTATTCGTGCTTTACCCTCATATCGGTATTAGCCATTATCACTGGAGAATAGACTCCCAGTCATGGACAACTATTTAATTCACAGCCTTACCAGCATATATTAATAGCGGCCAATATTGTCAAAAGGTTCAAGTATTAAGAACTTACAAAAAAAAATTATCTAGGTAGGTACATATATTAACATGCATAAGAGAAAGCTTGTTACCCGACATGAGGTGTGCTGGTAATGGGGAAGGGAATTATTCATATTGGCCAAAAGAAGCTTCTTTTGAAATTATATATAAAGGAGTGATGGTATTATTGTGTTACTTAACCCAGACAACATGCACCAAGACCACTCCAATACTTGTACAAAGTTACAAGGATATGTATCAGTGGCTCCAAGTGATTAAATAAGTTTATTATTGTGAGATAATCATACGAAAGGTTTCGGAGAATATCACCGGGTATAAGCTAGGTAGTATACAAATAATTTGGGTATGTCTGTAGGAGCTGAGGAGATAAATTGTCGTGAGGCGGAGCTAGAAGCAAGGAACTCTAAGCTACAGGTCGCCAAGATGTTCAACAATATCTCTGGGGATTTTTGCCCAAAGAAGCAAAGTAGGTACTCGAATTACTATGGCAAGATACTGTACAACTTCAGATAAATCTCGTAGTTTCTAGACAAGCTTTATCATTAAAAATTACCTATGTAAATAAAGATTAAGCCAGAAACTTCGAATCGTCTTGTATTTACTATAGTAAATACGCTATGCTAATACTTATTAACTGCTTCAAGTAATTATCCCCACAGATATTGTTGAAGATCCTGGCAACCTATGTATAGTTACGGGAGACTACAACTATACATACTGAAAGTATCTTTTGTTCTAAATGTTTCATCTAGAATCCGACATAAACTTCCTAACCTAGTGGGATCTAGAAGCATCCGCAGACCTATAAGATTTTATAAACTATCATACTTGTTAAAAGCCCTTCTTGTAAGACCTCTATGACGACACGGTAAAATTTTAAAGAGGATATTGCGGTCTGACGCTATTAGCTTATATTCACTGTATTAGCTAATTCGGTCCTTGATCTAGAGATAAGTTACGAATTGACAATATGCTAATCTGAATCATAATATTAGACTGCATATGTATGGTTAGAGTCCTAGTACCTTGGAGTCATACCTCTAAAGAAACAGCCGCATCGCCAGCTGTTATACCTTGTACGTATATCTATTACGCATGCGAATAGTCAAATGATCATACGAGCGCTTATCGAACTGTTGCAGAGAACCCCCGAATCATTTGTAAGCTAGTGCCCCGTTACTAGCTTGCGGCCGATATATTCACCAAAATCCAGGCATCAGATAGGAGGCGTCATTCCTGATCCCCAACAGAATGTTACCTAGTAGCAACGGCAATAATCCGGGTTGTGATGCGTGCTGCTAATGGTAAGATAACTACTTATGCGGGATTTGGTACGCATATTGAATAAATAGCATTTCCGGGGAGTTGGTGGTGAGGTATTAAGGGGGGCCGATGAGCAAGTAGCATGTAAGATGGAATCCCTAATACTCAATTAGTATAGTCGGATGAAACATCACATAGTACTCGTCGTAATTACCTAAATAACCCGATTGTACGCCAATGATGTGTATGCGAAAGAGTAGCAAATGCGGGGCTCATGCATTATTGATGCATTGGTCGGCGAGTTCATGCATAGTTCGGAGACTTTTGGTGTTTTGTCATCTCGTTATAGTCGAGCATAAAGATAATGGACCTTCCGACCTAAACTTCCACTTCTCTATTCAATTATTGTATCTAGTGAGAATTCGTCTTTGCAACTCTTAGTATTACTGACTAGGTATCTTCATTATCGATTCCTTCGCAATGGCCAATCAGGAGATCGTGTTCTTTGACTTACCGTCTAAAACACCAAACAAGACGTGGTCGTACAACCCGTGGAAAAGTAGGTGTCGTTGATATGCTTAGAGATGGGATATTATTTCTAAAAGCTAGAAACAGCTCGGATCGTCTTGAACTACAAGAACCTCCCCTATAAGACAGAATGGGTAGGCTCTACTAGAATTTGAAGATACTTGACTATGTGAAGTTAACAAATTGATAGGTTGAATACCCAGATATCAAGGGAAAATTCCAAGACCAGTGAGTCGACCGGAAGTATAATGTTCCTGCCCTCAATCTGGATGGTTCATATATTTTTGCGGATGAGCCCATCAAAATTCGAGTGATGTCTGAATTTCGATGAGTCATTGTCGTTACTCCTTATTTCTAGAATTAGGCGAGGGAGGCAGTCACTTAACGGGGTCTCCTTTAGATCATCTGCATAAAGATCAACTTGAATTTGCTGACAGTTACCTCGTAGCCTCCCAAAGGCGGATCTCTACACCATCCCGACGATCATCTTGCCCGACGGAACTTGGGTAACTGACTCCTTCACAATCGCCGAAGTGCTCGAGAAGAAGTATCCCGAGCCAAGCCTCCGTCTGGACTCCCCTTATCTGCCAAAAGTGAAGGAAATCCTTGTGCAGGTCTTGACTGCCACTAAGGCTGTCTACGTCCCGGGGGTTTTTAACGGGTTATTGAACGATGCTAGCAAGGGGTACTTCCGCCGAACTCGCGAGGAGATGTTTGGCGCGACCATAGAGGAGGTAGCTAAGAAGCAAGGCGGCGAAGTAGCATGGAAAGCTGCGCAGCCTGCTCTGGAGAAGGTCACCGCCCTGCTGAAAGAGAACAGCGACGGCCCTTTCTTCGAGGGGAAGAATGTGGGCTTCGCTGACTTCGCGTGGGCATCGTTCCTCCTTTTCGCTCAAAGAATCGGCGATGATGTCTATCAAGAGGTACTGAAGCATAGTGGAGATGCAGCAGTACATGAGAAGCTGCTAGAGGCCGTGAAGCCCTGGTACGAAAGGGCTGACCACTAGTCGCGCGAATGCTACTACTCGAGGAGCCACGTACGGAGATATTAGGTCAATTAGCAGATCCATCAATATAGTGCAATATGCCAAGTTTAAGCTTGATATATGACTGAGACCTATCAATATATATGATAGAAAGTGACTGGAGAAACTTCAAGATCAGAAGGATGGTGTAGATTCTAGCCCAACACTAGCAACTACTACACATCCCCATAATCGTACTTGTCGTTAAATTACATTGTGCTGTATTGTATATCTGGTATATTGGCATCTGGCATGTAGTTAGGTTTAACTTGACGATATCCAATTTGATTGCGCGTTTTCAGTTTCAATTCTCATATTGTTCAGATTGTAAGTCTGTCGGTGTAAATAGCAGAGACGCACGAGCCACATTAAAAGTACAAGGATCCCTCATCACAATCCACAACCATCACGTGATACAGCTTCCTTTTACGGAAATCGCTTCCCGAACTTTGTGGGTCCCTAGGGTTTTTTTCCTCCAAGCCGCACATTTCCAGGTTTGCCGTAGTAAACGTAAACTACCACCCAAGAAATTTGGAGCTGTTGACCTTTTTTCCCGTGACAACGACCACCAACTTCGACCACCGTCAACACCACACCCCGACCGTAAAGAACCCCCGAACAAATCAGTCGCAATGGCCAAGATCTCGTAAGTCTATCTCATTCGAATTCGAATTTCTCGATCTGTAGCGGAAATGTTGGTGGGGTAAAATGGGAGGAGGGATTGAAGATTTGGTGGGGGGGAATGCGAAGAGCAAGGTGAATTTGGGTTGGGAGGAATGATTTGCACAAAAGAGGAGGAGATTGAAGATTTTGTGTTGGCGAAAATTTGGACTATAAGTCGGCAATGGAACCAGATCTTGAAGTGCAAGCTACAGAGGCGACGATGGAATTCTTATTCGACAACGAGACTCTGAAGCAAAAATACTAACATTCCGCTTCACAGGCGTGGTGCCCCCGGTGGCAAGCTCAAGATGACCCTCGGTCTGCCTGTGTAAGTGCAGGGACCCTATCCCTATCCCTCTCCCGCAAACCCAATTCGAGACTAACACGCGAAACAGCGGTGCTATCATGAACTGCGCCGACAACTCCGGCGCCCGAAACCTGTACATCATCTCCGTCAAGGGTATCGGTGCCCGCCTAAACCGACTGCCCGCCGGCGGTGTTGGCGACATGGTCATGGCCACCGTCAAGAAGGGAAAGCCCGAGCTCCGAAAGAAGGTCCACCCCGCCGTCATCGTCCGACAGTCCAAGCCCTGGAAGCGAACCGACGGTGTCTTCCTGTACTTCGAGGACAACGCTGGTGTCGTAAGTTTGACCTTCTATATACACCAAATACGCGGCAACCAAATCTGTGCTAGAATTCTACGTGGTTGAGCGCAGACAGATGGGAGACTGCGTATTTGGATCACATGTCATGCAGAGCACACGGCTAACGTATTACCTCCCAGATCGTCAACCCCAAGGGTGAGATGAAGGGCTCCGCCATCACCGGCCCCGTCGGAAAGGAGGCCGCCGAATTATGGCCCGTAAGTCTTACTACCACACACCCCCCAACCCCACAAATTCTAACCTGTCTACCTAGCGTATTGCCAGCAACTCCGGCGTAGTGATGTAAAAAGGCGAGCGTTTCGTTTCGGGCGGAGCATTGGGTGAGAGGAGGAGGACGACGATTCATACCACCTAACCTACCTACCTTATTGACGATACGTCATCACGATTGATTGATTGGTATTGGAAGAAGAAGAAGAAGACACCAACACGGCCGGCCGCTCTCACGACTGCTGGTGAGAGGATTTGAGATGGAGGCCTATGTCGCGTGTCGGGTGGTAGGACTGGTCACTTTGCATTTCGGCTTCGGGGCGTAAAGGAGACATACCAAACCAAAAGAAACTGCATCCTGGACAATTGATAGTTCGGTTCCCCATTCTTGCGTGCAATTGCTGCTTTGTGACTTGTTTCTGATGATTGTAGCCGGTCGTTGGTTCATCTCAACTGACACTACATGCCGTGTGTGATGATGGTAATAAATGGTGCTCCTTAAGCTCTCATCCATGTTCCTAGATTACAAGGTTTACATAGCCATACCCGCATTTTTCAACGCAGCACTTACTAAATGAATCTATTCGCCTAACACAGAAATAGACTACCGGCTTTAATGGAAACTTGGGGGTACAGACTGAAAGAGCTAAGTTATATCTCCTTGCTTAGGTTATGTAGTCCCGGGTATGCCGTAGACTGGTTGGGGAGTGAATGGCCAAAGTACCTAAATAACTGAGTAAATATAGACAACTTGTTCACTGTCGATTTCACATTTTACATGACATACACCAATAGTAGCATTACGACTTCCATTTACGTGAACATATTCGTATCACATATATGTGCTACTGACTTCCAAAATTGATGGCAATGGTATCTTCCATTTCCCCTCCATTTTTTATGTATAGGCCTCCTTCTATCCTATCCGTTCCTATGCGTACAATGATGCTCGCTCCGTGGGTGGGTTGGATAGGACCCACCTATGCAAAATAATGACAACGCTTCGCCCTTAGGCCCAAATGCCGTATATACCCGATATGTACAAAGTGTCCTTCCCCTATTTTTCATCCCATAAACCTCCTCGCGTCTCCTGTTTTGAACACCCCCCAGGGATGAGCCCGGGCGAAGGGAAGTTTGATCCAAGTATCTAAAATAGCCCTCCACCCAGGCTGTGATGTGTAGAGAAATGGAAGGGCCTCGGACCAGCCAAGTGTCTGACGCCCAGGCTATCCATCCCTCTACCTATCAATGGGCTAACCAGGAGTCGGTTCAAGTATCCGACAGCCTATTTACCCACAGATAGGAGATAAATGAATGGACGTGGAATTGGTCCAATTATCCAACGCCAGTCCACTCATTATCTACACATCACCTTCATGGATGAGTAGAATAGGAGCCGGTCCAAGTATCCGAACTTCCCTCTACATCATCCATGGAAGATAGATGAACAGATGAACTGGGAGCTGGTCCAAGTATCCAGCATCCCGTTCATCCATCCATCATGGGGTTAGAATGTGGACGGAGGCGGCCTAGGTGAGGCTTGTCTAGGTACGCCCCCGTCCCATCCCCAGGGGGTGTCCGAGGGCTGGATGGGTGTGGTTTAATTATCCAACACCCCTCCCCGCCCTTCGTCTGCGGGCGGACGAGTCAGCTGAGATTTTCTGACCTCGTCGCCCTATATTGCGTGGCTGGGAGAGTTTAGTCCAAGTATCTAAACTTCCCATTACCACCGTAAGGCGATAAGCTGCTAATAGGACGCAGCGTCGCCGTATAATACTTCTCTCGTGACGAGGCGTACGAGAGTGTCTAGTGTTTGTGTGGCCGCCACTCCTCGCTCAATGTTGATACGTCAAGACTCGATGAATGTCTATCTGATAGTTCTGTTTTTTATGAGTACTTCATATTGATTGGAAATGGTGACAAGCAAGAGCAAAAGCAATACAATTAATGTCCTAGGCATGCTCATGCCATTGAGTCGGGACGAGACTTGATTGTTGTGATAGCGTATCAGCTGTAATGGATGGATCGTGCTAGCTGTAGAAGTAGGCTGCAATTAGAGACAATGGCTAAAATAGTCCTCTATGTGGCAATACCGCATACGTTGCTTAACATTGCCCGGACGTCGTAATAAAGGAGATGATGATAATTACTGCCTTGGGGCGGTGGCATCATCGTCTTCGTCGCCACCTGGTGTAGATCTAGAGGTGGGCGTTCCTGCTTGGTTGAGAGCCGTAGAATTAGCTCCCGCAGGTGGTTTCGCGCTCTGCTTCTTAGCAGCAAGCGTTGCACGGCGCTTGGCTACCGCCGTATTCATAGAGCCAGATGCCCATCGAGCTATTAAATGTTAGTATCTCGCGTGCTTGAACTATATATGGGATAGTGTATGAGGAACTCAAACATACCTTTCATAGAATAGGACATCTTTTCAGACTTAGTCATAGAATTGTAGTCCTTGTTGGGGTCTGCACCAATCTCTCCGTCGGGGGTGTTGGGCTCAGCAAATCCATTGCTACCGTTATCGCCATTGGAATTCCCGTTGATAGTATTGTTGGTGTGAATTGGTGCTAAGTTTGAAGGGACTAGCGGCGGTGTGCTAAGAGCGGGCACAGAGGCAGGATGCTGGTTCTTCACCTTGAACTTGATCTTGGTGGGCGGTTTTGGTGCAGGAGGAGCCTTCTGTTCTAATTGCTGCACTGGAGCTGGTTCTGGAGCAGGTGTGAGGTCCTCGACCTTGGTCTGTGTTTTCTTCGGGGCGCGTTTAGCACGCTTGGGTTTGGGTTCTTCAATGAAGTCATCATCGTTGATATCATTAGTGAACTTTCTTTGACGTTTCTCGCGGAGCTGGTAGTTACTTGTAGACGCCACTGTCTCAGCTGTTGCGGTAGATGATGCGGTGGGGGGACGAGGCTCTTCGGGTTGATGACTCGTAGAGGTAACTGTCTTAGGAGTTGCAGTCTTGAAGGATCCGGATGGAATATCGGATTTTCGGGAGTTTGTCCGACGAGCCGGTTTCGAGGGTGTTAGAGGCTCTGCACCATTAGGCACATTGTCTTCTTCCTCCTGTTCTATAACCGCCGTAGCATTTGCAGGGGCCTTGCGTTTACGCTTGCGAGGTTGTTCTTCCTCTACAGCCGCCTCCTCAACTCCTCTCTTAAGTGAAGGCGCTGAATCGGGTTTGGATTCCATATTGAGCTGTGGCGTGAGCTCTGCAATAGGCTTGGCCTTAGGCCCGGGTTTGGCTTGCGACTTAGACGGCGTCCTTAGTTGCGCTTTAGGGTGCGAGTTGCTAACTAGCTGGGGTTCGGGATTGGGCTCTTCATGCTCTGGTTCTGGGTCTGGAGTAGGCTGAGCTTCTGGTACCGGGAGTGGGTTTTTGCGAGGTCTGCCGCCTTTTCCTTTCTTCTTGGGCGGTTCTTTCTCAACCGGCTCGGATGCTACATTTAATGCGCTAGTATTCTGAACCTGAGCTTGAGGCTGGTTTTGATTTTGTTGCTGGTCGCCATTCTCTTGTGCCTGTGCGCCACGACGTCCTCGGCGTTGGGCTGGAGCTGGGGTAGAGCCTCTGCTAGCGGCTTCACCTTCGTTGAACCTCTCCGGTGGCTTTCTCGTTCGTTTTCCTTGCATGATATTGGGATCTTCAGCCTCGGCTGCCTTGGCAGTCTGTTTGGGTCTCTCGCGAAGACGCCCGTGGCGACCCAAGCCAGTTCGTTGCGCAATGGGGTCCTGTTTACCCACTTTATCTGCTCTTGGATCATATTCGAATCCGTAGACGTTAGCCATAATTCTGTCTTGCTGTCGGGCATAGGCGACTTCTGGTTCTGTCGTGTCCTTGGCTCTAACGCCCTTGACGATAAAGTCTTTTTGAATGGGGTTTGCGTTAGGGTCTCTAGCAACAGTGGCCTTGAAGCGACGGTTGAAGGCTTCATCCTCTTTGTGGGCGCGAATTGAATTATCGTAATCATCCGTCCACTTTCGCAGCTCCTTGAACTCATCTTGCCATGCCGCGAGAGCCTTGTTCGCAACTTCGACTCTTTGGTAGAGCTCTTTGGGAGACAAAGACTTGATGTCTTTGAATAGGTCGGTGAATTCAGATGCCCTTCTAGCCTGCTTGAACCGGAATTGTTTCATATCTGCTGGCTGTGTACCGGATGGCTCTAATTCTGTAGCGGGCGAATTTGCGGCGGTGTCGGCCGGCGTGTCCCCAACAGCCGCATCCTCTTCAACAGCGACGACTTCTGGGCCGTCTTCGTTAGCTGCGTCGGGTTCTAGCTCTAGACCGGCTTCAGGATCCGCCTCGGCATTGACTGCAGTACCAGGGTTCGCTTCAGCGTCCGCGTTCGGATCAGCTTCGGCATCAACCTCGGGCTCTGCCTCGGCTTCCGGCAGCTCGAGCTCATCATCCTGGTAGTCCGGGTAGTAAACGAAAGAGCCATTGATATATGGAGTGAGATGGTCCAGTAAGTCTGGTTCGGCGTGATCGTCATCCGTGTCAAGGATATCATCATCATCTGCTTCATCTTCTTGCTCTCGGAGTTCATCTTCATTTCTAGCCATAGTTTCGGGTTGAGCTTTCTGTAGATTAGGGTGGCTCTCACCCGAGGCGGTATATAGTGAAAGTTGTGAAGGCTGTGAGGGTTCTGAAGGTACTGAAGGCTCCGAGGTCTCCGACGGCTTTGATGATTGTGAGGATTCCGAAGAAATAGACATGTCGACGGAAATGTTAGGAATGGGAGCCTTGGTCTCATTATTTGAGGAGCCAGAGCCAGAGCTAGTGCGTCTAAGCATCGACTCATCCGACTCTCCGCTATGGTGCCCACCAACTTCAATGGTGTCTCGTACTTCGACATCATCCATCTGCTGTTCTGGCACATAAGTCTGAGGCTCTGCTGTAGACTTTCTAGTGTTACGTTTGCGAGATGATGACGGCTGAGGTTGCTCAGAAGCTCGTCTGCTAGTGCGAGCTTCAGAATCTTCGTTCGTCTCATTTTCATTGGGAACGAAGTCAGTTTTCCGTCTCTTCAACGTGCGGGTGGCGCTGGGCGTAGATTTTGCACCGTAGCTCTCAATGTCATCAAGCTGGTCAAATGTATAGTCTACACGAGGACGTTTTCTCAAGGAGCGTCCTCCTTTGCTGGCGGAATCTTCTGGCATAGTGCCGGCACTGTCGATGTTGCGAGCGCGAATTCGCTTTTCTCTAGAAGCGGAAGGGCTCGGGGTCTCTGCAGTGAAAGAAAAAGAAGATGCTGCGGATGAAGGTTGTTGCATAGGCTGCTCGGATGAGTTATGAGGTGATGAAGTAACGGGAAAGGTACTTGGAAAAGTAGAACTCTTCCGGCCTCTTCCGCGAGGACCGCTAGAGGGGTCCATTGTAAAATCTCTATAGTCGAGATTTGTCGCAGGTTTGCAAATACTAATGTATGCGTTGTATGTGTAAGTGAAGTACCTAAAGTACGTGTATGAATTAAAGGTGAAAGAAGTTTTGGGTCGGAGATTATGTAAGTGGGGAAAGGCTCAGGATGTTGATGGCTAAAGCGCGCCTTCCCAAACCAACAAAAAGAGAAGAAGAAGAAGGTACGATATAAAAATGGCCGCCAGCTGGAAATATTAGGTAGTTTCCAATTAGTGCAAATTATATTTCTTCTCAACGCGTTGTTGACAATTGCTCGTTGCTCGTTGTTCGTTGTTCGTTGTTGGGCACAGGCTATGGCCAGCCAAGGGAAAATTAAGTGGTTGTATGTAGTGTAGTAGTAAGGAGGCAATGCTTGAAAATTGTACAAGGCCGGGGTGGACTGAATTGCTAGCTGCCGAGGGAAAGATGCAAGGACAGCAGCCCGCCGCCGATAAAACTTGAAATATACAATAGTCAAGATTGAATGGATTTGATAAAAAAGAAGTTGGATAAAGGCTTTTGAAAGAGTCACTCGATCGTATGCTGAAATGGTTGTCAGTAAATATAGTTGGTACGATTGCAGGTGTGCAGGTGTGCAGTGAGTGTGTTGTGTGTTATGTGTTATGTGTTGTGTAAGAGAGACGTGGTGAGAAAAAAGGTTGATGAAAGGAGCTGACTTGGTAGGAAAGAACGATCGAAAGAACGATCGAATTTGATGGTGACGGTTAGGTTGGAAATCAGTAAACCTTAGGCGGTCAATACGTACCTGAAAAAAATACGAAGTTATTGCCAATAAGAATCAGAACGGCCAACTTTAAAGATCAAGAAGTAAATAATATCGAAGGGGACTTGATTCGATATTTCTATCGAGTGCTCCGTCTCGCTGCTCTCTGCTGCTATGACTGCCGCCAACCTTATTATTAGGTGCACTGCTAATTTCTCGAGGTTCGGCTGTTCAAAGCCACAGATGAGATCCCGATTTGAATGTACTAGCCACAATACTTATCCCACTTGCTGGATTTTACTAAAGTACATAGGTATCATTCCCATTTTTGGCCAATGGGATAACACGAATATGCCAAAGTTCCTTTCTTGGCTACTTTTGGATCAGACGCCCTTGTAACTTCCCTGTCAAAGCTGCGGGAGATCACGTAATATACCTACATCAATTAAGCACCCAGGTACCCAGATACCCAGATAGATACATATACATATGTACCTATGTACATCCAATAATGGTTCGTGTGTTGCTGCCACTGGTCCGCCTACCCCGTTTAGTGACGACAGTTCCTGATGGAACTTGGTCAAAGCTTTCCATGTCCCGTCTTCTTTCCCGAAACCGAAACCCTTCCATCAACTGGTGATACTGATACTATACTACCTTACATATCACATAACATATATCACATGCCATATTGAACTGTCCATTTCCCCCCATCCTCTATTAAAATTATTGTCCCATTCAGCCTCTACAAAAATAGTTGACATAGCATCTCTTCTCAGTTGTTGAAATAGTGTTTGTTGCATCTGCCGACGAGTATCCCATAAACAGTTGCAGTCGAATCCGCTCAAACTATTGGTTCCCCGCGGCCCTGCATACATACCTCACATATGTACAAGGCCACAGCGAATCATAGTCAATTCCTGTGTACATCTAGTTAGGATCGCAATAGCTCCTCGTAGCCTATTTCTTAGCGCAGAAACCCTCAGGTATCCTCTATTTGTTTTCTCTCGATCGCAATTGCTAGCGATCCCTCTCTAATAAAGATACCCTCCCCCCACTACAATTACTACCCAGCATGGCAGCGAGGCGGTCAAAGGCGTCTGCCGATGATGGATTGAATGAGCTCTTCGAAGGAATCGACGAGAGCGTAGTTAAGAAGCCTGCTAGTAAATCTAAACCGGCTCCCTCTAAGACTCGAGGCGAGAAGCTCAAGAAAGACATACCTGGACTTGCCGAGCTGGAGGACGAGCTTGGCGAAGAACCCGCCCGACCCCATACTCCTCGCGTCAAAGAGACGTCTACCAAGGCACCTGTTAAACGAACTAGCACAGCAACACCTCCGCCCGGTGCCCCTCGACAATCCGAAGACAAGCCAGCCAACGTCGCGCGCAAGTCCGTCGATAGCACTCGCTCCCTTCACGCAAGCTTCACCCCCAGTGCCACCAGCTCTGATCTCCAGGATGCCGAGAAGAAGGGGTCAGCCGAAGAGACAGCACCAGCTGCTGACGGTGGTTGGTGGGGTGGATTGTTTGCTACGGCCAGTGCTACAGCAAATGCAGCCATGAAGCAAGCCGAGGCTGCATACAAGGAGATCCAGCAGAATGAGGAAGCCAAGAAATGGGCTGATCAGGTTAAAGGAAACGTTGGAGCTCTGAGAGGTCTAGGTATGTATTTGAATACGGCGCCTACCTATTGAAAGAGGTTTGGCTAAGAATATATTGAACTGACAATCTTGCTTATAGGCGACGGTATCCGCCAGCACGCTTTGCCTACCTTCGCCAACATTTTACACACTCTTGCCCCGCCTATCTCCTCTCACGAGCGTCTACTTATCCACATCACCCACGATATCGTTGGATACCCATCGCTTGACCCTCTTATCCACGAGGTCTTCAGCCGGGTCATGTCGCAAGTTGAGGGCGGCGACCTCCTCGTCATCCAACGCGGCCATGAGAATACCGCTCGACGATCCTCAGACGCCTTCTACAAGAGTTCTTCCAACTCCGCCGGCTGGCGTGACGGTCCCTGGTGGAGGCAAGTCGATTCACCTCGCGACCTAGGTGCTGTGAAAGGTATAATCGAAGGGACCAAGCTCTGCCGCGTTAGTGCTGAGAGCTATTCCCACGACTACTTCGCGGCTAGTGGTGGCGTTTCCGAGGCGCAAAAACGTGCCCTGGAGCCCGTGAGCGAGGAAAATCCCGTGCGAACCAGTGACATCTTCCTCGCTGTCCAACCTATCGTCGTAGACGCAGACACCGCTCTTTTCGCTGGTAGCACAGCTGGTGAAGCAGAGAAGGAACCCAGCGCCGTAGCCGACGACAGCAGTGCAGACCCTCACATCTGCTTCGCCGTCTACGTCCTCGACCCGATCCACGACATCGTGTATAGCACCGTGAGCCAGTACATCCCAGCTAAATGGATCCGCTGGTTGGATGCGCCGGCACCCTTGACGCCTGCCAGCGGCGAGAGCGAGCAGCAGCTGGGTCTAGAAGGCATAAACGTGCCAGACGAGATCCGGGAGATCGTGGAGAGCGGTGGCGTGGACCCGCGCGAATGGGTTGCCGAATGGGTCGAGGAGACGCTGAGCTTGAGTATCGGAGTTGTGGCCCAGCGGTATGTGGCTCGTCGGATGGGTGTTGGTGAGGGGGGGCTTGGAAAGGGGAAGCAGAAGGTTGAGGAGTTGCTTCGGGAGGGTGGAGGTGAGGCGGCTAGGGCCGGGCTTATTTGATGATGGGATGGGATGAAACGAGTCTTTGCTTGCGGGAAGGGAATGGGACCGGGCGGCAAGAGAGAGGTATGTAAGTAGGTAATCAGCTGCTTACTTTGCGGTCTATTGTCTAGTGCTGCTTTCTATGGAGTTAGCCGGGTTGAATCTAGTACTTGATTTCTGGTCGAATTTGGAATTATGCTAGCTATCTACTTGTTGACTATATATGAAGAGATGTGGTAATATGTTATGATATTAATTTCAAGGGTTGTCTCAGGTGTCTTGTATACTTATAGATTGCTGTATCCATATAGCCATGCGAATTTAATGGGTGGGTTAACCTAGTATTTACTTAGGTATTACACAGTAAAATCTCATGGACTTCCTAATGAAAAGTGTATAACCTGTGGTTAGTATAACTAGTCTTCTTTCTATACAATTGGGTATTTAAAGTTTATCTTCAAAGTTAATATATTTCAGGAGGACCCCTATACCCCTATATCTCGTCAATTACGGCAAGACAAAATATGTACCCATTCGGGTCCTACGAGCCACAATAAAAACGCCCGGTCAGTTGAGTCAAACTTATTCTGATATGCTAGCAGTAGCATCTATTCATAGGCCTCAAGGTATATATAACTGCACCAGTTGATCTACCTCACAATCCTTATATAATATCTTTGCAACAACCCCATATCCGCTTCATCGTCATCCTAACCCCTCCAAACCCACGAGCAAGAATACTACCTATATAGCTCACTCCCTAGCAACCCTATCCTCAACCTTCTCCAAACTCCCTACAACCTTCAACTCCGCCTTCGCCGCCCTACTAGCGCCTTCCGGCTCAACGCGCTTTAGTGGGCGATACACCGGATCCCACATCTGCTCCCCAATCCACTCATCCAGTTCCCCTTTCTCCGTCGGTATCCCCTTCTCCCCCGCAACGCCATCCTCCACCGCCGCAAGAATAACCTCCCTCGCAACGCGCACGCTCACGGCCCGCACGTCCTCGACCCCCGGCAACAAGGGCGCAGTGTCGTCTTTCAGCGCGGGACTTAGATCCGCGACGCCGTGGACGGCCGCGACGAGCATTTTATCCGTGACTTTGGACGCGCGGGAGAGCACGGCGCCGAGGCCGATGCCGGGGAATACGACCGAGTTGTTGCACTCTGCCACTTCGATTTCGACTTGCGCGCCGTCTTTGCCCCAGGGGCCTTTCACGGGTTCGAAAGGCGAGCCGGTGGCTACTAGGGCCTTGCCGTCGGTCCATTTGAGGATATCCTCGGGGACGGCTTCGTGGAGTCTAGTGGGGTTGGATAGGGGGAGGATGACGGGGCGGTCGGCTCCTTTGGCCATTTCTTTGATGACTTCTTCGGTGAAGGACTTGGGGACGGTGGATGTCCCGACGAGGACGTTGGGATGGATTTCTTTGATGACGGATACTAGAGACGTCTCCTTGCCATCCCATTCGGATGCATCTTTGGTGTAGGCCCGTTGACCGTGGTCGACCTCGGTTTTAGTCGTGAGGAGGCCGGGCTTGTCAATTAGCCTGTAATGAGGATAAGTATTATACTACGCAAACAAGGCGGGTGCCAATCTCTCATAAGTTTCATACTTACCAGATTTGTTTTGCAGCCTCCTCCTTGCTAATCCCCTTCTCGGCAGCAATGGCATCTCGGACTTGATCAGCAATACCCACGCCAGCAGTTCCTGCGCCAAAGATGACCATCTTGGTATCCCGAAGTTTTTGCTTGCTGACATGCAGTCCGGCCATGATGGCAGCCAGGGTCACACACCCGGTGCCTTGGACATCGTCGTTGAAGCAAGGAATTTCCGGCCTATAATGGTCCAAAATACGACGAGCTGGATCTACGCGTTAGCCTGACGCCCATTCCTCCTATATAGGATGACTTACCATTCGCCAAGCCAAAGTCTTCAAAGTGGATATAAGCACGAGGAAACAGTTCGCGAGCGGATTGAACAAATTCATCAACGAGCTTATCGTACTTCTCCCCTCGTTCCCGCTTCTGGCGGAGACCGAGGTATAAATCATCATTAAGAAGACTCTCATTGTCTGTCCCGCAATCTAACACGACGGGCAAGGTCCGGTTGGGATGAATACCAGCGCAGAGAGTAGTGAGTACGAGCTTCGCAACCGAGATAAGAATCCCGCCTACGCCTTGGTCTCCTATGCCAAGGATCTCCTCGCCATCTAGTTTAATACGTATCAATATCACACCTATATAGCAATCGCTAATTCTGGGCACATACCTGTGACGACAATGTAATCGATATCTTCGGGGTTTCCCCATTGAGCCAAGTCATGTGAAACCCTGTCAATATCGTTGATGTTCAGAAAACAACCCTCGGGTCGTCGGAATAGGCGGGAGAAGTTCTGAATTGCATCACCTTCTGTTGGTGTGTATATAACACTGAACATCTCCTTCAAGTGGTCTTGTATAAGCTATAAGTCATCAGCATTATGATTTTTATAGTTAGGCGAGCCGAGATTGAGTTTGATTTATGAGGGATTATAGAAGTAACGAAGTACTAAGACCGGGATGAGCCGCAAGATAAATTTACCTTGAAATACAAGACTAGGTTCTGCTCCTTTAATGATGTCAGGAACGTGTTCTTGGCCAGGTCATCTTGTCTGGAGATGTACTGCTGGTATGCGCGCTCTACTTGCTGTTCGAGGGTTTGAACGCTGGTAGGCAATAAGCCAGTGAGATTGAACTCGCGCCTCTCTTCAGCCGAGTGTGCTGAGCCACGGTTGAAATATGGTGTATTCAATAAGACTGTTCCAGATACAGCGCATTCTATCGGACCGCTCGTGCTCAGCGGGAGGTGCGAGAACTTGGATTTGGTACTGGCCGGCATCTTAGACGTGGTAGAAAACGCTACGTGTTTAAGGTATTGATGTCTCAACGATCGTAAGAATGGACGGGTAAAATACATCAATATTTTATTAGAACAAGAAGTCGCTCACGGTAAAATAAGAGTAATAAAAGGCCAGACGCCATGACATTTGTTACACCACGGATAAAAACAAGTTTGAGAAACGAGAAAACCTGTATATACATTCAAGATTGGGATATAAAGCGCTCATTCGCACATGCAAAATGTACATGTGCAGAATCTAGGTGCAATAATAGGAGCGAACTGCTGTGTAGTGACGTCGTCCAACATCCCGACGAACGGGTGACAAATGAAATCCGTTCGGAGGGCGGGGATCACCGATGGGCCGAACCTAGTTGGAACTAGGCTGGGCACGGTAGACAGATGTAACACAAAAGCCGATATGTCGGAACGCTTGGAGCCTCGCTCATGTGGAAGACTGTAACGTAAAGCACAAGATGAGCGTGGACTATGATGGTCCATAGGAATTGATTTTATTCTTGCAGCGAATCAGTTATACGGACGATGCAAGCACCGTCCGCCCTATATCTCCAAACCCTCTCAGGACCACGACGCAAGACGCATCACGGAAGAAAGATCATTCGGGTGAAAGACTCGTAGGATGGTTCGAGTGGCTGGAGTAAGGTCTGCTGCGTTATAGAATTCAAAATAAAATGAGAAGATACAAACCTAGTTATAACACATCTTGCTTTCTTACGTATGTATTTCTACTATTAATGAGTGGTGTCGTTGATAGCATCTCAAAATGCAGATGGTAGAGTTGGAATGGTGAGTGTAAGAAATATTGAAGAGAATTTTTCAAAATGAGAAAAAGGGTCAAGCTACAAATTAACGCATTGACCACTACATATAAAAGCAGTATTTAGTGGGTCTGTCAGCCAGTTGCTAGGTACCTAAACGGGCCGGCAGGACTTACACTTACACCTCAGGAGTAAAACTCATATTCCATCGTAACATGCAAATTCGTACTCATTACAGGAAGATGGTCGAGCGGTGGCAGTAGTAAATGTTTAGAAACTTCTAAACCTACCGTTTACTACCAGAAACCCCTCGCATGGCGCATCTTACACCGTTTAATGGGCTTTTCCTTTTTCTTCTTTTTCTCTTTTTTCCCCGTTGAACCAGGTTTTAGATTTTACAACATGATCCATTGATCACCCAACAGCTCGTAAGAGTGATTTAATACAGGCTGAATTAATATTGGAATTTGTGTTATATCTCGAGTTCCAAATTTTGTCTCGGTCTATGCAACGTCCTTTCATATAGCCCAGTGTCTCTAAGATTTTGTTGACCACTTCTAGATTAGTACGAATTTACATGGCACGTTAGAGATTTACGACTATACCGATATTATGATGTATTCGTCTATACGAAGTGTTAATCTGTTTTCCTTTCGTATTACCTTGTTCTCTACCTATCTAGCTCGACGAAAAGGCCGCCCCCTCCATAGCCTCGAAGGCTCCATCTATAGTTCATATAATTATAGTTAACCTTATCTCTTTATACGAGTCGGTTTTAAGGAAATGACTATTCGTTTAAACTTTGTGAGAGATACAATTATTCCCAAGGCTCTACTACCTAGCATAGGCCGAAATAGGGTTCTCAACGAACTAGGCCCTAAGCACCGGGTGAATACGTATGCGATTCAATGGTGCCAATTACCCTTTCAAATAATTTTACATCCAAGGTACGTAAAACGTAACCTTTTCAGCCATGGCGTAGCTTCCATTCCCGGTCGTTATTCTACCCATCTCACAACGCACGGTCGAAAGTAGCATACATCTTGCTGAAAAGGGGTAAAACTTTGGCATCCTCAAGGGCCACGAGGCTGATGGACCGTTCGGGCCAGAATTCTAAGAACTAGGTTTAAATTATTTTAAGAGCGATGGGCTGATTATCCTGAGTTTACGAGGCCTCCTCGTTATCGAGGTATTGCGCATGGCGAGTCTGCATTAGCCCTCAGCCGCGGCGCACCAATAATATGGTCGTAAGCCTATACAATCGATCAATTATATAGCTGGCTTCTCCTCAAAGTTCGGCTTTGGTTTAAGCTATAGGTAAAATATAGTTGTTACCTATGCTATGTGAAATATCTTGCTCGGAGAACCGGAGCTTCGTCTCCTGGAATGTCACGTTAATGACTCGTCGGACGTCTCGTCAACAATTGTCTCATATTCGTAGTTGGGGGGGGGATCTGAATAGCTTCGCTAAAGGAACTAAGCCAATCTCGCGGTCGTGATGAATCTATTGGCCTTCTTTGTTGAGACACGGGATTGGTGGCTGGAACTACATCCGCATCTTCGTAGTATTGATTATGCGAAGACGGCTATAGTTACCCGATAGAATATCATGAATACCGACCTATTTACTTCGGCCTCGAAACTTTATGGGGCTAAATGTACTACACATTTCTTAGGGGCCTCGCTGTGGATATGAGTAACAGTTGTCGTCCCTGTTGACTTCGGCGACCTCGGGAAGGACACACGCTATCGGCGGAGATTACGGGTCTGTCCATGGATAATAAGTGTCCTTTGCTTATCCTTAATGTTAATTTTGAAGCCATGGCGCTTGTTATGGATCCATACAACACTACTGTCTACTTTAAGGGGAGATAGATGATATCCTCAATTGGTATCCTACCCCTGACTAGAATAAGACTAGTCTTGTACGATACTATCTCCTAAATATTAACGTACATAATACGGGGATGTTTCTATCAGGGAGTTCTTTCTAGTAGGGAGATCATAGGATGGTGCCTGGTAATAAAAATAATGCATCTAGACTTCAGCAATGACCCAGGTCATTACCCCTGACCCGTCGCGTAGTCACCAGCGACCTATGTACTGACCTAAAATAGGATAGGTTTCTCAGCATGAGAGTATTTGCTTTTTTACATTGAAGAAAGAGAAATAGATGAAAAAAAGAAGGAAGGAAATAGAGGGACAAAATGCAAAAATGCAAAAATGCAAAAATAAAAACGTACAACACCAGGGATTCGCTGGTCGTCACCGACCCAACTACTAATCCGGCGGTATTTGGCTTGTCTAGGGGAGAGCGGACGGGATCCCGAATTTTCCAAATCCTATGGTCGTACGTGATGTATTGGGCTGTTACTGGGACCTATATCCCTTCACCGATTGTTGTAAAATCCGTTGTGGCGGCACCAGCTGGCGTTCTAGACTACCAAATTAGGCAGTGGCAGGCGGATATACGCTTCTGCTAGTTTAATCACTATGAAATAGGCACATTTAGCATAGGATTGGTATCCCTTATTATTCAAAGTCGACAAGATGTTGCTTATGTTGCACAGTACTTGGTATAGTAGTCTAGGTGGACCAAGAAGCTAGGAAACAACTTCGTTGTTCCGCGAGGGAACTCTAACCTAAATACGGGAGCCTATGGCTACCTACCTATACATTAAGTACTGAACATGTTCTTTATTCTAGATGTCTTATCTAGAATCCCGGATGACAAGAAATTCGTCATGGGCACTAGTTGGTTGGTTCGGCCTAACATGCTTATCACCGCTAGCCACAATGTTTATAGTTGGTCTGGCGCCGGTAACGAGGACAAACTTGGCCGAGCAGTTCATATCAAGTGCTACATTGGCTACCACGGTAAGGATTCACTCAAGTCCCCAATCGTCCAGTGTCACTTGGCCAAGAACATCGTGACTACCGCTGAGTAGCCCATTGGCAATGACAACCGTCACCGTGACGTTGCTTTCATCCGAGTCAATCGTCCCTTCGAGGGAAACCTTCGCGTGTTCTCTTACAAGGCTACACCTAAGATTGGTGACGAGATGATTGGAGTTGTCGACTACCCCCCGGTGACACAACTACTAAACAGGAGGCTAACCATTCTTACCAAGCTAGTCTAGAGCCCCGGTAATTCGCAAGAACGCCAAACAGGTCGCCATTATCACATACGTTTACGGTGGCGGCGGTAAAGAACCAGCCCGGTATAATTGGAAAGCTCAGGAACGACTACAATGCCCTTCTCAGCGCCTTCGCTCAGAAGTACCCGGCTGCTGAGGAGTACGAGGGCATCAAACTCGTGAACCCGCTACCCGGAGTAGCCGGCGTTTCCGCTGCGAGCGAGTTGTCTATTCTCCAGCCAGCATTGACTATTATCCGACCCATTAGATCGACTACCTTGCCTTGTAATACTCCCAGACTGGCTTCCCTCCCAATGAAGATCTCTACCTTAAATTGGTCAACGGCGGCGCGGAGGCTGGGGGGTTCTTGGATAATCTAAAGGCTATCAGAAGAGTAGTTACTGGTATGGGGAAGGCCGCATTGCCTCTCATGTCGCCTCTGCTGGGACCTACCGGAGGACCTGCGTCCGCGATTGCTAGTGCGGTTCTTGGTGCGGTTGCCAAAATCTTCTCCGAATCTTTCATGGGCGACGCTAATCCTTCGTCGTATTACAGCCAGAATATGCGTCGAAGGGCACCGCAGAGCGTGCTATATTGGCCGAGGTATCCCTTAAATCAGTAATATTTCGAAATACTCTAGTATATGATTAATGAGACGTACTGTTCACTCTACCTAATAGTAATCTCATACCCTTTTTCATCGCCCCTAAAAAAGAGTATAACAGCCTTGTATCTCTCGTATTTCAAAGGTTCCTCCAATTATAGCGTATGAACTACTTGAGTAATGTTGCATCGTATACAACCGACCCTGATATATGTTTACGTAAACAAAGAACTCCTATTACCCCTATTAAACCTCGACGAGAGGTAAAACACAAGAACCGACAAGGTAACGAGACGCATAATTACAAGGCAGGAAACATATTTATCATAACGCATGGCATAAAGCGAATTGACTAAATGAAACAAAAACATTGCTATGGCTCTTCTCCTGGCCTAATAATTCATGCAACCAACCCGTCCACGCCATACAGACCAATACATCCATGTATCCTAGGTATCTCGAACATGCTGTATAGCCAAAACACACAAGATACCCATCCCTTAACCCCATCCTGCAGCTTGAAACACCATCTTCCAATCTAGAATAGAAAATATAGATCAGGCAAAATAGACGTAGCAGCAGCACCTTGTCTAACATCCACCTCCCCCGCCGCAACCGCCGCCGCCGCTACCTCCGCCGCCGCCGCAGGCCGCACCCGAGGAGCCGCACTAGAGAAGCGTGATGTTAATATCCAGTCACAGATTTCAGTAGCAGAGAGAGGAAGAACTAGTAAAGTTAAAACTCACACCACCGCCACTCCCACACCCTCCACCTCCACCGCACCCACCACTTCCACCGCACCCACCACCTCCTTGGCCACAGGCCCCCGCCGCGCACCCCCCTTGGGAACCCTGACCGGCAACCGCCTCGCCAGGGGCGCCCGTAGGGTAGCACTCGGGTGTGAAGTACATGGGGTAGAGGTACGGGCCGTACATCATATAGGGGTATCCCCAGTAGGAATGGTAATACTCCTCTCGGGGCGGGAGCTCGCGACCCCTTCTCTGGGCACGTTTCTGGGCGCGCTCGTAGTTGCGGTTGAGATGTTGCTGGTGCGCCTCGTGTAAGCGGCGGTGCACGGCTTCGCGATTGGCGTTTACGTCGGTGAACTTGACCGCGTTGTGTGCCGAGATGTGCGCGCTGCTGTCGGGGGGACAGAGAGCGGCTTTGCCGGATTTGTAGAAGGTTTCAGAGACTAAGGGGGGGAGTCAGCTTGAAAATAAATGATTTTTTACGTCGTGTGGATGGTGGTTATGTCAGATTTCAGTGAGGAGGAGGATAGACGTACCCTTCTCGTTCTTCGATATGCGGAGCTTGCTGCAGATGGAGGACACATGCGAAGCGCGGATCGACTCGCAATACCAACACGTACACTCCGAATAGACCTCGCCGTAGATTTCTTGGTATTCTTTGCTCGTCCACTCGAAAGCCGTAGATAGCTTGTCCTCATCGATCTTGTCGTCGTGATCGATCAGACGGCGCGTCTTCATATACATATACCTGGTATATATAAAAGGGCTGAGCTGATGCGTATGCCATGCCAAGTCAACATCGAGGGTTGGGACGACAACCTTTGAAGGGTTTTGGACCATGATGTCCACGAAGCGCTTGTATTTCTTAAGGAGTCGTGTCATTGTATCCCGAGCCGCCGGGCTGTGGAGCCAGTCAATCTATAGATAGGGTAAGCTTATGACTTTGCATTCAAAACCCGACCTTCAACATATTATAGGCATACCTTGTTCATCTTTTCCACAAATATGCTCTGGCGGAGAACAGCACCTCCAAGATCGAGAGCGAACGGAGAATGATTCCCCCAGTATCGTGACATCACTTTTCGGGTGTGTGCTTTGGCATCTTTGCCGAGACGATAGTGTTTGCCTATGTCACGTCCCATCATACCCTCTATCTGCTTAACAGCGCTGTTGTTGGTTAATGTGCGCTCGATGAGGACGCGGACATCATTCATCGTTGGTGCTGGATTTCTATGAGGGTTAATTAATAGCAGTAGCTCGCTGCGAAGGCGGAATTTGATAATTCTGTTTGGGAATGTTCGCTCCTGTTGGCGGGCCTGAAGAACCTCTCGTGGTAGTCCCGTATCGTTTTCTAATATCGTACCGGGCATTGGGCGACCACGGGAGAGGAGCCTCTGTGAGTCTTTAACAAATTTTGCTGCCTCGAGAAACTCTCTCGTGATGACTCTTCCGCATTTGGCACACACGTGTTTGAAATTTCCATCTCCATAACCCTCTCCGAGAAGATCAGGGTCTTTACCAGTGCATTCTTCGGACAGTTCGCATGTTGTCCATGGTATCCTAAGGGTCTTAGCGCAACTAGGACATTTGAGTACTTTAACCATTGGGTCATCAACATTGTCCCACTTCCGGCCTATAAGATTTTCCCATGCTTCCTTGCATTCGGGCGAGACATTGTAGTTGAAGTTGGCATCGATCGCATTGTCAACGAGCTGCCACGGCATGCCAGCCGTCCACAAACCATTCAGGCAGTATAGTATACAATCCTCGAGATATGCTCTGGGGTTGAGCATGTGAGCATGCCAGACCATTAAAACGTCTGCTCGAATTAGTGATGATATTATGTACACTCATTATAGATTTGACGTACCTAAAGGGGGAAGTATATGTTCGGCCCATTGGAGGGGCGTCCCTCTGGACGTGAATGCACCATATATCGTAGAGTCGGACCCTTCTTCGTAGTGGCCTTGCATATTTTTCTCTGTCAGGTGTTTCTTAGAAAGTGCAGTCCACCAGGCTTCGTATCGGTCCACGGCCCTCGCGACAAAAAGCGCCCATCGCTTCTCTCGAAGCTCAGCCAATCGCTTCACAGTCTTGTCTTCGAGCTTCTGCCCGTTATCGACAGTTTTGGACTTCTTATCCTGCTGTGAGAGAACACGGCTGTCGAAGAGACCCCAAATACCATCTGTATAGCCGACGTCCTCCTTCACACTCTGGAAGGCAGCAAGTAGCCTGAGATGCACAAGACAAGTATCGTGTGTTATATTTGAATCCCACGATGATATTTCAACGAGGTCAGGGGTAAAATTCATACTATGATCGAAAGTGGTATTTAACCCTTCGGTTGGCGACGTTGGAGCTTGGTCAGGGGATATTCCCCCATTTCCTTCACAATAGCTAGGTGGTGCTTCACTGCCCTCTCCATCCGACAATCCAGATATCGTATCGAGGTTGTTTGGCTTCGCCATGATAGAATAGTAGGATACCACGAGGTAGATCAAGGTATAAGAGAAACCGGGAAATAGGAGAGATTTGAGTGGTTGATGGTAAAAGCGTGGGGTGGTGAAAGGGTGCCTGGGAATTAAATGCAGCTAAATGGGGGAGTAGAATTTGTGTTCCATGAGCGATAACTAATGCATGTTAAATACTATTCGATTATTCCCGCTTAGACTAAAATCATGGTTCTAAGTTTCTAAGTTCATAGTTCCAAGATCATAGTTTTAAGTCAAGAGTACCTAAGGTTTATAAGATGCAAAGCGTTGCAGGGGGGGCATTACGCGAAGTTAAATAGGCGGAGGTCAGACGGTGGCTTAAGTTTTCGTACTGCTTTTTCTCGCAGGATTCAATGTTCTACCTAAGAGAATACCGATTTTGCTCCCATCCCGTAGGCTTACCTTTCTACGCTAATGCACAATGGCAGCACGAGGCGTACTGCATTTACATGAAAGCTTATCAAACATGTGTTGGGGTATTTGACCATGTATGTAAGGTACTTCCTGACTTTCTCTGAGCTAAGGTTCCTGCTAGAACACAGCTAAGTGTAGGTAAGGTAAGTACAGTTGGGAACAATATGATTGGTAGAATAATCCGGTAGTACTTACAAAATGACGCGTGATGGTTACACAAAATATATTACGTAAGGAAATCGAGGAACAGTGCCTAGACCCTGTAACTTTCTGACCCAGCTGTTTGTTCCAAAAAGCTTAAAAAACAACCCTTCAGTTTATGTTGCCCTATATCGACGTAGGTAGCCTAAAGAGGTATTCTAAAGATTAGGTATGACGTTCAATTTCATTCTCTATAATTACCTCCTATTGAGACTCTCTGTCTAGATTCGTCATTTGGCGCAAGTTTAGATATCTAGGGGTTTTGCGCAACTATTTCTATTTCTAGCGATCGGTGATTAGGTACCCTCCACAGTACCCCGGAATGTAGAATACAACACCCCGGGGTTGTGGGGGATCCTTCAAAAGCTTCGATGTAACTTCTAACCCGTAAATTTTCACCTTTGAAGAAATCCATATTACGCAGGATTTTCAGCGTGTCTCCAATTCGGCTTGGCAAGATAAAACAAGCTTCCACCCTTTGGAATGCGAATGCAACACCATTTTTCCTTGAAACAATATGAGGTTATGGTTACTGCAGACTGCAGTGACACCATCGATCATAATGTCTCGTCCCACCTCGCCTTGTCTTGCCGCGGGGGTTGCTAGGTAGTCTTAAATCGACGCTAGCGGCCTTACAGAATATCTAAATACCTAACCTATATGTAGCCAGATAAGGTGGAAAATGATTTCTACCTACTTTCTCGATCTAGGGTCAATAAAACTAAAGTATGAAAAACGCCTTGAGACCCAATCGGTCACCGTCCTTGCGAAGCTAAACGTTCAGCCCGACGGATCTCGGTGACGCAAATACGAAATCTTCATGCATAATATGTCGGTAATTAGTATTAGCGTATCGGTTTGACGGCTCTATTTAATAGCAGAAATACTAAGGATATGATGGTGTAGACACAAGGATATCACGATGTTTGAACAGTCCTATACTCTCCTATCAATACACACACCTAAGGTACTTCATATGAAACCTCGAGGTTGTGCAACATTAGCGGGACAGCCCGACGGTTGGGGATGGGTCATCTCATACTAGCCAAGATTAGATTGGGTAGTAATCATACTACCTAATGTATAAATTATAGAGTTAGTAGTCCGATTGTTAAAGAGTACTAGTATAATGCCACCACAGCCACAGAAACAACATCCAAGCCACGATAGCACAAGCATGTCACATAGGTACATGTAGGTACCTAAAGAAGGAAAAGTTGCCGTGAGACAGGTTCGATTAGCGTAATCTACATCCTGTCTAGGTAAATAACCAATCCTATCAATACATTGAACCACCCACCAGCCCTCATCAATGTATTGATTTCCCAAACAAGTCCGTGTCGAAGCATTGAGCCACCCACCAACCCTCATCAATGCAGTAACAGTAAGTCCCCCGCCAACTATTCCATCCGTCGCTGTAAAGTTTTCCACAACCCAGTGCGCCGCCCATCACGATTGGTTCTCCACGAACCAGTCGGTATATCCGTCCTTGTCGTTGTCGTTTCTCAAACCCAAAAATTTCCAAATACATGACCAAATTCCAACGCTATGCCGCTGTAAAGGCCATTCATCACCAAGTACATGTGAAAACAAAACAGTCCCATGATTCCAGTATGGTCCGCGATAACCCTCCCGCCCCTCCCCGTATCGCGGACCATTATCCAAGCAAACCCCAGTAGATATCCATAAGTAATTCCAAAAAAGTGCCCAGCCGCCAAGCCCTTCCTGTTAGGTAGTATCGTCGGATTAGATCGAATGTCGGCGTTGTCTTGGTTGAGGCTCTTGTGTGGCGTTAGAGTTGTGCAGAGAATGTGGACGTGGCCGTGAGGGGCGTCGACATAGGGGACATTGGCACTGGGGGTGGCGGGGGGCTGGGCGGCTGGGGGGACGGGGGACGCTTGCTGCCATGTCCTCTAGCATCTCGTCGATGGGCATATCCCAGGGATAGTCCCACATGTCATACTCGCTGACCCTGTCGTCACCAGCCTCGCCTTTGGTGCTGTCGAAGTAGGTTTCGTCGTCCGCAAAATCCGGATAGTCCGAATCATCCCCATTTACAAAAGTCTCAGCTGTCGAAAAAGTTGAAAGGTTTGGAGAATTCGGGGGCGTATTACACGAAGGACGACCCCGGGTGTACAAGTCCGGGTAATCTGGATGGTCCGGAGGATCTGAGTGGTCGGAATGGTGGGAAGACTCTGAAGAACCCCGGGGAGTCGGAGGACCCGGGGAAGTCGAAGAATTCGAAGAAGAGGAGCCATCCTGATGCGAATCTATCACGTTGTCTATGGAATCTACAATGTCACGTAGACATGCTATAACTTCGACAATTGCCTGATATAAAGGATCGTGGATACCAGAAGGAGCAGGATTATTCGCCGCCGTCTGCACCACTGGACCGCCGACAGGGGCATTGCTGCGTGGGGCGGGTACGGGGAGTCGAGGGATATGGCGGACATTTTGGAACAAATACAAAATATCAGTAGGGGGACCATTGGCATTGGGTACATTGGGTACATTGGGTACATTGGGTACATTGGGTACCGCAGGCCCCGAAGTTTCCCGATAGAATCGATTCAGTTCATCGAGTGTGGGCTCCTCGCCGAAAAGGTGGTGGAACGTGTTGTTGATGTTGCGAGATTGCTCTTCCCGGGGATCGGCTTGTGCAAGTTGAGGGTTCTGCTGTTGTTGTTGCTGGCTTGGTTGTGATGTAATGTTGAAGCTGAACTCGCCGAGGATGTTGTTGTTGGCATTGTTGCTGCCGTTGTTGCCGTTGTTGTCGTTGTTGTTGTTGTTGTTGTTGTTGTTGTTGTTGCTGTTGCCACCAGGGGGACTTCCTCCATTGTTTTGAGACATCTTGATAGAGGAGTTGTAGAAGAAAAGGTGGTAGGTATAGTATGATGGGAAAGTGTGTGTGTGTGTGTGTGTGTGTGTGATGTATGATGTGTGGTGTATAGTGTATAGTGTATAGTGTATAGTGTATGGTGTATGGTGTATAGTGTATAGTGTATGGTGTATGGTGTATAGTGTATAGTGTATAGTGTATGTTTATAGATTTTGCGTCGAGAATATCTTTATGAGTGCTGTGTGGAAATCTCATAGATAGAAAGGAAAGATGGTAGATGGAAAATTGGAGGATGGGCAAGACTTTATAGGCAGATTCTGAGGGCCCTCGCGAGAATGGACAGGTTGGCAACGGTAAGGTTTGGTATGTTACGTGTATTATACGACGAGCTTTGATAATACTAGAGATATAAAAGACTTCGGTGGCTAATACGAGGGACATAGCACATTATTGGCACGAGTATATGAGATAGTTTGACAGAAGAAACCTAATACACACGCGCTCCCTGCGGGTTATAAGGGTATACTGGGGAAGATTAGCATTGCTTGGACGTGGAATCCCTCGTTAGCCTGCTCAACTTGACTACCCAACATAATAGCGAAGGAAATAAAGCCAGACAAAGCGTCAGTGGGAAATAGGAGTCACTTAGGCGGCTAATACTAGTATCCACAAGCCCATAGAGTTTATAAAGACACGCCGTAGTAAGTAGAGATCGGTGCTCAACAGGCTCGGTTCAAGATGTGGGTGAACATCTATACGAGGAGATCAGTGCTACCAAATCCGTAAATAGTTCCCCTACTGGGAGGTATGCGTAAGCCAGGTCCGAGTTAATACGGGAAATAGATGATAATGTGTCTCTGTACCTATGTAATAGTGTATATTCTCAACATATTGACTGAGCCATTGTCAATCAGAATGTTGTGTCACGAAACCAGAAAGTATATCTCGAACCAATGATGAACGTAGATAGCTCTAACTACAAAAGTAATATTTCAAGTTCTATGATGTGAAGGAGTAAGAAACTTCGAACTATGGGATGTTTGTCTAGCATTTACCTAGCATGGAGTACTGTTGGGTTTATCTATATTAAAAGTATCTTCAACTGACTCTATGATCAGGTTGGGAAGGGCCCAGCCATGTCCACGGGTGAGGGCGTGCTGTATAGTATCATGTATCTGATTTGAGAGTCTGAGTAATCATCTATACATCCCCGCCAGCACGGTAACCGTTAGTGGCCTCCAATGCCTCTAGTATGCCAACAAAGTAGCTACCTGAAATTTTTGTATGACAGATCTCTTGGCTTTTACTTATTAATTTCCCATTGATCTCCAATTCTGGAGATGTAAAGCCTCGCAAAAACCACTCATATAGGCCATCAGGTATTTCCTTCATGGAAATTGCCTTGAAAGTTACCCTCCGGACTTAAACCGGGCGGTGGAGACCACTAACGTTTACCATACTGGCGAACGTGTGCAATATCTATCGTGAATACGTATCTTTAAGCATATATCATATTCGGGTATCAGTAATGGTGTAAAAAGTAGGCGGATAGGCGGGTTTAGCCGATCCTGATAGAAGCGTAGGCAACAAAAATATATGACAATTATACCGTGCGTAAGTACTTAGAATAAATCCAACGTCTATAATGCGCTTTGAAGTTCTAATAATAGAAGAATTACAGTTGGCAGGTTCCTTGGGGTGTCTCATAGATGGAATGACACAAATTAAGATTTCAATGATAGAAAATTTACTTTGAAAAGTCTCTAAGCTCGAGCTGTCATTTATACCTCCCTGGTTTATGATCGGACCTCGCAAGTAAATTGGCTACCCATTCAATGACGTAGCTAGCTCGTTTTCTCAAAATTATGGACAGTGGAATAGTACATAATTAGGAATCCCGCTATACAAACTTTGCCTACGAGTTTAATTACTCGGTTAACTATAGTCATATCTCGGATGTCAAAGAGTATTACGAGAAGACACGAGCGGGACCATCCATTCGGGTGGCGAAATAGCCCGAGTGTACTACTCTTTGGTAAAAAGGATCATGGCCCTACCACCTGCCCAACACCTGTGCAACTTTCACAGCTAGTGTCGTCATGAGTTTTCCACCCGCCAGTTGTCCGTATTGTTTTTTTACTCAACGCTTATATGGCTTTGGCACCTGCCAGCCCCAAGAAGGAAAAAGATACGTACTTGTACTTTAATTCACCCTCGAAACTTCAATACCTACCGGATTTACCACGGTCTCATACGTGACATACGTTGATTAGATACCTGTGACAGCCGTTATTAACAATATTCAGAAGGCCACTCTTTCTTCAGATATTAGTATTTTCGAGGTAATCTAATTGCGACGAGGTATAAGTCTGTATATACGGTGACTATTTCAAACGTAATCATCGTCATACACGGGATATAGGTAGCTACCTATCCATAAGGGTAACGATATAGCCAATCAAATATTATCATATTTCTTGACGCACACATTGTCACGAGGTGGAACTAAACAGTATGGTAACAACTTCGTTGTTCCGCGAGGAACTCTAATCTACCTATACATACTGAACATGTCCTTTGTTCTAGATGTCTCATCTAGAATCCTGACACACATCGCCAACATTATGTCCATGCCCAAGACGATTGCTGACACCCTGTCAAATACCCCCCGCCCCTTCCCGATAACAGATATGGTTCAATGTCGATGCTGTACTCATAGGTACACCAAAGACTTCCCTTCCCCGAAACCGAATTGCCATATCCCAGATACATTCAGAGTTTAACTTTCCCTCCAGTCTCCAAGTATCCCCGGGAATAATCTAGGAACTTCAGAATAAAATATTTGCTACGAGATTCAAGGTCAGTAATTGGAATTTTAATATGGCTTATGAATTGAAACATTTGAAAGACCGTCATATTAAATTAGGGGGAGAAAGGGAGAATAAGAAAAGAATTGAAAGAAAAAAAGAAAGATTATATGTAACCTGATTACTTACCATCTTGCAACAAAATATGTAGCCCAGAACCACCAGACAACACCATGCATCCATGAGATAGATTGGTTAAAAGGACTGCAGAATATATACACACAGATACCAAGAATGCCCGCCAGTTGAGGTTCGGTAGGAATGCCGGATTCGTCTTGCTCTTCTGTCGCTATTTTAAGATGACAATCAATTAACAGCAACAAGAATGAGATCATGATAAAAAGAAAATATAGGCTGATTAACCCCTCTCTATTACGGGGGTTTGTAGTGACGTTGTCGAGGTCGCGCAGGAAGCGGAGCGTCGAGGCCACGATAATTACTATGAGAAAAAACCCGCGGCGTGAGCTTGAGAGTTGTTCAGGTGTTTGAACAGGTCGCCTGGAAGGAATATGGTTCTTAAGTAGGGAGTCCATAAGTCCTGCTGAAGTAAAGGCGGGATTCTATGATCTTGCTGGTTGCTGAGGGTGTAATTGGAGTTTGATGACTAGATACCCAGGTATCTTAAGAGTAGGAAGGCTACTATAGATATTTGTAGAAGAGGGTTTTGACTGATGGTGGGCGGGGGCAGATCTTAATACTTACCTATCTTTATATCATGAGCTGAGGGTAGGTTTAACTTTCCTTCGGAACATTTAAAGTAAGAGCACGATAACTGTGATAGAGGCATTTGCTAGGGACTAAGAAGCAGAAACTCAACCAAGAATCACAAAAACCTTAATAGAGAACCATATTGCTATGACTCTAGAACCGGCCCATTTTACAAGCACAAAGCACAAAAGCTATGAAGAAGAGAGGATCGAGCGGATTCACTATTGGTCTAGGTGATAACTTAATTTATTTCATCGTACCAAGGTTGGGGCCAAAAGTCTGCACGGTCGTATTTGAGCTACCTACATCCTACATACAGTGGCTGATATCGCTATAAATATAGTGGTAAGCCACTATCCGACTTTCACCTTGGCGTGTTGGCTGGTACTGTATTAATAAGGTAAGAAACGTACAGAATATCGTGTTAAAGTCTATAATCTTTAAGGATATAAAAGGTCAATGGTATATAGATATGTTTTATAAACGTAAAGATAAATCCAAGTAACAGAAAGCCTCGAAACGCGCGCATAGACGAACTTTCTATCTCGTGGAAGTTGGCCGGAGACATCACCCCTTGTAAACTCGGGCATAACGATAGGTAGAAAGGCGCTTGGGTATATGCTATGTGTTGGGTATTTGCAGTAGCTGCTGACGAGCTTTCGATGGAACATAGTTACTACATACCTAGGTGAAAAAGAGCCAGGGCCTTCTTTTAGTCGCAGTTATAGTTTACTCGACAAAATCAGTAAACTTAAGTCATTAATACCATTCCCCTGAAATTCAATAGATACATCAAGTAGGTAGTCAGCATAGTATGCAATGACAATTAAATGTAACAAAGTTGCCTAGCCGTAACCCCGTAAGCAATGATAAGTAAGACATGCGGAACACATGCCGAGCACTCCTATAAGCGAGATACACTTCTATTTTTATCCTCGGAGAGGAAATGATTTTCGGAAAGCTGCCCGATGGGCCATCAGGCAATGAAGCGTTGAATTCATGCGCGTGCGAATGTGCGGTCAAGCGTGACAGTGCTCGGGTTGGTACAGTATAGGTACTGGAGAAATAGGAACTGCACTTTTTGCCAAATCCATAAATGTACCTAACCTAGGTTAGGACTTACCAACAACACGTCAGGCAACTTACTCCTGGAATTAGGTTACGGCTTGGCTTATTTTTCTGTTACCCCGAGGCAATTATCTGCAGGCGTGCGGCCGAGATAATGTCGCACTGCAGTTACATATGCATCCCGGACCGTGGGCACGGGACAATGGGTAACCTAGTTGTCGGGATTTGGAGGACGGGGCTATTGCTTATTACACCTTTCTATTTACAAGTATGTACGAGATATCGTGTCCTGTCCCAAAGTAATATCGAGCATCGTTTACCGTTATGTTTTTCAAAGGTAATATGATATATCACTATTTGAAATTTGGCGCCGAAGAAAAAAAAAAATCGAGGCGTGAAAAGGCAACACCGTCTCTGGCTATTCACCGTGTGCCACGAAGAGCGTTGGTTACACAGCCTGACCGTGAACCAAGTTCATGCATGACTGCGCTGCCAATTGCACATATCTTTGCATGATGTGGAGATGGAGAGACGCTGCGAGCCGTATCATTCCCTTTTGCCTACATAGTAACGTCGTGATGGTGTCACCGCTCTTTGCGCCATCTGTAGCGAATAGGTACTGGGGCTTCGGCAGCGCTCGGAAGTATGTCGCGTATGTACCTACTGAGTCGCTACTACGTCGCAATACCAGAATCCAGACCATCGGGTCGCGGTACCGGCCATTTGGTTCGCACCCTGCATATTATTGAGAGGTGTGATTGGGTGCTTGGACCCTGTCCTTGTAGTAATATTCATGCAATGCGACCGGGGTATTCTACCGTGGCCAACTGGATGAGTTCCCCGGGAGCCTTTCCGTACCGCTGGGCTGGGTCTTCGTGGAGAGGCAACGAGACTAGAGAAATGTCCCACCTATTCCCAGGAGATTGGGTCGCGGCTTAAGCTTTTGATCAGCATCTAGTACCATGAGCGTCTTCGAGCCGCATTCTGAGTTGAAGATTACCCCTCGTACTTGTATACTGTTAGATATGCTGGAAGTATTAAAAGGGTGCCCAAAGTCGCGTTTAGTTAGGATATTTCGACATAGCTTTATTCAACTACACTTATATATCGATCATTTCAATGAATAGCGTATGAAAAATGACCGTGGCCGAGTTCGATGATATTGAGTATGAGGGTATTGGAGGAGATAGCCATATCGACCTACGAAGTGAGCGATGCTTCCGTGATCATTCCCCTGGCGACACCGTTATCAGCTTGAGTGATGATGGACAAGCGCTGTAAGACATAATCAGTATTTTCACTAGTTATTAATAACGCCTGAAACTTTTCGACTGACTTCTATGGTAGTTACACTTATCCTATCCCTTCCTTTCAAGCTTTATCTCAGAGTCACCCAAGGCCAGACCTAAGTCCTCAGCAAACGCAATCTCATAGGCACCATGGCAATATTACTGAGACTGAAAACCTGGATGGTCCAAGCACATTGAGCTATGATACCCTCATCGCTATGCAACACCACGCACAACCAGGTTCGGTACGCGGGCTATCACCCCTAACAAGGTATCGGCGCGACACACAGGGGCATGAGAGGCTCGCCCTAGGAATGAAAGCCGAAGACCTTGGATCACATCTTGATATAGAGAGCCCTCCACCGTGTCTCAAGAAAGCGAACGGAGTTTCGAAATGTAGCAAAACTTCAATAATATCATCGTTACACCTAAGCCCGGCACCACACCAAACCCCAAGCGCGAGCCCAGTCCCATCAATGGACCCCGAAACTTCGTCGGCCGCCGAGCAACTCCGCGAGCTATTAAATGTCATCGAGGCTCCAGGCTGGAATGAAGAGGTATCCCCAGAAGAGCAGGCTGAGTATTTACGGAGAACGTACGTATGCCCCCCCTCTTCCCTTCCTTTATCCAACTTAGGTAGCCAACGACGCAAGGAAATCAGCTAAGATGCCGTATCAAGTACGAAGCTGAAGCGACGGGTCCAGTCCGAGATGAACCCGAGAGAGATAAAGCCGCCCAAGGTTCGCAAGCGGAGTCGACAGACTAGCAAAGACCGGCAGTCATCGTCGACCTAAGCGATAGGGATCGTTGGTATCGTAGCCCGGAGAAATATTACTATAGCCTTTATTGATAATTGGAATATGACTCGAGACACTTAAGGATGGAAATATTTTTATTTGGTCATGAGTTGTCTCGACGCTTTTCATTGGACACTTGTGTGAAATGTCTATCAACACTTGCCATTGTAGTCGTCGCCGTCTTCACTACCATTCATATAACGGGTACTCGTGAGGTATTACCTCCATAAAAAATGATAACCGGAAGCCGGGGTCCTCATTGGAAGGATAGTAACAATAGCAATCACCATAATGATTATCATCATCGGCCCAAGCCCCCGGAACACGGAGAGGTGGGTCCTCAACCAGTTTCCAGAACTCGCCGACATAATCATCTATGGGCTCGCCAAAATAAAATTCCCAATCTTCGGGTTCTGGGCCATACCTGAAGTCGACAAGGCGCTTTTCACTACCGTTCCCAGCGAGTATATCATAACTCTTTCCAGCAAAAATCTCTTTTTCGCGTCGGCCATAGGCTTCCAGATTAATGCCGGCCTGCTTTAGTGCCTCTAGCCACAGCCTTACAAGTTTAGATGCAAGGCATGGTCGTATTTGGTACCAAAACATTTGGCCCGTTATCCCACGAATCACGTAAGCCATGGCTGTACCCTTAATTTTGGATGGGTAGTGCCGATCAGAACTGAAAACGTGAATATTAGGAGTCTCCTTGATGATGTCGACTGTAAATGTAAAATAGTCACGAACACTCGCATTTAAGTGATTGATGTTAATCGGCCTAGAAAGGCTTTCGTAATCCCGTAATAAATCAGCTACGGCGGCCCCTAACCTGTATGCGACTACAGTAATGATGGGAAGGATCGCATGAGAATGAACGGCTTTGGGATTAGTACTCCAATCTGGCTCAAGAATTAATCTGAATACCTCGATGCTTCCTTTACGTTTTAGGACTTCTCTAGCTCGCTCGAGCCGCGAACGGAGTGAAGTACTTCGATGAGACGGACATCGATATGGGAGTAGTGCCTCGTTAACCGCTGGGTTATAAGAACCGGTTTGACAATTGCATCTGGAAAGCAGACATCTCATATTGTCGTCATATTTGGGATCCTCAGGGTATCCAAGAAGGTGTCCAGCAAGGGACGGGTCCGAAGTAACCTGTTTAGTAAAGAAGGATGTCTGGGGGGCACCAGTGAATACGTCAAAAAGTACATAAGACCTATATATATTAGTAAGAATCCCCATTGGCAACGCGTTTTGAAGCGACTTGCGGGCGTACCATTTTATCACATCCTCTGCAAGACCACTTAAGCCGATTCTAATTAGATATTTTACTACTTCAATATTATGGCTACGAAGTGCGTACTACCAAAATCACAAAAGTTAGCGGTATCAGCAATTAGGGTTTGTCGTTCTTACCTGAAGTAAAGTCTGTCCATCACGAGTGTAGTCGTACGGAGATGCCAATCCTGCATCAAAGAGCCTCTGAATATCTTGGGGGGATCCTTTCCGTACTAATGATATAAGTTCACTCTCTTTCGGAATGAGCCTATAGGACCTCAGGTTAAATTGCCAAGCTCCATTCGCCTTAATGCTATGCAGTTCCCATGACCGACGAGAGAGCCATGCTGGCGCTTGAAATAGGATTCTGCTGCCCGCCGCGAAAGATTCGAAGCAAACCCTGCCAAAAATTGTAGGCCGGATCCATCCTGTTCCAAATGCCCAGAGAGGCTTCATAGATATATCGGTATCTTGATGCTTATGGCATAACCTTGAAACCGTCTGCACCTCCGATTCCGATGCATAATCTGATGTCTCTTGGGACTCGTACTGATTCCTACGGATTGTAAGAGTTGTAAATTTCTGGACGATAATATCAGGTTGGACTTGGGTGAGCGCGCTGAAAGGGTGTTTAGTGGCGTTATAGTATATCTATACGATGGGCTACTTACACCAGATAAGATTGCTGAGCTAATGTTAGCATTCGGACAGCATTCTCAAGCCGTCTTTCTAGCTTCTTGATGGAGTCCTTCTTAAGCAGGACCTTAATTGCTGTTATCTTCCTCCGACCCTTTTTAGCGCTGCTGATTTGAAGATTTAACTCCTCAACCATTGCAGTTAGGTTCTCGAGAGCCTTGCGGCAATATCTGGTGGTTGACTTGGAAGCTAGGTCATCCCAGAGCATCGACGGTAGTTCGCCCTTATTAAACCCATTTTCGACTTCCCACAAGACGGGATCTAGACAGTCAATCTGGTCCATTAGATCAGCAATGCCGTCGGGAACATCTTTCACTTCGTCCCAAAGTTACTTCGGTTTAACTACTATGCCGCCAACCTGACTAGCAATTTGCGCGACAGCAATACCGCTGGCAGCAACCTCAAGAGCTTCGGCCATAATCAATGAGTGTAAGAACTTGTTGGAATGGATCAGTATGGTAGCAAATGTGGATATCATTTGTTTAAAGGGTTGGTTCAGAGGTTATAATCGAGATGGGCAGAGAGAGAGGGGGGTCTGGTTCATGCACGTGGGATCTGAAATACACCGCCCTGTGGCTTGAGTGGGAAAGCGATGTTAGGCAGATTCATGTGTGACCTTTGCATAGGCTGACAGGCTATATAGTTGTATAAGTAGAAGTTTCTATAGCGAGTTGTTCCTCGGATTATCTGCGAGGTGTAGAAGGATGACACGTAATAGGTTCTTCAAGGACTCATTTAAAAAATATATTTGATGGATACATATAAGTACCTCATATCTATGCATTTATAGCGTAAATGTATTTAAGAATGTAGCATACATTATCGCAAGGATACCGAAGTACTACGTACCTGGACGTAATTAAATCTCCATCATCCAGGGCTTAATTCGTTAATTCGTCATCGCCAAATCAAACCCTCAACCCTCAATCCTCAACCCTGACCCATGACCTTCCTCATGCGCCCGCTGCCCACGCAGCAAGCAGCACAACCACAATGCTGCCTCAGAACCGGCGCCTCCGCCATCTCCAAGGTATCTACCTCCGGAACCTGAGCTTGACCCGACCCCACGGCAGGGCTGCCGACGACCTCGAGGCCGACCTCCCTTCCGCCAAGCTCCAAGCTCTTCACGATGGGCCCCCCCAGCTTCACCATTCCCATTCCTCCGAGAGCCTGCTGCCCTCGCGAGCTAATTCCCGACAACGCAGCACGACGCTCGCTAATATCAGCCCTATCACGCGTCAGAAGCAGTTGGAATACACCGTCGAGAGTAGAGCTGCCGACGTATTTTTCTCCCTGCACTGCCACGATGGCGAGGAACCTGTTTATATCAGCGAAGTAGGCGAGCGTGCGATGAACTTCAATTTCCGTTTTTTCGACTTGTCACAAGCTGGACCGACAGTCACAAGGAGACACCAATTCATAATTAAAATATGGGCCAAGCAGAAGCAGCGATCATGGGTTTTGCTATTGACTGAAAGTGTCGACCTGCGTTCCCTGAACTACCTCGAGTCCTTACGAAACCACCACTTCCCTCCAAACTGTCTCGTCTTCCAACTCCTCGATGGCCTGTACTCCTTCGAGCTCTCGAGCCAGACTCCCGAGCCAAAGCAGGCCCCTACCCTACCCACATCGTCCTACAATGCGCTCATGAAACTCTCCAACCTCGATAACTCCATCCAAGACGCCTTAGCTACACGCGAAGCCCTCACCGCGCAGATAAACTCGCTTCTCGACCGCTCGCCTCCAGACGCCGTTCCCCAAGCCCAAGACGCCGCCCAACTCGCTTCGAAATACGTGGCCTCACAGACTCGCATCCTCCGCGCTGCCCAAGCCCGGAAAGCCGATCTCCAAGCCTCGATCGAAGCCCGTCGCGCCGCTATCCGCGAGGGCCGCGCCGCGCAGGCTAGAGCTGCCGAGGACGTCAAGAATGCGCAAGCTAAACTCCCCGCCTCCCTCGCCCTCCTATCTTCCACGCGGGAAAGCATCCACGGCCAACGCCGGCGTATATGCGAGGACCTAGCACGGATCTTCCCCATCGTCCCCGTCCCCTCCGGCGCACCCCTTTCTTTCAGCATATGTGGCGCCGCGCTGCCCAACACAGACTACGACCCGACCTCACCTTCCTCGATAGAGGACGCCATATCCGCGGGGCTGGGGTACGTAGCGCACCTAGCGCACCTGCTGCAATTCTATCTATCCGTCCCTTTACCATACACGCTGTCCCCCTTCGGCTCCCGCAGCAGCGTCCGCGATGATATCTCGTTACTCCCAGATTCCCAGCGCGAGTTTCCGCTGTTCCTGCGCGGCGGCGCAACCGCCCAGTACCGCTTCGACTACGCGTGGTTCTTACTTAATAAAGACGTCGAGACGCTATGCGTGGCGGCTGGTCTGAAAGTCGTGGATATACGCCACACGCTGCCGAACCTGAAGTACCTACTCTACGTATGCAGCGCGGGCCGCGACGAGGTGCCTGAGCGGAAACGCGGCGGGATACGGGGACTATGGGCGGGACGGATGAAGACTAAGGGAGGAAGGTTGACGGCAGATGACGGTGCCAGTATTAGCACAGCTGGTAGTCGCCCCGGAAGCGCGGATAGCGAGGCGTTAGGGGGAGCGAAGCAGAGGGAACAGTTGATGGGGCGGGTTGTTAGCAGAGAGGAACGTAGTAGTGTGGACGGGAAGGGGATACCCTCGGGAAGTAGTACTATTGGATTGCCGTTTGATGAGAGTGCGAAGCTTAGTTTGAGGACGAAGGGGATGAGGGAGAATATTGGGGCGCATGCTTGAGAACTTGAGTGAGAGCTTGAAGTGAGGTGAGAAGAGATATGATATGATATGAGGAGAGAGGAGAGAGGAGAGAGGAGAAAAAGTTAGATACCCATTGAAAAGTTGAAATAAGAAAAGAAAATGAATAGGAGTAGGAGTAGGAATAGGAGTAAGGTAGAAGAGATAATTTAGGCGTAGTAATGTATATAACCCTGAGGGGCAACCGTTTGTATTACATCCGTACATTCATGGCCCCTTTTCTCGGGTATGCTACAAGAGTATTCGCATAAGAGGCTTTAATACAACTAATCATCTTCGATTCATACACTATTTATCTAGGTAGACGACGTACAAGCTGGCACTCCTCGATCCACTCGCTTCTCCCGGGGTATAAATGAACCACGGTCTCCCTCTCATGCTACCACCAACCGCCCCCCTCCCCCCCTAATGCAAATGCTATGCCATATCAATGCAACCATTCCACTCCCACCAATTAGTATCTCTCCATAGGTACCTACATACATACTTCACATACCTACATATATACACACCAAACAAACAAACAAACAACCAAACATCCCTATCTAATCCTAATCCTAATCCCCATCACCGCCCCACCTCCGGCGGTCCCGCAAACTTAACACTCTTCCTTCGTTCCGGACCACTCCCGCTCCCGCTCCCAACCAGACTAGCGCGTCCGGGACTAGAACTAAGGATCCCCGCAAATATCCCCCCATTACTCCCACCACTTGCACTGCCTCCGCCTCCATTGGCATTGGCACCTACAACCTCAAGCGTAGACAGCGCCTCCCGCACACCCTCGACTGCTCTGCTCTGCGGGACCTCGATGGCGTCGCCGCGAATAGCGTTGGATGGTGTATTCGAGGCGTTAGCGGTGCTGCCTTTTCGCTCCTTGGCACCGCCGCGTTTAAGTCCGGTGCCGGAACCGGCGCTGATGGAGTTCCGTGTTTGTTCGCGCACTACACGGCCTAGTTCTTCGGTGCGTGCGGCGCTGCTCTCGTTACGCCAGCGGCCGGGGAGGCAGGCGTGCCCGCAGCCGTCGAAGGGGCAGCAGCCGTCGCTGTTTGTTTCTGGGAAGGCACCGTCGAACAGGGAGGTGGAAGAGATGGGGGAGGATATTTCTTTCGGCACGATTGGTGCGTGCCAGTCCTGTAGGCAGTTTGCGTGACCGCCGTGAGAGCAGCCGGGGCAATACCACCATGTCGAGAGTATAGGCTCATCGGCCGGACGAGATGGACTTATTATTAAGCCTTCCGAAACCGTTACCAGTGGAAGGGGGTCAGCCGTTGCGTCTCGATGTCCGCAGACTGCACAGGGCGCCATCACGGTGCGACAACGCTCGCATTTCCATATACCAGGGCCTACCGTATTGGAACGGTCGATTTCACGCGGCTTATGGCATTGTGAACATATGAATGCGGCCGAAACGCGATCTTGCGCCGGAGTGAAGACCGAAGTATAGTTTTCGCCCCAGGTCGAAAGACCACTAGGCCATCCCTGAACGCAAAGATTGCGTAGAAGTGTGGCTTCGACAAATAGCTTCATACTCATAAGGCGTCTGTGATACTGTCTTAGAATGGCGGCGGCTTGGTGACAATCGATGACATCGTCGGGTACGAGAGGTTTCAAGAGGAGAACCATAGCGGATGCGTTAAGAGCGGAATGTCCCGACTCGAAGGCTAGGGCACGCGATAGGATATCGTATGGGTTAATAGGCGGGATAGGTAGCTTTGACTTTACCTCGTCCGCAATTGGATGTGGATAGGGGGGATCACCCGGCCACGGGAGGAAGTCGGTCTCGGTGACGTGAGGTGATGGGTGGTCCTCAGGTTGGTCTATCATAGAACGCTCGCGAGCAAGCTTCGTTTCTAAGACTAGTCTGGTTGCGTATTTCGAGGAATGGCTATTGATTTGCGGGGACGGATCGCTATCCATGGTGTCTGTAGTCGTCTGTGATATTTTAAAGTCATCTGTGAGGCCGGAATCTTGCCTCTCTATTGAATGTCGTATTGGATATCTCACACTTTCAGGAGACCCCTCGATCCGTTTACCTCTGATTCTGCTTCCATATTCCTCATCTGCCTCTCCTAAGCTCCCGCTCATTTGTTCCGTTCTCCGAGAGATACGCGTACTATTATTGGATGAACCTGTAAGACCCGATGTTTGTCTACTAGTATCCGACAACGAAAACATTTGCGTATAACTCTCATCTGAATTGTGTCTAATGGGTCTTCGTCGTGCATTTGGTGATGATGGTTCTGCGCAGTCAAGACTTAGTGGCTCCCTCTTTTTCGGAACGTCAATCGCCCTTCGAATATGCTCGATAGCGTCTATATCGTAGAAATCGTATCCTTCCGTGTTAGATATCTGACTATCCTGGCTTAAGGTCGAAAGAGTAGTAGAATTGAGTCTCTTCCGCGGACCGGAACCCTCTGGAAGGACAGAAGGTGGTAGGTTGAAGCCGTCCATTTCTAAGACCGGGGTCAATAGCCTCCCCGCAGCGTATTCGTGATTATCGCTAACATTTTCTGTAACAGGCCGGGCCAAGGGTGTCGGGACACTCGATTCGCTATCTATCTCTTCGGTGAGTAACGACTTTCCCAGGGGGTGACGGCTCTCGAGAGATGACACGGACGGTGGCTTTCTCGGGGTGTCTTCCCCGTTGACTCTTATTCGTGGGGACGCATCCGCGTTCGACAACGCCAACTTAATATCCGAGGTGTCTTTATCGGCTTCCAGTAATGACCTTTCACGGCGCACTTGGCGCTGTTTTAAGTGGTATTGAGACCTGCGGGTCAGGAGTAGGCCGATGGCGTAAGATAATATTCGCCAGGTCTGTGCGAGTCGAAATTGACTGACGCTCTCGGAAGCTCGTGCATACCTTTCGATGATTCCAGCAACCCTTTCGTTCAAGGGCCGACCCCCTTCGGTATATGGAAGATCCTGTTTGAGAATCTCAAGGTACTGCCGAGATAGATAACTATACACGCGCATTTTGGGGGCCGCAGGTATTTGGCCAATTGTCATGATTTGGTGTGGCTTGAATGAACCCGTTATCTTCATCGCTTGGTCTAGTGGGATAACTTGGTCCTCCACACCAGAACCAGATGGAGGTGTTGTACTTATAGTATTAGCTACTTTATTCTTCCCTCGGCGCTTTTCGGTCGCATTCCGTCTCGTGCCGAGAAAGCTGCCGATTACATCTTCTTCCGAGTCACTACGACTAATGCTGAGCACCTGCCCAGTAGGACTAGAGCTGTAAGGCGATATAGGCAAGCCCTGATGCGAAATTACTGTTGTGCGTGGCCGAGGCAAATGTACTCTCTCCTCGAGGAACATAAGCGCCTCTCCTCTAGCGGAGAAAGCGACGTTCGAAAGTGGTTGGCGGTCTATTACCTTGGGAGCGAATGCAACGTCGCACTGAGCGAACCCATCGGGTCCTGCTGTCCAAAGCAGATCCTGATCGTGCCAAAGCAGAGCACTGGGCGAGTTCTCAAATACGTCTATTTCCTTATACGGCATTGTCGGGCGTGCCAGATCCCAGATATGCACAGAACTAATACCATTCTTCTTAACGTGCCCGCCTTCGTCGTACGATACCGCGACCTGGGCGGCTCGACGCCCTTGAGCAGTAGCGGACCAGAGACCCGGTCGCCACGCCACGTTCGTGACGGGAGCTGGGGCATTGATTGTCCACTTGGGCTTTTGCCTTTTCTCGGCATTCTTGGACAGGTCCCAGACGTGGCACTTGCTATCCAATCCCGCGCTTATCAGATGATCTCCATCTGCATGCCACGAGATGGAGGACGCTCCCTTCTGAGTATCGTGGGCGTTGATCTTTAGTAAAGGCGCAGAATATTTCCGAAAGTCCCATTTCAAGATGACGCCGGACTCTGTAGCACAGGCAAAGATCATGCCATCTTTAGGCGACCACTTCACATCGCTAATCCCATCATTACACCTGAAAGCCTGGATTGTCCGAAATGTTGGGCCACTACGCGAAGGTATAGGTGCTTTTACATCGAAACAGCGCACCGTACCATCCTGGCCTCCGGATAACAGCCAAGTTCCCCAATGAGGGTTGAAATCGAGGGTGTTCACCTGTCGCGAATCTTCTCTGGTTTGGATGGGTTCAAAGCCAGCACCTGAGCCCAACCGACTAACATCGTACATAAATATCTTTCCGTTGGCGCAGGCAGTGAAGACAGTGAGGTCGTTGCCATGGTTAGAGGCGAACTTGACGTCTTTTATTGAAAGCTGATCCGAGGCCAAACTTGCATTGCTCTTGTTCGCATATTGCGCGGTAATAATAGAGCGGATATCAATACCCTCCTTAACTTGAAGACCATCGAAATGAATTGTTTTGAGGATATGGCGACCACCCAGCACGGCATGTTGACCATCGGCGGACCTATCGAGACAAGCTACGGGTACGGAGGAGGAATATACTGCGTCTTGGGAGGCGTTAGGTCGGTAAGACTGGGGGACCGGCGAGCTAGTGACACCGAGGTTGCCATCGCTAGGGGATTCGGAATTCTGGCGACCAAGTAATCTCCTCATTATCTTGTGTTGGTTATACATATCATTGATACCGATGGCAGTACTTGGCCGCCGGAGATATACAAGTCAGTAGCGTCATGATTCTCTTCGGGAGAAGTCCGTGGCGAATCTGATCAGCCCATGAGCATTTTAGGTATATCGCTATTTTCGAAGGACTCTATTGCGACAAATTCTGGATGGTGGTTTTGTGTTTCTAAGAAGCTTTGGTTGCGTAACCAGTACAAGGCGAACTCATCGTTAAATTGACGTAAGCATCCAAGATGTAGGTACTTTAACTCGAGGGAATGCACGCAACGAAACGCGCTGTACCTTCTGGGCGCATCCGTTCGCGGTGCGTGCATCAATTGTGCATACGGATTATGCAAGTGACCAATAGTAGCAATATTAGGTAAGTGTTTATGCAAGGGTCTGCCGATTATTACCCGATTATTTCCCTACTCGTTCCGGTCCGTTTTACCGACTACCGATTATCAAAATGTGCCCTCCCGCAATATGCAACCCAACAGAAAAGAAATAACATCACCGAGATCTTCTCATTATAAAACATTCATTATCTTCTTCTATAGCATTTGAAAACCCCTTTATGACCCATCTTCTAGCTGGAGGACTATTTTTTCAGATTTAAATATGTATACAAAGTTATTAAGATAACAGTCTAGACTACGTCAATCTATAATTTCATATCTGTTCAACTGTTGGTTAAGTTAGGCTTGCCATACCATATAGTTATGAGACTCGTGAATATAGCTTCAATTTACTTAAGCCGAGTATACCCTTCATATCTTTCCAATGCCGTAGGGTATAGTGGATACTTGGCGCGAGTGCTACTATCCAGTGTCGTTCTCAGGGTCCAGCCTATATTTGTGCCGACAGCGGAATGCCAAGGGTTGCAAGAGATCGGCTTAGATGCACCGAACGAGCGCAACAAATGGCCCCGCGCTCCTCACCTAACCTAGTATACTATTTATGCGCTACTAGAATCGTTCAACTCGCAAGTACACTAGAATTGACGTAGAGGATAAATATATTAGAACATTATATTTACAATGTCATTCCCCAAAGTTCCTCCTAGCGGCATCTGGGCGCCGGCCGTGACTTTCTTCGACCCCGAAACTGATAATCTAGACACGGAGTCTCAAGCAACATACTATTCATACCTTTCCAAGACCGGCCTCGCTGGTCTAGTTATCCTAGGAACCAATGCCGAGACTTTCCTCCTCACCCGTGAGGAACGAAAGACGCTACTCCAAACGGCCCGTAAAGCATGTGGGCCATCGTACCCCATCATGGCGGGTTGCGGTGGACATTCCACGCGCCAAGTGTTAGAATTCATCACCGACGCGGCAGAAGCCGGGGCCAACTACGTACTTGTCTTACCCCCGGCATACTTCGGCAAGGCGACTACTCCGGCCGTAATCGATAATTTCTACGCCGAAATCGCTACCAAGAGCCCTCTCCCCGTAGTGGTGTATAACTTCCCGGGAGTCTGCAACGGCGTAGATTTAGACTCGGCTACTATCGCGAAGCTAGCGAACACACACAGCAACATCGTCGGCGTGAAGCTGACCTGCGGCTCCGTGGCCAAGATCACACGTCTCGCTGCCGAATTACCGTCGGAACGTTTTGCAACTTTCGGAGGACAGTCGGATTTCCTAATCGGTGGTCTTAGCGTCGGCTCCGCGGGATGCATCGCCGCGTTCGGCAACGTCTTCCCGAAAGCCATTGTGCAGATCTACAAGCTGTTCAAGGAAGGGAAGCATCAGGAGGCGCTAGCCTTACATCAGAAGGCAGCGTTGGCAGAGCAGCCCTGCAAGGCTGGCATTGCTGCGACGAAATATGCCGCGGCGATTCATACGGCAAAAGCGGCAGGTATCGAGGGCGCAGTGGAGAAGTTAAAGCCGAGACGGCCTTATATAGAACCCACTGATGCGGCCAAGAAGAATATCGAAGCTCAGATGGCTGAGCTAGCTGCGATAGAATGCACACTATAGCATTAACTAGGGTGGAGTAGCGCACCTTGTTCTCTACGTAAAAATAGAAGTTACAAGTGCCCGACATATCAACACAAGAAATAACAGAAAGATCAAAACTACTAGCTGTGTGTGAAAATCTCCGCTAATGATCATTGCTTCTCGGCCTCATTTATTATATCTCTCACTCACTCCTACTCGGTCTCACTTCATAGTGTAGAAGAACCGATGTTCGGATATTCGTTTACCAACTCTATGATAGGCATGAAACACTTATTCTGCGCCCATTCCGGAGTAACATTATCATCATGATGCTCAGCCCACTGTCGTACCTGATCCCAACTGATCCAATCCCAATTCGCGCACTTATCCGGTTCCAAGAGCTGCCGCACTATTGTCAGCTTCCAGCGTAGAAACAGATTATATTCCGATGACAAACAGAAAATAAAGCAGAACTGCAATTTAGTTACTCACCTCCGGTTGATCATCCTCGTTCTCCCTCCGACACTCCACAAACACCGTGACATAGTGCTTGGTCTCGGGGTCGAATATCGCGTTCGTCGTAGCCACGACACGCAGGGCTTTAACCCGGAGCCCCGTCTCTTCCAGCGTCTCGCGCTCCGCGCACTCCAGCAGCGATTCTCCCATTTCCAAGTGGCCGCCGGGGAACTGCCAGGTACCTATTTGCCATCATCGTTAGTTACTTGTATTCTTAACTCTTGTTCATCTCGCGTAATTAGGCGTTCGGGTATAAGGCTCAAGGACAGCGTATACGTACCTGCGCCGTGGCTGGCCTTGCGCTTCCCCATAATAAATCGGCCCTGCGAATCGCGGATCAGGGCCGCCACGCCGACACGGGGGTGGTAAGGGGGAGATGTTGTAGCCATAATGAACACTTATTGAAATGGATTTTCACTTATGGTTGTTGCCGTTGTGTGATCTTCAGAGTCTTTCGTTTCGGATTGATGTTATGTTTTTAATATGAAAGTAGACCTGGTGATGTAGGCTGCCGTCGACGGTTAGTTTCGGATAGTGTATATTTATCCCATTGCACGAACTACGAACATACATAAGTACCTTAATATATTCACTTGACTAAACCTTTTTAAATGTTTGACTTGAATTGAATATAATACACGTGGCGTATTCCAAAGCAAGGGTTTATCTATTTACCATACATACATATGTATATATTAAGCGGGGATTTGTTAAATTTGGGTCTAGTGTAACGCTAATCAGGTGGGTACATATATTTTAAAACCCATGTCCAGAAGTTTAATGGGATAGTGCGTATGGGCTAGCCTACGGTATCTCCCCCTTTTATAAAATAGGGGCTACGAAAGGCTTAATCGCCAAAGATTTGTTTAAAGTAGGTACTTATTTATTAATGATAACAAGCCATTAAGCTATATAATACAGCTTCAATTCAGTAGATTATATACGTAAATACTTCATACCAATTATCAAAAATTGATTCAATAGTCCATAAAAGAGAGTACGAAGTAGAAGCTGATGTATTTGGGTAAAAACCCTACCTACGTAGTCCAGTGCTAACTATTGGGAAGATGGCCTGGTAACTTATACCGTAGCTATATCGCTACATCCCTTCCTATCCCATCCTTAAAGATATCATTAAACGTGAACCAGCGCCCAATTCACAAACTTCCCACGCGTCGTGCCACTCGCACCACACTCAAACGCACCCGCACCACCAACCCTAGCATCAGCAGTCCCATTCACCGGGCCAGTCGTAACAGTATTCCCACAATCATCAGCCTCAGCATGCATAGTCCCATTACCATTGCCATGACCATAGTTCCTAGAAAACCGCCGAATAGACTCCTGAACAGCAAACACCACGTCCCCAATCCCAATAAACGTACTCGCCACCGCCGCCGTGTCCACCGTCACGCTAAACGCGCACTTCCCAGACGACGCGATCAGATTGGTAGTCGTGTTGCTGTGCGCGGTGCTATTGTTCGGCGCGAGCCCGAACGTGACACACGTCTGGTTAGCGTTGTCGCGCAGGATCTGGTCGACGAGGGCGGCGCAGTGGGCGGTGGGCGGGGACCCGGAGGCCGTGGTGTCGACGAAGCTGGTGCTGTTCTGCTTGCAGTGGGATTTGAGGCTGACGTCTCGCGTGGGGAAGTGGGCGCCTGGTAAGGTGTAGTTGTGGACTGTTCGTTTTTCATCGGCCGAGGTGTTACCGTATCCCCCGGCGCGCGCCTTGCGGGTTGCGGCTCGGATGTTTTCGGCGGTGTTGCGGACGTGGGCGGGAGGCTCGACGGGGTGGCTGGAGAGCGGCTCTCGGGGATACATGGTTGTTGAGTTTGGCGGCATGACGGGTGTTGCGCTGGCTATGTGCCAGAGGCAGAGAGAGAGGATAGCGGTAATAGACTTCATGATTGTAATCGTGAGGAGTTTTTGTTGGAAGAATTGGTTTGATTATCGGGATGGGTTGAAGATTAGGGGTGCCTCTTTGGGGTGGTTTATATAAGTCTTGATCGTGGTCCGGAACGTACAATGCATTGTTCGGACCAGCTCTATTGAGACTTGTGCAGTGACGCAGGCTGTAACAATGACTCGTCTTTGTATGTAATATAATGAACATTCACTACTTCTCGTGCGTCTTTTCAGTGACTGATTGGCAGATAATTAAGTTGCGTTCAATGCCTTGTCGTGGCATGTATCATTACTTAGGACATTAGATGATACTCTCTAGATCGTTCCTTGATTTAATGATAATCACAACCAGATATTTCAGGAGCCAGGAAATTCACTTAGAGATTTCAGTGAATAAGTACAATCGGTATGTATTTGGACAATTCTTCTGAGTCTGAAACATAGGATCATGGCTATACCGTCTAAACATGCCTAGGATTCTTGACTCGGGGCTCATAATTTCGTCTCTCTCGCTTCTTTTTCCGCCTGCCTTTCTTCTTCTAGCACTTCTTCCCTACTTCTTACCTCAACCTCCTTAGCTACCCCCTTTACAAATCTAGTCAACACAACCCTCTCCCAGTCACCTCCCCTATTACTGCCCTTAAGCTCCGGGCCAGGCTTATCAAGTCCTAGGATTGACTTCCTGTCACTTTTCCGTAGACCCAATGTTGTAGGGCTAATCACTTTGTCAGCCCAAGCAATTTGAGCTGTAGGGTGTTTCGCAGCTTTCGGGTCACTCGTGGTCGGCACCGTCGTAAGAAAGCTTCTCAACTTTTCTCTCTGCGCGTGATAATGCTCCACTAATTCAGATGCACTTGGCGAACCAGAGGGTGGTCCGACTAAGAACTGGGAGATAATATGTAGTAGGAAGCATTGAGGCGGAAAGAGTACGATCTCGCCCGTTTCCTGCTTCTTTAGCCATGTGCTGGCATCATCAAAACGTGCCGCAGTGATCTCAACACCCCCGTCAGGTGTGGGGATTATAGCCTCAGATCGTGCCGCGGATATAGCGGGGTCGTTGCTGGTCGATAGTGGAAGCATGTAAAGATACATCTGCGTGGTGAATCGCCGAGACTGTCCAAGGGGGGTTATCCATCTAGTGAAGGGCAAAAGATTCTCTAACCATGAATTTAGTATTATGAATTAATCTAGAGAGTGAATGCATGGCGCATGTCATTACTTACCAATATCTGCAAGCCCGCCGACACTCCGAAGCCACTCGACGAAACAGACTTTGTTCTCGTAAATCTCTTTACGCGCACTGTCGCGTTGAGTAACCGGGACGTTTAAGGGCTTCCCATCTTTACCCCCTTCGCGGGCGAGTAAGATTCCACTCTCTTCGAAGGTCTCCCGTATCGCGCCTAGCCTGTATGTGAGCGAGTCCTCATGCCGCTTAAGATCGCTTGGGCCTGGTACGGTTCCGTCGTGGAACTCGGAGATATTCCCGCCCGGGAATACGTGAGCCGAAGGAAATGCCGAGGACGACTTCACTCTGTGTAGTAATAAGACCTGATTTTCTGGAGATAGGAGAATGACGCTTGAGCTCGGCCGTGCTTCTGCTAATGTCTTCTCTTTTGGTGGCGTCGACGATGAGTTGTTCCTCTTCGGCATCATGGAAAGATTTACATGTAACGTTTGCCCCTTATTCAATTGTCTATAATTGGACCGAGCTCCTCCAAATTTCCCCGCTGTTCGTTTTGATATGCTACCTGTAGTTCGGATTGAATAATATGAGATGAGTCGGCGGGTCCCGACTGATGAATTGAAAAGTGTAGGTAAAACAAAGTACGTTTCATGTATTGTATTTACATTCTTTAATAATCGAAACGAATATGATGACCAGAGTAACATTTCGTTATTATTCAAGATTATGTATAAGTTGTATGAGTGGGAGTGAGATCAACCACGTAGAGCGTGTAATGCCGAGGTCCAATGAGGTAATACGCGTCGTTACATGGGACCTAGATCTTCCCCGCCAAGACTATACATCGTCCTCTTTTATACTTAACCTCTATAGTTAATTGGATTGTAAGATTACCTATCATAAGATTTGATACCATTTTTAACTATATGTTAAGCATCCAAGCCTTTAAACAAGAACGACATGTCGGAACCACAACCTGAAGACAACCGCCCAGCATGGGCACGCATCTCATTTCCATCAGGTTGGAACAGCGAGCGGTTTTTAAATCTCACCGTTCAAGATTTTAGCCAAGTCTCAGAAGATGTCCGACAAACTCGACCCACTATTCCTAATATGTTCGCTAATTCCATGAGAAGGAACGCAAACAGTTAAAAGATAGTATTCGAAGATTTCCCTTCTCGCAAGAATATACCAAATTGAGTGATCTTAATAAAGGCCTCTGGGAAGCCAATGAGCGGCCTCCTACGCCCCCGTCATATGTGCCATCTGGATGGACTGTGAACCAAGCGCGAGCCCTTAGCTTGGACCTCGTCACGAAATTATCGGAAGATGTTCGTCTTGTTTCTAGAGTAAACCTCTAAATAGTTATATCTTGAGGATATTTCACACTAAGCCAAGCACTTCTCTAATTAGGAACAACGATTATGGGCTGCAGGAAAGACGGCCGACAGCGCCCTGAGAGCACACAAACAAGGCCAACTACCTGCTAAACCTCCGTCGTATATACCTACAGGTTGGTCTACCGAGCAAGCAATATTCCCTACCTTTGAGATATTGTCGCAGCTCTCGCACCAGGTTTGTTCATACTACGCTCGGTAATTTTGTCAATTCGTCCTGTTTACATGATTGACCAGGACCTCACAAAATACATGGAAGCTCGAAACCAGGCGAATATGGCATTATCACCTAGTATAACATCCCCTCAAGAAATACACACAGCTCCATCACCACTAGTTCAAACACTCCAACGGGCGGGCTTTCCCTCATGGGGTTTTATTATCGTACGGACTTACTACGCTTCTGAGAGCCGCTGGGAGGAATTCCAGGAGAGACTCAGTGCAATCTGCGAGAAACAACTTGATGAGGAGACGGGTGAAGATCTTGAGAAGATTAAAGAAGCTCTCGAATTCAAGACGATCGAAGACCCGCGGCTTGAAGGTGTGAGTGCTGAAGAGGCTAGAAAGTGAGTATTTCGATATGAGCCTTTGCTTAACTTTACTAAAACCGGACTTAGGCATTTTCACATAGCTAAATCGATGGGGGGTGTCGCTGCGGGGTTCGAACTTGGTGTCCTGCTCATGGTTGGCGCAGGGACTGTGGACTCGGTATTAAAAGATGAAACCAAAGGCCATCAGTCCTCCTATGTTACGGTAGTTGACGTTACTGAGTTCAGTCAAGAGGGAGGTTACCAAGGGCACTTTAAGGTTTCTTTGGACGCGTTGCTTTGCGAGTTTTACCCTAAAATTTCTATGGGACTCAGCCCAAGAGATCTTTGTTCTATGATGGACGAGGAGGATGGAATCTGGATAGGAGATGATGAGTGAAGACATGTTTCTCTAGGGGGTAAAATGCCAAGGCTCGTAGTCGGAGCCTTACCAATAATGCTCATTGGCGGAAACGTTTTGAGAATAACATGAACTGATAAAATTATATTCTATCTAATAATTCGTGTAATGGTGACTGATAAATGGGTTAGGTAGGTATGTAAGTGCATAAAGATCTAACCAGGCGTTTTGGTGCTTAATTACCATCTACGTAGGTTACCTAGTGAATAACTCCACCTTCAGCTAATATGTGAGCAGACCTAAGTAGCTGGATTCAGTCATACCACTGGCGAGGCCAACTATTATTAGTCCAGTGTCAAAGAATGACTTATTAACCAGCCCCGCAAGACCGCGAGACAGCAAGGACAACAAGGAGACCCAGAAATAAAGCTATTCTAGACATCTTTATGGCTATCGTCCTCGAGTAGGAAATGATCTGTATCAGTTCTTCCCTTTCGAGATCAAGAACGTCTCGCGCCGCATAGTAGCCTTGGGACGTATAGATTGCACTCAGATTCCGCTATTAAATTATTTGCTTCCCATCCTCGTTTCGATAGCCCCAACAAAGAATACCGACTGGTAGTGTGTGAACACCGCAATACCGGCTAGCTAGGAGGCTTCCTCTCCTCAAAAATTATCTAGTTCCTAATATCTCCACGAAAGGTAACCGAGTACATAGATCAAATCAGATTAACTTAAACAAACCCACACTCAAGACTTATCCCGCCCAATACCAACCTTATACGCCGTCAACGCGCGATCGCGACTCTGCCGATGATCCACAATCGGCTCCGGATACCCCGCCTTCTTAGCCTCCGCCGCAGCGCCCCTATTATACGGATCATGTATAGCCTTGCCCTTGACCCCCCTAAGCTCCGATATCCACTTCCGGATATATGCGCCATCGGGATCGAACTTCTCGCTCTGCAGCAGCGGGTTGAAAATCCGGAAATACGGCTGCGGGTCGACGCCGACGGAGGCGCTGAATCCCCACCCGCCGTTGTTCGACGCGAAGTCCCCGTCGATCAGATTCTCCATGAAGAACCGTTCGCCCATGCGCCAGTCTAGCAGTAGGTCTTTGCATAGGAACGAGGCGACGATCATGCGGCATCGGTTGTGCATCCAGCCTACGCCTTGGAGTTGCCGCATTGCTGCGTCGACGATTGGGAAGCCGGTGCGCCCTGTGCACCAGGCTTCGAAGTGTGCTGAGTTGTAGGACCATTCGATGTTGGAGTATTCGGGTTTGAACGGCTTGTTCATGCTGTGGTATCACGCTCAGTCCAGTATTCTCATCTACTAATAGGTCAAAACTCACCAGATATAAGGCCAGTGGACCAAGACGTGCTTATAAAAGTCTCTCCATGCAACCTCGCTGATCCAAGATTGGATGCCCTCAACGCCGGCATCCAACTTTTTCGTCTTATTTCTATCTCGCGCCGTCCGTACCGCCGTCCTTGCACTCAGCGTCCCAGCTGCCAAATGCACTGAAATCGACGATGTCGCCGCCTCGGAAGGAAAATTGCGCCTCTTGCCATACTCTCCGATTTTCTCGTCGCAGAACTTCTCAAGCCTATCCATGGCTTCACGTTCACCGGCTGGCCAAGTGGCACGGAACCTCTTCGCATCTTCGTCCGGAAGCTGCTTGTTTTCTGGGATATCTGGTATCTCGCTATCAAAGAGAGCGGTTACTTTCTCACGAGCGGCAGAAGAATTCTTCGCGGGAGGATCAAATAAGTTAAGAAGCTCCTGGTTTGAATGGATATGCGCAACCCATGTCCTAAACCATGGCGAGTATACCGCGTACTGCTTCCCGGCACCCGTATGCAACGAGCCGGGCGGAACAACACAAGTATCGTGGAACAACACCATCGCTATTCCCCTATCGGCACATAATCTTACCATGTTTGCTTCTCGCCTTAGTTCATCGACCTCGTATTCTATATTTGCATATAGATGACTCGCACCCCATTCATCCATGAACTCCAGAATGCGCTCGGGGATCTCCTTTCGCTTGGTGACAGTCTCTACATAAAGCGGAATATCTAGAGCTGCCAAATCCTGCCTCAGCTTATGCAGAGTGCGTATCGTAAAGTCGACGCGCACGGGGGCCGTCAAATGCGCCTCAAAATCCTCGGGGCTTACTATATATATGCATATTAGAGGAACATTAGCTTCTTGAGCCTTCTGGCTAGCTTCCCATAGTGCGCGGTTGTCTGTGGTCCGCAGATCCATTTTGAACCAGTGTATCACGGCCTCCTTCACTTGTGTGCTCTTCCGCATCGACGCCGTTTCCTCCAAAGCAGCTTCGAGCTGTTCAATGGGGCGAGGAAGTTTGTTGTCATTATATGCTTGAGCACGCGCAATGTTCATTTCCGGCGGGTAGAATTTGCGCTGCACGATGCCATGCTCTTCGGCTTCGACCGCAAAATGATGAGGCTCGCGCAGTGGATCCAAAGTTCCATTTCCAAGTTTAGGTCTCTTCATCGGTTCCTCTCGGGTCTCGTCCTCGTTCGTGAGTCTTTTCTTGGCGCTTCGTTTGGGGGCCATGGTTGAATAGAGCAAACGGGGTTTGTTAATATTTACTTTATGACGTAATGGTAAGGCGATCGAGAGCGAATGGATGAAAGAGATGGGCGTGATTGGTTTTAGACACGTAATACTAACAGCAGAGAGGAAAGACATGAAGGAGAGTTTTGGTTAAAAAAATGCAAATCCAGTTTGAAAAGAAAATCGATTGCAATTCCCCCTTGATCCATAGTCCCCGATATGATCATGCATCATCGAAACCCCAGATCGATCTAATGGGGCTAATCGATCTTGTTACCGGGATGGTGGCTTGGGCTAGTGGAGATTCTCAGCCCTATGAGCCGCAAATGTAACCCCATTATCTTAAATTAACGACACGTCATTGTACTCTAGGTACCTACATAACCAGATAACAGTTGACAGCTAGAAACTTGGTCAAATTATACATGTCATGATGAGTTGCTCTACAATGGCCACGCCATTCAAGACGAATTTATGAGTTGTAAGATGTGTCATCTACACAACGCTATCATTTACAAATCGCCATCCTTTTTTAATTCGATCGAGACATTGAACGAGCATCTAAAGTCTGTCTTCGTATTTGCGATACGATGCGACTCCCAGAATTTAAATAAGTCGGGTATTATAGGGTCAGGAACTCGGAGTGTAGATTATTGTCGGCGTAAAAGTATACCTCCTTAGCTAGGTAGCTAGGTAGATAGAATTCGAAAAGTACCTACCTAAATATGAGAAGGAATAAAAAAACAATCCCTCAGAAGCCCACAGTCAAGATCAATAAACGAGACCGTCCTTATATCAAGGCTACGTATAGCCTCCACTAATAGTGGCAAGTATTCATTGATGACTATCAGTTATCAAATGATAGTAGCGCGACGAGTGGAGTTCGAACTGAACTCCTGAAGTGGTGTGCCTACGACTCGGCCAAGTGCCCCTCAAGGGGCGGCAGGTATTGTGGCATTTTGGAAAATAGATACTTGGGGGGAATCATGACAGGACCAAAACTAATCCATGATATTTGTTACACTACGTACCCAATCCAATGCTCACACGTCCTCGATTCGGTACTATTAATCATCCATGTCCATTTCATCATTTAGATTCATCTTCCTCACGCCTTCTCTAATGTTCTCTTCCTCGATCCCATCCTCCAGCGCGGTAGTGAGATCACCCATATTGGTATGCACATCGTTTGATAGACCGTTGTTGGAAGTAGAAGGTCCATCATCATTCTCATCATTCTCGTTGTCTTCCTCCCACCCCCCCACTAGTTCGTAAATCTCAAACTCCGCTTTACTCCAAAGGTCACCGGTCTCTCTGAGCAAGTTATCGATGCTGCGTGCGGTTCTGCTGTGTTGGCTGGGATCGAACGGAGGGCGCGGATTCTCTTGCCATTCTTTTCGTGCTTTAACTAGGCGCTCAAAGAACTGGAAGAATATCGACTCTCCGAGACTTCTTGCCCAGGGAATAGCTTCTTTCAGCGCGCTTAGGAAGTCCAGTAAGCCCCCGTCCTTGGAAGTTAGGTGATTGATGATTTCAGGTTTTACCCCAATGGTAAACATGTCTGCCACTGCGACAGCAAGAGTTAGTAATTATTCTGTAAGTACTAAAGGTAAGGGATATGGAAATCCATCCATGTTTGCTCACATGCTTGGTCAACAGCTCTCATTGCTTCCCTACTCGGCCTTTTGTTTGGCTCGGCAAATCATGCTCTCTCGAATGATATCATAACGCTGACGTCTCTGATACTTCTATGGAGCATACAGCGTGTAGGCGGATATATCATCCCTCCCCGAGGGAGAAATGACATGAGTTCATTCTTGTGTGGCATGATGACGAGGATGGATGATCTTAGTTACAAGTTTGCCGGGTCCAGGGAGCGAAAATGTATGGAAAAGAAGAACTTTTGATTCCGTAGTTAATTGTAGTAGGAATCCAAGCCTAGTAGCGAATCAATTGAAGTGATAGGAATAGATTTTAGGTATGTACCTAAGTATTTCAAGTTGGTAGCAGTGTTCAAAGTACATAGTGGCTTCATGACTTCCATTAGTAGTAGCATTCTGTTGTGTAAGTACCTAGGTATATTTGATATTGATATCTATCTACATGTAAGGTACTTCCATAATCTAGGCACTTGAGAGTTGGCTGTAGCGATCCCAAACAATAACACATGAAAAGGTATACCTAGGTACGTTCGAAAAGGGAAGGTACCATGGTAGAAGCATGACTCGGTTATGAAGTTCTCGCCCATCGCATTGACCTAACAGGTGTAGGGAAGGGTAAAATGCGGAAGAATTAAAGCATATAATATTTTTTAACGCAAACACCTGTACCGCTCCTCAGGGGCATTTGGCCAAGTGGTAGGCACACCATTTCAGGGGTTCAGTTCGAACCCCACTTGTTGCGCTACTATCATCATTTGATAGCTGATAGTCAATCAATTGGCAATGTTGCTGTTAGCATAAGGTTATACGTAGCCTGGGTATAAGGACCGCCTCGTTCAATTGATCTGACTGTGGGCTTCCGGGGGATCGATTTTTTTTTCTTGTCTTTTTCTCCTTTTTTATTTATTTTTTGTCTATTTAAATATGGAAAGTCCCATCATATCGCAAATATGAAGGCCATCATTAATTTAAGAATAGGTATTGTTGCATTCTGGAAAAATAGATACTTAGAAAGAATACCTTCAAAAGGTGTTTCTTCCAAAGCACTAACTAGGGTATCCCATTGTCAAATTGATGATTTTCATACCAAAAATCATTGACAGGACCAAAACTAATATTTACAGGCTATTTGTTACATTCCGTACCCAATGCTCACACGTCCTCGCTTCGGTACCAGTAAGTCCGTGGATTCATTCGGTTCTTCAGATTCATCTGCCTCACGCCTTCCCTGATGTTCTCCTCCTCGACATCGCCTTCCAACGCGGCGGGCGGCGCATCGGTCATCTCGACATCCATGGTATTAGATGGGCCGTTCGCATTGTCCTCTTCTTCATAGCCTCCCATAATTTCGTAAAGCTCGAACTCCGCTATGTTCCAAAGGCCTCTGATCTCTTTGTACATTTCGTCGATGCTCGTCGCCGTGCTGCAGCGATTAGGGCCCCAAGGCTCGCTGGATGTCTCGCGGCACACCATTCGCGCTGCGACTAGGCGCTCACACAGCTCAATGAACACCGACTCTCCGATATTCTGGGCCCAGGGGACGGCTTTCTTGAGCGCGCTGAGAAATTCCAGAAGGCCGCCGTTTTGGGCGGTTAGGTGGATCTTGATATCGGGACGTAGTCCCAGGGCGAACATGTCTGCCACTGCAGCAAAGGTCAGTAATTAATTCAATAGGCACTAAGGGTAAAGGGCTTCTCTATTTACTCACGTGCTTCATCGACAGGCTTGGTTGAAGATGTTGCCGCTTTGCCTTTGCCAGTCGGGATAAGTCCTGCTTTCTCGAGTGCCGTCACGACACTGTCGTCTTTACGAGGCTGGCCGAGAAGATAGCCTGTATGCGGATAATTCATCCCCAGCCCAGGAAGCACTCGTAAGAGAGACTTGAAAGGCTTTTTCTTGGGCTGTCTGCGTCGCCGAGGCATGGTGGTCGTGAGAGAGTGATGTTTAAGGTTTGATGTAACTACCTATGAGGAAGAGTAAGAAGTTCTGATAGTGATAGTATTGTAGTTGAGTGTTATGGGTAAGACTTCAAACTTGCCTAAGTTGAACTTGGAGGGGTTGTATTTATGGGCATAAGTTCTTAGGTACGTAAGTACGCCAGGTCAATGACTTGACAGGTTTGGCAGCAGTATCCCGCCGCCAGCTGCCTGTTGCTAAAGGATGGTATTTTCGCTATTTTAAGGTACGTGCAGAGTATAGGTACTCAATTCGGGTACTGGAGAGCTCACCATAGCAACCGAAAGTGTGATTCATATGTGGAGCTAATCATATCATTGTCACAAGGTGAGACCAAGAAGGTTGGAAGCAGCTTCATTATTCTGCGAGGAATTCTGCCCTAAATATAAGAGCCCGTGGATACACATACTAAGTACCTAATGCTTTGGTCTAGATGCCTCATCCAGAATCCGGAAAATCATCCGGCACCTATGTCCAGGGCGGGGAAGGACACTTGATGGCATTCTCCATGGAAAAGTGACCCGATGCAACGACATCTATAGCTAGGATAAGCCTCGCACCTTTGTGGGCGTAATGCAAAACGTCATGAAAGCGAGCCTACAGCGCTTGAGTGCCAGATTAGTCTGCCTTATCAAGCAACAAAAGATATTTATTTCCTCGTAATTATTAATTATTAATTATTAATACATCGCTTGTCTTTATATATTTATATATAAACTTGCCTGGCCGCGCATGTATCTTCCCAAGATGCGTGCCCTTTTATCGGCCAGCCTCAACAAGACCAAATAGCCTGGTACAATACGGCTACTTCATTGCCCAGCCACCCACTTAGTGACATACAACATACAACATTCGAGAAGACCTCATTTTTAACACGTATGGCCTTAGATCCAACGCATGCAACGAAATAAAAGCAATATAATCTTGCATCTTGTATAGACGTACAGGCCTTGCATCATCAATTCAATGGATTCAATTGACTGAACTGACTGAATTCCATACGAGGCTGGCTGTGTAATGAGGGTATTGCCGAGAGGACGGTGTGGGATTTTTAGTTAATGAGAGCGCACGCATCTTGGGAAAGGGTTATTGTGGGAGGAGTACAAGTGCACAGTTGATACCATTGACGTCTCTTGTCCGCAACTTTAATAAAACTTTGCATTTACAAGAGATGACCACCCTTCCTTAACAGGCTTTACTGCTCCTGTCAACTTATCTTGTGTGCTTGCTATATTAATTAAATAATTAGTATAACTATGGTAAATTTCCTAACATATTTAAAAGTCCACCTACCTGGATGAATTATCATCTTTAAATAATTGCTACCACTGAAGAAATAAGTATCGCCCCCGTGTGGACTAGTCAGTATTGAATCGACAGTCTTGAACGAGGCTTGGTCTAGAACTGGCCAGTTGCCTTGGATGGGCTTCGGGCCGGTACCAACTACCGTATCACCGTTGGTTCCTGGCCTCACATCGACGCGCACGTATTGACTGCCACGGAAAAAGTATGCTGTCCCGTCACTTAGGAGCACGGCAGCATCAACCGTGTTGAAGCCGACTTGTCTTAGCGAGGGCCACTCCTCAACGATGTTCTTTGCGTTGAACACTTTCTGCCTGGTGGTAATGTTGACCAATATGTACTTATCGCGGAAGAAAAAGTAAGCTTCATCGCTGTTCTTCGGGTTGGGAATTACAGCGTCAATAGCTAGGAAGTTTGCCTCGTGTAGAGCCGGCCATGCGTCGACAATGCTCTGCACCCCTCCGGGTGCTATGGTGTCCTCTAGGTTATGAGCAGTATCGAGTCTCAAGGTCACGAAGCGAGTATCGGCAAAGAAGATAGCTTCATCTTTGCTTGGAAGAAGCATGCATGCGCGTCGGATGTGTGAAGAAGGTAGTATTAGCGACGCATCAGGGTCTGATACTGGAGTATACCGACTCAGATTGCCGTTGTTTTCGTCCACGTCGTCCCGATTGTTGTCTGCATTACCTTCTTGATCTGCTTCACGACGTCGGCGAAGCTCATCGTGAACAGGGCCTGGAGCCTGAGGATTGTCGGCATCGAGATCAAAGAAGCGGATCCTATTAATATTTTCGGGAAGCTCTAGAGGACCTCGCCTCGGTAGTTGAAGGTGGCAAGGATATCGACCCCCCCATAAGCGAATATCTCATAGCGGTACCGGCCGCCGATAACAGGTGGACGCCAGATTTCTGCGATTTCACTTCTGTGGTCTGGTAGGACTGGCCTGGTAGTTCTCTTGGCCCTTCAGGGGAGACGACTAAACGATCAAGTCTGTCAAAAACCACTCGAGCTTCAGCTTCAGTAGCGTCCCTGAGCCAGGGGAGAGCCGCCCCGACAAATAAAGATGCGTCGCACATACTTGACGTTATGGCGAGAGTTGTGGGGTTCTTGTAGCTCTAAAAACATTAGCAGAGCCTCAGTGAGGATAAAGAGCATTAAACCGAACCGTTTCGAGGTTTGTTATAAAAGAGGTAGTGGTTGAAGGCCAAATATTTCACATCGCAGGGAAAGAGTATAAATACAAATCTACAGTTGGCTGGTCTCTCAAGGTAGGAATGCTTATGGCTTTAGACAGCGTCGTAATACTCTTTGTTTGGGTTCAAGTGCATAATCGAAGGCTACCTACTTGTTGTCACAGACTGTCGTCTCTTTCGAAAAAGTGTGTTATTTGTGCATGGCGAAGTCGCACAGCATTCAATATTGACTCCAATCACATAATTTATGTACCTAATGATACAACATATCAATCAAAATAAACTTCCGAAGGGAAGACAGCGGCACTTAACACAAGTGGGTTCGAATCCCGCAGTGGTTACTGAACTAAATAGTCCCACTCAAGGTTTCCTTTGGCACTGCCGGGCGCTGGTGAGGGCGGTTTCGGCTCGTTATAAGGTATGATCGACGGGGTTTGTCTTGGCCAAAGTCAGCTACCTAACGCCGCCACCAATCAAGCAGAGTAGTGATATAGATGGAGGGGTAGAGACATTAAAAATATCCAAATTAATATAATATTCGTAGAAACAAATGATGACTAAGATGATAAAGGACCATATAGCCCATATATTGACATCAAGGGTGAAAGACACTGGATTGGTTTTGTGGAAGCTTAGATATTTGAAGGCTGACGTATAATTGACTGTAGCTATTGGAATGGCATGTCATAACAATCTAACGGAGTTGGCACGAAAAACGTTCAAAGCTAGTGTTCGTGGACCGAATAGAATATATCTTTGATAGAACACGACCTAGATTTGAAACGGTAGCAGTTAAGGTAAGCCTGCACGTCGTTTATCGGTACTCTACATTATAAAGAGAAACTCTTCAAATCTGGGAGCTGGAAGGTAATCTATGCGCCATCTAAAATACGTCCAGGGGCATCATCGGAAACGGGTGCAGGTGGGATACACGACAGGCTTAAGTTAGTTATGAAGAAGGAAATATGTTTGACCCGTATCTGTGCTGTAATGGACGTCTCGAGCATTACGGCTTTTTCAAGGCCATTGTTAATCTTCGGCACGGAGGCTATCGAGGTAGCCCCAGAATCCTCGCCCATGGGGTCACTCGGAGGTGGACGCGAGAAGACTTCGCCAGCCGTATGGGATTTAGCAGCGTATTACTGGGATCAAGAGAATTCAAGGCGCGAAAGGGAATCGTTTGTATTCGTTCCGAAACGTGGATATGGCGGTTTATCTAACCGGCTAGATGCAGCATCAAAAACAATCCCATGCCGACCATACAGTCATGAATTCCCCGTGAACACCGATGCCTATCTGTAGATTCGTTAGGAGACATGGTAGAGGCCAGGGCAAACAGCTGAAAACTCACCACCCAGATGATAAAGGAATTTATCGCACGGCGCTCCAGACGTTCTTCACGAGACCATCCCGCTGAGCGAGTCTGTTAAGAGAATCGTCGCTCTCACCCATGGCGCGCACGAATCCGCAAAGGGCGTAGACGTGGTTCTCGCCCTGGATCTGTCGGCCGTTCTCATCGACCTTGGCAATGGAGATCTGAACGGAAGCGTGGTCCTTGGCCTTGATGATGCGGTTGGTGGCGCTGCACTTTCGGGGGACGTACCTAAGCACAAAACAATCGGCGTTAGCAAGACCCTCAAAGATAACAAATTACATGAAGCAATTGGGTATTCTCACAAGTCCACGATCTCTCCCTTGTCGTTTTCCATTTTTGCGGCTTGTCGACTGTAGTAATCGGAATTTGCTTGGTGGTTGGTGCGGTCGTGGAATATCGCAAGGGGTGGATGTGTCGTGGGTGAAGCAAGTAAATCAACTTGGAGATTTTGACCCCTCGAAAATACAAAATTCTTGTTTGGTGGGCGGTGGGGCTCGAGCTCGGGTGTAGGTCACGTGAATACAGGTCAGGTGGTTTCGAGACGATTTCGTGGCAACTAAACAGTAGTGGGTCTTGGCGTTTTACCGTTTACGGGCTTTGTTAGTGTTGCTGCAACCTACGCGTATGTAACAGCGAATTACTTAACTCAACCTACAATTGATAAACATCATTATCGGGTTTCACTCAATTTAAACCTCTTCAATTGTATATACGTGACATGTTTTTTTTATGACAGATACGATCTGCTACGAAATTTCCCACCATCCTGTCGATCAGTAAAATCCTTGGTTGCGCTTGGCGCATACCGATATCCTTGCGACTTCAATTCGCCATGTCGACAGCCGACGTCTTTCTGTCGTCTCCCGCACCCCCTGCAAGGGTCGACTCCTATGATATGTCATCCTCGCCGGATCTGCCTTCTATAAACGAGATATTCTCTAGTAATCCTAAGAGGCCTCCGCTGCGGAGTGGAAACTATGCACCGCCGATACCCGATGATGCGCGTACTACATTTACAAGTGCTGCGAGTCTATTGCGAGAAGCGCCTGAGATTGATATAGAGACCGATCAGATCACTAACTCACTACCACGGAAATCACGTGCTAGCAAGGCCAACGAGAAGAGAATACCAACACCGGAGACCGTTAATGCACTTGTAGAGACGCCTATTTTAATCGAGTCATCACAAGAAAAGCCATGGCAGAAGTTCAAGAGCAAGAAGTCAACCTCACAGAGCGAGCAGCCGCCTATTTCGAAGGCCCGTGTTACCAAGCAAACGACTAAAGGTAAACAAAAGGGGAAGACGGATACAGTTTCTAAGCACTTTCCCGCTAAAGAAGGTGTCGGGAAACGGGCAGATGAGAAATCGGATAATAGCATAGTAGCACAGAAGTTGGATGACCAGATCACAAACGATCTTCACTGCTCGGAACCTGCTTTAAGACGGCGAAGAGATTGGACCCCTCCGCCCCCGAATGATCCCATTCTTCTTGAATCCGAATCAGATAGCCGGGAATTGCACTCGTCAGTTGACCGAGGATCGCGGTCAAAGGACGTATTTGATACACTCTTAGACCGATATGGATGCAAGGATACTACGCCATCTACCACATTGGAGCGATTACAGCAATCAGGTACCCTAGAGAAGCGGAAGTCGATCGAACCCGTTTCAACTGACGTTGGTATCGGGCAGCGTCCAAGAGAGACATCCCCAGCTAAGGTGGTTAACACGAAGAAGAAGACTAGAACGATCACGGAACTGGCGACTGCGCCTTATATGCCACTGATGAATCCCGAACTTGACCTTACAGGCCCGGCCACAAAGGAATCTCTACTGAGCTATTTCGATGAGGATGGTGCTGTCAGGGCGCTTGTTGATCAACAGACGATTGTCATGACGCAGAAGAAAGGCAAAGCCAAAGAAACCAAGGCGCCAGCAAAGCCTAAGCGCAAGAAGAAATCTGGTACAATGGATAATCCAATCCTATTGTCTCCGAACTCCGCATTGAAGCAGTCCTCTAACCAAGACTTCGTTTTTGGAACGTCAAGCCAATTGGTTAGAGAAGAATCTCCCACGACTCTTCGAGATCTGCAATTGGCAATACGAGCCTCGAACCAGGTCGATTCAGACCCTTTCGCCGATTCTGATAGTCAAGGACTTTGGCATGCTAGCGCAAGAGATACCGATGGTGAATTAATGAAGATCGATGATGTTGAATTAGTCAGAGGATTACCTTCATTACCCCGGACCCAAGGACGACAGCAGTATTCGGACGAGGGATTTGTTGATATCAATGATATTCTAAAGTCCTCAGATATGGATGAATCAATAATTACCCCACCACAAAAATCCCACTTTGCTGTTTCTAGTGCGCAGCCTCCCCAAACTAATAGCGAAGACCCTACAGATCTTACAGCTGAGACCAGCAAACCGCGTCCGGATTTTGAGCTTCTCAACGATGCACAGCTTGCCACCCAGATCGCATCTTATGGGTTTAAACCAGTGAAGAAACGCCAAGCCATGATAGCTCTTCTTGACCAATGTTGGGTTAGCAAAAATCCTGGAGTTTCTGTCGTCCACGCCAATTCTATGTCTACCTCGTCCAGCTTATCTGCCCCCAAGAGGAAGCAAGCAACTACTGCTCCACAACCGGAAAATCCTCCAAAAAGACGAGGTCGTCCAAGGAAGAACTCAGTAGTTGAAGCTTCAACATCAAAAGCCGCAGCACCAAAAGCAACTACCACAAAGAAGCCTCGCGGGCGTCCAAAAAAGGACGCTGTAAAATCTATTGAGATCGCAGATTCCGACTTGGACGAATCCATCTCATCGTCTTCAAGGGAATCATCTCTAGAACGAGACCGGATATTCTCCTCTCCACCGGCAGTGGACCTCTCCCTCTCAGACGAGGCTGATCTCTCCTTAACAATGTCACCAACAGAGCAGCAAGCTGGCCTATTCAGACATATAACCAAAGCCGTGACATCAGAACCGCGCTCGCAGGATCCGTCACAGCCGTCCTGGCACGAGAAGATGCTGCTCTATGACCCCATCATCTTAGAGGATCTCGCCGCTTGGTTGAACGCCGGGGCGTTAAGCGGGACAGGGTACGACGGTGAGGTTTCGCCTGTTGATGTGAAGAAGTGGTGTGAGTCGAAGAGTGTTATATGTCTTTGGAGGCAGAATACGCGCGGCAAGGAGAGGAAGTGGCACTAAATGGGACATGAGCGAGCTCTGACAGTCTAAGCCCCATTTTTACCATTAGAAGCACATGTACCCAGCTGCTTTTGGTACCCAGGTTATTTGAATAAATGCACAAGATTACGATTTACTTTCCTCTCCTTTCGACCAGTGGTTTTGACAAGGGCTGCGCTTACTAGGCATATTCCACGTACATGCAGTTAAACTTCTTGATGGGGCATCGGGAGAAAAGGGTGCTCTCATCATGTACAATCACTGACTTTCGTAGCTTACTCTAGGTACCTAAGGTCTAGAGTCCAGGAAGGGACATATAAATTATTACCATACCTACGAGGTCCACCCCGTAATACTCACTGCGCGTGCAACTCTCGAAACATCCTACATTTCTTATTACTTTACGTTTACGAAGTATATATACGCAGTCACATGCATCTATGTTTAGTAGTGTAGATCATAGCCAATCCCATTTTATTTACCTACCTGAGGTACTCATCACCACATCTGACTATATCTCATCGGTAGGAATCCGATCTAATTGCAGATAAATGATAACGACATCTTCATGAGGGCGGAGTTATTGGCGTAGTCATGATGTTGATGTTGATGTATATTAGGTACAGGGCTGGCAACTGTACTCTGTTTCCCATGAGATTCGGATACGGGGATAGTGTCGTTAGGGTTACGGGCTTTGAAATCAGCAATGAGATTGGCCATTGTTCTTCGGCTCTTCTGATGTCGAGGTGCGGGGGTGGTGTTCCAAATGTTAAGTCTGTTGAATCCGAATGAAGGGGTGTTTTCCATTGGCTCGTCTCTGGAATTACTTAGAGGAAATTGAAATACAGGGTCGAGGGAAATATTCTCGTACTTTTTGTATTTGAATTCGCCCCCTTGATATTTAAATCCGGGGCTGAGGTAGCTGTAGGTGTCGCTATTCCCATGATACTCAGATATCGGGCTCTGGGTAAGGTCGATTATCTCGTTCGTAACTGGCCAAACATCAGCATTGGTGTTCCGTTGGCTGGCTTGCCTTGGGGCCTCTTCGGCTAGGATATCAGTTCTTGCTTGCTTCTGATCAGTCGTTTGATGGAACGTCGGGACTTCTTGAGTCGCCCGCTCCCGCCCTAATCCCTGTTTTCCCGCACACTTCTCGCACTCTTTGAATCTATAGCGAGATGGTAGTTCGTCTCCACAAGTCGAACACTGATAAAAGTTAGCGAATATTTTGTACGTGCGGAAGAGGGGGTCTAGGCTTGTTGAAGGAAATATATTCTCAACCGTTCAATGATACGAACTAAGGATTAGGGGATAGAAATGTGGGATACGTACCTTGTCCCTCTTGGGATGTTGTGGTTTTCCTCGCTGCCGATCTAGGTAAGCTTGTCTGTGTCTACCACAATATACACTACCCCGAACAGCCTCGCGTCTACAACCAGCAATGTCGCACAGCCAAATGAGACATCTACTGCGCAATTTTCCGGTGCTGCCCCCTGAGTTCTCGGGCTGTCTTACGCTGCTACTCGGTCCCATGGCGAGTTTCTGTTGAAGTTGAGTTAGGCTTATTTCCTATATTGTTATTAGTAGGTAAATGCCGTTTAGTATTTCTCCGTATAAGTGTACCAATAATCGCTTATTACCTTCAGCGACTTTGACTATTTCGTGGGTCTTTGTTTTAACTTCATTATATTCCTACTTAGGCAGGTAATAGAGGATAGAAATAACGCCTTTATCTTAAAGGTAGGCTCTTATACAAGTAGGTATCCTACACCACTATCAGAAGCGATGGTGTATGGTTCGACGTACTATTAGTATATGCTGCAACTGTCTGTAGGTAAACATTAGAAAATGCCGTTGATGTATAGATATAGTTCTGTCACTCCGATATACATTCTATCCGGATAAAGGGGTCGTTAATGGGATATAAACAATTAGGACAAAAGCCTCCGGGAATACATGAAGAGTATGTTTTGTACTCAATTCATTTAGTGTATCAGACAATGAACAATGAGAACAATCTATTATCTAATTGTTTCAGAATGGGTAAAGTTCACTATGCCCTTTTCACCGTCCTATTCCTAATTGACGTGGCTTGCTAAGTTGTATAAACCGGGGAGTAAAATACGGTAGATGAATATAGATACATCAACCTTCGTAGTATATGTTGTTTCAATTATTGGCCTACAATTATATTCTTCATTACGCTAGATAAATAGGGTTAAAAGGATCTACATGGGCTCATGAATGACTACCGAAAGGATGGTTCAACTAATCGGTAGTTGAATACTATAAAATAAACAAGGATATTCAACCTCATGAATAAATTAGATACTAAAGTCGGACTGTGACGTGCCCATTGATGCTTAACGTTTACTGCATATTTCGAGGCTAATATATCCAAAGAGTGAAACTACTGGCTTTGCACCAACTCTCGGACAGTGGTTGCTAGTTGAGAGCGTTCTTCGAGGTATATAAGTCATTGTCCAACTGACCAGCTGCCCAAGGTACGGTCCAAGGAATAAAAGGGACGCAAGGTTACGTACTACAGGCCGTTTATTCCCGCCTGCCTGGTCACAGACCTCCCTGGATTAATCCTACACGCGGTGCCAATGTCAGTGACTCAGGTTTTTTGTACCTCCATCCGTACCCTGATTCGTACTTCGATTTTAAAATCCAAGTCCAGTTCGAGGTCATATGAATTCCTTACTTTTTAACATCCCTGCATCTCTTCGAGACCACATAAGGATTTCCCTCCAAGCATCTTCGAGTCTTCTGGGTATCTCAAATATCAGAAAACTCTTCCCCATTCATATCTACATTACGCATCGTAAGTCTTCTCATTTCCCTGCCAACAAACCGCGCGTCAACATTAGATGTCAACATTCCCATTACTCCATCCCTTAAAATCCTTCTCATCAACGATTCATACCTCAGATCCTATCTACAGTTTTTCTTCTCGTTATGCACACTTCACTTTATATTCCTCTACACTTCTTGTCCCTCGCCATACCTGATCTGACTTCTAATAGTTCCAGCCTTCTTCAGTCGATATCTTCCTGCAAAGGCCTACTCTGCTGAGCAGACTGACTCAAGGTAAGTAATACCCCCACCCTCCTTTGAGTTTACTCTTTTACATACTTTATTAACTTAATCATACAATTAGATGTCTTCCTTGAAATCTCGTTACTATCGCTTTGGCGATAAGGACTATACCCAGGTCTCTGGCCCTCCACTTCTTACAGTAAGTCCGCATTCAACTCATTTACACTCTATACCGTAACATCCCACCCCTATCAGCGTCAAGTGCACTTTGATATTTCAGGCTGGACATACTCAGCGGATTCGTTGCTAATCGATATTCGAACCTATAGGAAGAGGAATACGCTTCGCACCAGTATGCAAACCGTCGTGCCATTGAGCGTCTTGACCAAAGCCTCAAGGAAGTTACGGACCACCTAAATCACCAACTGAAGGATGGCTCTTTCACTACTATTGTGGAAATTGGTATGAAACTGAAGGAGATCATTGAAGAATGCCAAGAGGTTCGTCGGATTGTGCAGGACGACTCGACCTGCTTCAATCTTAACCCAGGAAAGGGTTACGAGAGCCCCGAGATCATCCTACGCCCTGCTAGAGACGTGAGTAAAGATGACGATTATTACAAGGATATAAACTAATTAATCTTAGGAACAATTTGTGACAGTCATGGTCGTTATGGTTCCCGTCATCCTCCTGTTCCTCCTCTTCACTTCGCCTTATGCTCTGCTCTGGAGAATTTTTTAATTTACACAACCAGGGGTCTGTTACTGGGTGTATATCCAAAGGATGAGGCTGATGACAATAAGATAGTTTTCAATAATTGAGGCCTTTCACCAATAACATGCTACCACATGTTTTCTTAGTTATGTAATATGTCCTAGCTTTACGCGCTGATGGTGGTATGGCAACGGATATAGTGATTTGTCTTAGTAGTTCGCGAATTATGTCAATATTTATTAATATATCATCGTATCGTAACGGTATGCTGCCTATAAAATCTTAAATAATATCTTCTATTTACTTAATACAATTTTCAAGCTTCAAATGTCCTAACCCGAAATTTGAGTATATGCGTAAACCTTGGGTGCTAGGGCGTCTAAAAACCCCTTTATATGATCTACAAAGATTACCTAAGGTATACAAACAAGGGAGAATTCGAAAGAAGGAGTGGATATGGTAAGTATCCCCACGGAAATGATGTCACTGAGTCATAGAGAGTTGTCCTAGCAATGATGTAAAACTTAAAGAGGGTTACCGTTGTCACGACTACGTGACTTTGAAGTTACCTAACACGTAAAAGGTCAACAATGGCAAGTGAAAGCACGACCATCAGGTACGTATCCACCTGTCAACTTTCCTTAGGTACGTAGAAACTCATAGGTTTACAACTCACGAACCCAAGAAGCACAGGCCTCAAGACAACACACCATCTTGCAGGTGCCACTATGAAGAAATGTTTTTCACTGCCTGAGGGTATTCAAAGAGTACCTCCTACGTACGTCTAACTAGTTATATCTTAATTTTCTTCTTCTTTCGTTTTAAAAATAGATACCTAAAATTTACTTAACATAATAAACAGAAAAGAAAAACTTCTAAAGTTGGACAATAAGAAGAACTTCCCACCCACTGTTGCAAGCCTGGGTACCACCCACTGGCTGGATCTAAGATAATATGTCTTCCAAGACAAAGAAAATTGTAAGTTGGCTTGTAATATACACTTCTAAAGGGCGTCTAGTTTAACTAATCTCGTTGCTAGGGAATGTCGGGGCATCCCTCTACCCTGCCTAACGGCAACAATGTAGAACTCGATAGCATCGCTTCAATTAGTGTAAGTATATATACGTCCACATTTTACAGCGGCCAGCTTAAGATCTCATATTCTAGTAACTTTTTTATAAGTATTTTCATTTGCTAATGGGATTTCGCAATTTTTAGGCGACGCTAGCAGACGTACAAGACCGAATGCGCCGCTACCATCGCAGGAGCCGTCGTGTCCGATTTTCTAATGGCGACGGGATAGAAAGCATCGAAGTCCTCGTAAAGTTCATCGCCTCCACTCAGAAGTGTCTAGAGGCCCACTGCGAACAGCTGGAGAACATTCGCTCCTATATGCAGGACAAAAATCTCGATATCGTCAGTGATCATATGGGAGCAGTGAACAAGCACATTGTCGCTATAAAAGGGCAGATGGAAGAGTCGGTGCGAGTTGCGTCACTGCTTCAAGTGCGCCTTGAACTCCTACAGAATGACCACATCCAGCTTGTACAGGCCAACCAGAGGAATGCTAAGAAAGCCTTGCCAAGTACGCAGGATGAGGAGGAGCCCCGCGAAGCGCCCCGGGAAGAGCCCCGAGAGGAGCCGAGAAGAACAGTGGAGTATAAGGAATATTTCGTAAGACTCGAAAAGTCCCCCCTATTATGTTACTATACTGACAAAAGATAGATGCGAATTCTCCGCATCGTCGCGCTCTTATTTATGACTTACCTAGGCTACCGCGACGTAATATTTTATGAGGAGGAATAAGAACAGGATGTCATTTTAATATCGTATTGGTGTAAGAGGGCTTAGAGTTTGTTGCCTACAACTCATGGAGTCTGGTAGTCTTCTAGAGATCCCAGTGATACGAATAGGTACCGAAAACTGTCAGATAGGTAGTCTATCCATGTCAAGTGACCTAAACTTTTTCTTTTCTCGCAATTACCTTCTTCTCACGATCTCAAGACAATCAATCAGATCATCAGTAATTTCATCAATACTGCCTCCTTTGACGTCTTACTCGGTACACTTCGGCTACGTCACAATATAATTAGGCTATTGATGTTCTTCAATATAATCTAAGAAGGGTCTAGATTGCGTTCCTTAACACCTAGGATATGAGACAACTTTTCCTATTGGGCTCCCTAGCTAATACGCACAGAATAGTTGTGCCGTGTTCATATAGGGTTGATCAACGTTATTTTTCGAGACGGTATGCAATGCAAGTCTGACCTACCTAGACTTGACTCCTGGACTATGTTAGGTCTGATGGCTGAAGCATAGCATATTTTGAAGCTACATCTTATATACCTAATCAGAACGAGAGGGAATTCACTTTGAAGTCAACCATGACTCCCAAAGGCATGTTTGGTCTATACGTGGGGTGTAGGGGCTACGCCATGAGCGGCTGGATGTATAGGGGGAGACGATCGCTGTACTTTATAAGAGTTCTGCCGGTATTCGGTCGAGATTAGCGCCTGCAGACCGGTTTCTCGCTCTACTCTTGCATGCATTTCGGCCTCCTTGGGTCCCAGCAAAGGTTCATCGCGCTACATGATGACTGTATCATATAGGCCTCAAGGTGGTCCATATTTTGCATCTGGCATCTGGTATGGTCGTCGTGATGTGGTAGACCGCTAACATTGGCCAGACATTGACGCTAATAGCCTACGGCGAACTTAGAAGGTACTACTTGGTGAGTTACTCGCAAAGTCTTGCACTCTAGAAGACGTAGTTTCTCTATAAAGCCCCTGGAGGTCTCCCTAACCCTCGAGCCAAAGACAAAAGAAACTCAGGGACACTACCGACTTTCTAAATATCTATTGCTTTATTAGTTCTCTTACTTTTACTGCAAGACCCAGTCTTTTACCCTCCATCTTCCAACATAATGGAGTCTATCGGATATGCCCTTGCTACGGCAGACTCTGAGGAATTTCATTCATTCTGAGATCAAGGCTACGGATAACAAGGTCACCAACTCGAAAGAAGCTGCGGAGGCCAAGAATGCCGTCAACAGTACGGTTTCTCTGGTTGATAGCACCTTAGCTAAGCTACGCTCTATCCCAAGTCCGAATGGACCTAAATCGAGAATCAAACGTGATCCCTCCGGATCCTTTTTGGGGTTCAACCGTACCCTTAAAGCATTGCGAGAACCTCCAGCCCTTAGAGCTTCCAACGAAGTTACCCTTCGAAGTGCCGGGCTTCCACCCAATGCGCAGGCGTTGATCACCACTATGTCTGCTGATAAGAAAAGTGGCCTTGGTAGTCAGGTTCAGAGTCTGAATGATATGGCTATCTCTATCGAGCCCATTGTCGATAACTTCGACGCCGTCTTGGTGAGTTGAGACCTACCACCTTGGCGGCTAATTTCTGCTGACTAAATTGAATCGCCAGACCAAGCCATACTTAGACCAGTTCTCTGCTACGCTAAACACTGTCCCTGTCATTGGTTTGAAGAATAACCAGATCATGTATCTGGAAACCCAGCCAGATCCTTTGGCAAAGTCTGGAACCAAGGATGTCTGGACATTCTTTAGCGCCTTCCCTACCGATGCCAAAGTGTCGGCCGAGTCTAACATCCACTTCTTTCCCTACAAAGGTGACTTCTGTCTTTCGGTGGGAAAGGCGGTTTGGCGGAAGAGACATCGATCACCCGATGACCCTATCCTTAAGGAGTCGGTTGGTAACTGGCCCAAGATGTTTTTGGATGATTGGGAGAGTATTGGTGACAGTGCATTCCCCGCGGATAATCTTCGAGACGTGATTCCCTTTGCTGTGCTTTCCGCCGACAGGACCGAAATCGGTTTCAACCTCTTGATCCTTAATCGGGACAACTCTATTCAGTATCTAGCTAAGGATGATATCTATCCGTCCAACACATGGAATGCCATTTCGTATTCGAAGAAAGGAAGCGCTCCGAATGCGCCGCCAACGTGGTCTCGGATGGCTTACTGGAACAACAGCGTCGTGGCTCTCGACGACCAGAGCAACACTTGGAGTTTGAAGGTCGACTTCGAAGCGGGCACGTATACCATAGCAGATCAGACGCTCATTGAATCCACATCCGAGTTCACGGCAACGGATCTTGGACCTGTCACCGTGCGATCCGACGGCTACCTGTACAAGAGATACCTCCAGGACCCTCCATCGGACGGTTCGGAACCTACAGTACAGTGGTCCAAGTGGGTTCTTCAGGACGGTGTCACCCGTCTCGGCGTTGCGTCGCCAGGCGTGCTGTTGAGTCTCCAAGTTTTGACCCGCACGCTGAAGGCAAGGTAGGTACATCGTCCGGTAGTGCGACTTTGCGACTGTCAGCTCATCAGGAATATCAATGCCTTGCTTGTTCAAGACATCCAGGTAGGTGAGAGCAGCCCCGGAAATCTCAGCGGTGACGCTCAGCGCAGCATCGATGGAAGAAGTGTCCTCGAGGATTTCCGAGCACAGCATCATAGCTGTTACATCATCCATGGTGCCTAGGGTGTTAGCTTGGTCGCCCATCCTCCCCCAGAACATGTTTAGAACGCCATATAGGCTATCTAGCTCTGTAAAGTTCGCGACCACCGAAGAAAGTTGCGAAATGGCTGTGTTGGTGACATCAATCTGCGATTTCGTCTGAGATACCTGCCTGGCTAGCTCCGTTACCTTGATGGACAAGGCTAACATGGTGACGAGACCTCCGATGAAAAGGAAGCCGGCACCGGCAATGGCTAAGACACTGCCGACTCCAGTGGCGAATAGCATCACAAGGACAACCAACCCTAACATATTAAAGGTAAGCTAAGAGACACGATAGGAAGGGAGTTGGTAGTCGTTAGGAGCTAGTCCGATGAGAGACAAGCTTATACGTACCGAATAACGTCGCTGCCAGCGAGCCCCAAAATGCAGCTCTGAGCTCATCTAGTGCATCTTCTTGGACCTTAAGCGTGTTCTGTAGAGCCGACAACTTATCCTTGAGTAGCTGCAACTGAATTACGAGCTGAGACTTGACGTCGTGGAGCTGAGCAGTCATGATGTTGACAGCATCCTTAGTATTCAGGATGGACGTGTTCAAGACCTTTGACCACTGCTTGGCATGGCTGACGAAGCTTTTGCCAGACTTGATAGCTTGCTCTCTTTTCTCATCATCCGGCGCCGAGGCCCAATCATTGGCAGTCTTCTTGAGCTGGTCCAGGTAGAATTTGTGGGTGACCGCAAAGGCATTGATATTATTCACGACGGGGTATAATGTGGTTTGCGTTTCGAAGTTGGCCAAGACTGTTTCCATTCCAACCGTTGACAATCTGGACGCTCTCTTCCACGCCACCGTTGAATCTGCCCAAGAAGCTCTTTCTCATGGCAAACTCGATGAGTACGAAAACCTCATGGAAGACGCGTTCAGCCTCGTGATGAGAAAGACAGACAGCCTAGTGCTGGATAGGATACTTTCCAGCATTTGGTACGATATCCCAGGCATTAGGAACGCCGCACCCCTTTTCAATAATTCTCTTCTGCGTAGGACGTCTCTTTCCAACATAACCGGAACTATTATTGGGATCGTCGGGTCCAGCGACCATACTGTTATTGAGAACTGCATGAAGACAGCAGCGCCTGTTGTGGTCGGCATGCTCTATAAGAACATGTACATGTGCCAGGGCATCCAAGGTCTCCTGGACCGTTACAAAAAGGCCGACGGGGACAAAAAGGAGATTAACAAGCTCAAGGACACCCTCCTGGAGACAGCTATTGATAACTGCACCAAAGCCCAAACGTATGCTTCCCGGGCTAACAATGCTTTCAATGACGTGAACCACGTAGCCACAAACTACCAGAAAGATCTCGAACGCGATATCAACTACTTGGAGGCCAGCGCGGCGTCGGCTACAGCTTCTGCTAACGAGCAGATGCAGGACATTGACGTTCCCTGGTATGTCTTGCTAGATGGTTTGACCGCCGTTCTCGCATACAAAGCGGAAAGAAAAGACGAAATACAGAGGGACCTGAACAAGCGGCTGCGGGAAATCAACAACTCCATCAACGGGCTCAAGGACCTCATATGGAGCGGGGCTATCATCGATGGTTATAACACCACCTGGATAGGGATGGCGCAGACGATCAGCAGCTGCCTAGGGGTGGTGTACAATCTCCTCAGCGCCATTCAAGGACAAGATATGGAAGATCCTACTTTGTATGAGTCGCTCCTTGATGTGGAATGGGCAAGGGTGCAGAAAGATAGCAACGAGATCCTTGACATCCTTGCCAGCAGGGGCATAGACACCAGCCCGCCCAGAGACGTAGAAAAGTCTCAATCCGTGGCTCTAGTGGTGCAAAGGAGACCCCTAATTACCCTCACATCGGACATCGAGGCCAGGGTAGTAGAAGCACTCACCGCGCCAGGCAAGCTTGACACAACCATGATGAGCCAGGCAGACGAGACGAAGAGCTTCTTCGCCGAAATGGAGAAGCTTTTGCAGTCGCCGTATCTTTCAAGCATTGTGGGATACTGGGACGCCGATCAAATCGAGAAGTCTTCCCTCCTCGACGTTCTCAGCCGTCTGCGGCGCCAGTACGTCGACATGATGTCCAATGAGTACCCGGCAGTCCACAGCCTGTACACCACCTCGCTGCTCCAGGAGACGCGCGCTCAGAATGTCAAGGATGGGAAGCTGCGCATCGATATCTTCGTGTCGTCCAGCTTGCAGTCAGCGCGCCTCGGCCAGAATGCCGCGAGCACCGCAGCCGATAAGTTCCGGGTATCATCGGCGGACTACGCCTTCGCCCTCGAGCAGGTACAGGCCAACCTGGACCAGATCAAGACGAAGCTGGAAGAGATCGACCAAAAAATCGACAAGCTCAAGGACAAGGAGCGCAACCTTGTTATCAGCCTTATCGCTGACGTTGTCGCGCTGGCGTTTGCGACCGCCTCTTACCTCGCTAGCTTCGGCTTCCTCGCCCCTGTGGCCACCGCGCTTAACACCGCGCAGGCCCTAGGCCTGGGTGCGACGTCCACAGCTGAGACTATCAAGGGCGTCATTGATGGCTTGAAGCTGGCGGATATTGAGGTACTCATCGGTGTTCTTCAGAGCACAAAGAGGGACTTGAACGCGTCGTACGAGGGCCTCAGAACTATTCGTCCACTCTTCAATAACGTGCTTGACGCCGCAGAGGGGATGGAGAGTATCGTGACAAAGATGGCGGATAGGCTTGAAGTTATACTCAGCGACGTGGAATTGCTGAAGCAGGTCGAGTTGTCTGGAGAGCATGTTGAGGCAATCGGTAAAGCTTGGGCGGATGTTAAGGACGGCTGCACTGTCTGGATGGATGTTATCAATGCCCAGGGAATTGACCCTGCTACTCTCTGAATCGCGCTGGCCGAAAAGGTTTACAAGATGAGATGGTAATTTGAAATGAAAACCCCTTTCCCTCATTACTTATGATCTAGCTTCTTGGGAGGTCAAATACAATCGATTTACTGCGTAGCAGTACTTAGGTAGTTAGCAATGCACTCCGGTCATCAGTCATCTTGAAAAAGTAGAACTATGTAATAGCTCTCTGGTCTAGCGTATGCCCAATAGAGCCTTCTCTGATGCCCTCATCCTTGCTGACCCACCTCAATCTCCACGTCTCCGTCTGAGAAGGGGATTCTTTCCTTTTGAAGCCGTATGATATGATGTTCCTCTGAGACAACGAGCCTTCGCCAGACTTCGGTCAGGCTAAAAGCTGATTTTACAATCTGCTCTAGCTGATATCGACTGGGATCAAGAACGAGGACTCTATGCTACTAGGGCAAACCGGTGTTAGCTCACGATATGACATTAGCTTGCTCTTTGAAGCATAAGAGGGGATGTGAGCGGATGAGGCCCGGCATAGTTCGGAGCGGCATGGGTAGATATTCCGTGTTCTCGGCGGTTCGAGGTCCGTTTGAAAGAAACGGTTGTCCGGCCCCACTGCCAAAGTGTTTAAGAAAAGGCGGTTCGGTCCGGCAGGACCTGGATGAGTCAGCGGATACACCTTAAAAGCTTATGTAAGTTGATGTCAATAGTGTCTTACGTAAGTAGGTAAGTTTAAGCTTATAACTAGGTTGATAAGCAGATAAGAACGGACCAGGTGGGGACTTGTGGATTCATCACCGAACAGCCAAAGTGTTGATGCTGATGCGTGCGTGCAGTCTTACAACATTAAAGAAGGTACAACAAATACTCCATCATCCATATTCTATTCTACACAAATCCTCGTACTGCCCAACAGATCAGATCGATAAATTTGGAAGGATGGATCCCGGACGACGTGCTATGATTTATAGCCGTAAGTCACCCCCTCGCCGCGATATTACATCTCCTAGACGAGATCTCAATAATAGAATCACCAAGTCATCGCGACCGACCCAGAACAAACCGACGAATTCTACCACCCAAAATTGGCTTAGTCAAGATGAACAGTCTCAACAATTTGTTGCAGATGAGGACAAGTTCGTTTTAAAACAGGCCAAGAAGAAGGCAGATATTCGCGTTAGGGAAAGACGAGCAAAACCTATCGATCTCCTTGCATTCAATCTACGATATATCGATACGGACCGCGATGTCTTCGACGACGAAGATGCCGACGCTGATATCGATGTGCCTCCACCTGGCACCGTTATAGAAGGGCTGAAGGAGTCTGCTCTTGACGAACTCGATGCTGACATTACGCCGTACCTAACTCTTGAAACGAATAAAAGGAATCGAGAATACTGGAAGGCATTGCAGACGCTTTGCACCGATAGAAGACAGCGGCTTAAACCCATGGGTCCTGAGGAGCGTGTTGTCAATTCTGTCAGCGCCGACGTGGATAAAATACTTGGTCCTAAGAATCTCGAGCAGTTAGAGAAGCTAGAAGGCCAGATACAGGCCAAGCTGCGTTCGGATGAGGTCATGGACACCGATTACTGGGAGCAACTACTCAAGAGCTTACAAATTTTCAAAGCGAAAGCTAAGCTTAAGAACATCTGCGAGGAAATCAGAGAAAGCAGAATAAAGTTATTGGGGGACCAGGATCCTGAAAAGGCAAAAGAGCTCGCTGAATCCCAATCATCTGGGAGTATCGCTCATTCTGGATCAAAAGAGATAGTGACGACTTCTGCTCCGAAGTCAAAACCTAATACGGCTTTTGTCTCGGCGGCCAATAACCCGACCAGCGCACCACCTCCTGGTACTGCCAGATTCGCGACGAGCGAAAACGAAGACTTCTCTCAAGCTACCAAGGCTCTGTATGAGCGAGAAGTTGCTCGAGGGATTAGCGAGAACGAGGAGATATTCACAGCTGAAGAGACAGTTCCGAGTGGTACAAAACCGCAGTGGGCAGATAAATACAGGCCTCGTAAACCGCGGTATTTCAACCGAGTGCAGATGGGATACGAGTGGAACAAGTACAATCAGACGCATTATGACCACGATAACCCGCCTCCAAAAGTGGTTCAAGGTTATAAATTCAACATATTCTATCCTGATCTCATCGATAAGACGAAAGCGCCCACATTCAAGATCATTCGTGAGCACGGAAGGAGGAGAGGCGAATCTTTTGCGCCAGCAGGGGAAGAAGATACCTGCTTGATTCGTTTCATTGCCGGGCCACCGTATGAAGATATTGCCTTCCGCATTGTCGATCGGGAATGGGACTATAGCGCAAAGAAGGATCGCGGGTTTAAGAGCAGCTTCGACAAGGTATGTTATGTCACACTTCCTTTTAATTTGCCTACATAGTAGGTAGGCTTGTAGTGCTATGCCTCTATATCACGTGTCTGGAAATCACCGAACTGTGATAGCCGGACTTTTTAGGGGTGGCAAACGCTGGTTTTCCGGATTCTATTTGACGGCCTCTAATTTGCCTATCTCAAGCCACGGCTAGCATTATCGCATGGCGCGAGAGTTTCGAATTACTTCTCCTCGGCTCATGCACATTTCCACCCCTGCTGTTCTTGAACTACCCCCAGGAGAGACCGTATCTAATATATTGTGTCTAGGGAATTCTTCAACTTCATTTCCAGTTTAAGAAGGTACGTACCTTTATACTTGACCAGATCGTGATAAATACTGATATGTCACATAGATCTACTATCGGAAGTGAAGAACCCAGCCACCATCTGTCAACGGGTTCTCAATGGCAAACGCAAGCGATTCTACTACTTTAAGCCACTATACAATACAGTATGGGTTTGTACCAATCACCTAACCTAATATCATGGGACGATATTTTGGTATTATATGGGAATGGCATTGGCAAGTAACTTGCAAATATTCATTGCGTCGTGGAAATGCATCGGAGAAGTGCAAATCACCTTAGTCTCGGTAGCACAATGCACGGAGAGCTACCTTAACTCCCTAGCCTGGTTGCGTTATAAGGGTCTACGGTTAGAAGAAGGAATTCTATTTAGGGGGGTTATTAGAGACATATTAAGGGTAAAGAGACGGAGCTTTGGCCTGCTGTGAAGTTAACATTTATCCCCGTGAGGGTTCCACTGTCTGCTAAATTTAGAGTGAACGCATGGTGAATTATAAGTGAAAGTGAGGAATTAATTTAAAGGCCTCCTTGCCGACTTATCCATGGTCTTTACAGCCCGAGACACTCTTGTATGTTTTTTTATGAGCGAACGATCTAGGAACCCTTGCAAATTTAAAGCTTCGATCGAAATTCTAGAAGGGGTCGTTGCGATGACTTGCATGCGGCAGAGATGACTAGGGGGGTCTTCTTCAAGACAGTTTCAGGATCTTTTTAGTAAGGCTGCAAAGGCGATCCCGCCGGAGACAACGAGATTCAAATAATGATTGGTTCTATTTGGCGAATCTACTAATATTTACTCACGATGCAAGTATCCGGACGCGGGAAGAGAGCCCTAATTCCGCTGCTATTCTGCGCACAGTGTCTTCATGACGGCTTGCGTTGCCACCTACACAATACCATTATTTAGAAGTCGATTAATTAGAAGGTTATTTTTCTCTTTTCTTTTCCTACCTAATTTCGAAGTCAATATTAAATTCCCGACTTCGTCCCTGTTTCGTTAAGTTAGTCGTTGCGAATAGTAAATGCTTTAAGATAATATCTATTATAGATGTGTCATAGCTTGTTTAACTGGCTAATGCCCCTGACGCGCAACAAATCCCCGATAGCCACGCCCTGGACGACCTCTACATTAGACACACGAAACACAATTCCGTTTGCACAGGGATAAACACGCTGTATGCATGCAAATGTATGTAGTTATATGTATAGGAAGCACACATGCATACAAGTACGCACACATATGTGCTGACGCATACTAGATACGCATATATAATATACGAATACACGATTGTACGATATAGAGAAATAATTAGGATACATACAGACAGCACTTACATACCACAAAGCTCTTTAAGTCTCCGATCAAGCTAAGTTGTAACTGATGTAGACGAGAAGAAGGGGGGGGGAATAGTAATAAACATCAATCAGGAATTTCTAGAAATCCGGAGAAGAGTTTACCGGCGAAGAGGGCAGCCAGTGCCAGTGCGTTGGCAGGTTACAGATCAGTTCAGAACATCTTCAATAGCCTTGTCATCGTCTGGCCTACAATAGCCACAATAGCCCGGTGTTGTGGGAGCGCAAAGTTGCCTTGACCGGCGCCCCATTTCGGTCTATTTCAATCTTTGCCCAACTACCCAGGTGGTTCTAGCTCCAAAGACTTTTTACTCTGAAATTTATTTTATTTATTTAACGCTCATTTGACAGGAAGACAGAGCAGTTTACACCGTTAGGGACCCACCCACGTCACTGATCCTTTTTTGCATTGGCCAGCTCAACTTTGAACTAGGGTCTTGTGAGCTCTCCTCCTTCCTTGTCGACGAGCTAGTAGCAGGTACGTACCCCTTTTTCCTAGATTAGAGGGACGACTAGGGCTTTCCAATTCATCTCTACTTCCTCTCTACATCTCGTCTACGGATGCAAGTACCAACTTGCATACATGTAGGTACCAGAGTACATGTCCTAGGTAACCAGCCAGGTGCCACCGCCTGGGATCTACTGGATTACTGGATTATCTGTACAGGTAGCCCAGGTAGCTACTAGGATCCATATGGGTCCGTCATTAAGTACCTAGGAATACCTAACATACATAATTCTTAATCTCATGTTGATGAGAGGGTACGATTTCCCACCCCAGACCTACTACCCTCCTTCCTAGTACCGTACCCATTTACGTACCTCTACGTATGTACTGTACCTCTATCTCTCTACATCTAGTACGTACATATGTACCTACATTGACTTCCAAAGTGCCCATTCATCTTGCACAGCATTGAGTTCCATACTCCATACAACCTCCATACAGCATCCATACATCATTCCTTCAACTCGTCTGCATAGCAAGAAAATTTAACAACAACCTTACACTTTACTTATACGCATACTTACATACCTCCCAAGGTACGCACTTAAACAAATATCTACCTACGTACCTCTTCCATCTCCTCACATAGCATCAAGTTTCCTTCTCTTACCTCCTACTCATTATCCTTCTCACATCATCTATACTCAAGTCTGTAATCCATCTGGAAAGCGTACTTACGTTCGACCCGTATTCGCCTCTCCTACAACGCCTACTTTGGTTTGTTTCTTGTTTCGTTGGTGATCGCGGCGCCGTGAGCCAAGTCTGACTTTCTTAGTCGACAGCGTCTTGGACTCGCCGGAATGCAACAAAGATTCCCTGACGGCTTGCCCGTCAACTGCTTACCGTCTTGCAATCCAGCAACTAATCAAAGACGAAACTGCGCAACACAATCAACCGGTAACTCGGCGGATCTTCCCAGTGCAGACTCCTACTATATTCCCTCTCCGGCTCCACAGGTTGCGGAAGTAGGCCACCACGCCCAACCGCAGCCCCCATCTTCCGCTTTATTCCCCATGACAATCAATACGTCAATTCCGGCCTACCAGCACTCCCAGATTCACTCAGCTAGTTCCTCACCACAGGGTGTATGGCCAACACCACCTTCTACTACTTGTGAAGAAGAGTTCGATAATTATTCCTATCAAGGTTCACCTACGAGTGGTGCTCGCGGTACTCAGCCCCTTGCGTCTTGCTCAGGACACTCTTCAGTTGCCAGTCCAAGGAGCTGGTCGCCCCAAGAAGCCCAGCACATTAACATCCACCAGACTTTCCTTAAGGAATCAGATCATATGTCCGCTTATAACTTCAGAGCCTGCCCCCAGTTGCATCATGAGCATCAGCTCCACCCCCAGATGGCTACATCCGCGTATGATAATACCAGCTTTGCTTCAGTCGACCTAGCTACAAGTACTATGACACAACCCGAGGTGTCATCCATTAACGGCAGCCACCAGGAGCCTAACCCGGCTGCTGTAGTCCAAAGCGAATCACCTCAGGCAGAACATGGACTAGACACATCATACAGCTCCTATAGTCAAGATGAAACTTCACAAAATGTCGGCCAGGGGCTCGAGGAGAACGAGCAAGAGTCAGAGAAGGCAGATGGCCCTTATGCGCAACTAATCCATCAGGCTTTCATGAGCCGGCAGACACGCGCGATGACGCTACAGGAGATCTATCAGTGGTTTCGTGAGAATACGGACAAGGAAAAGACGGACAAGGGGAATAAACGCAATGGGTGGCAAAATAGTATCCGGCACAATCTCAGCATGAACCATGTAAGTTCCACCCCGATTTCCGCGCATGATACTATGAGGGCACGTATCTACATAAGTATAATCTTGCTTCTGGTGACAATCTCTACGAGATTTTAATTACTGGCTGGATTTGTGACTAACTAATCCTTTTCAACAAAAAAGGCTTTTGTCAGACGCGAACGAAAAGCGAGTTCCGATGACCCTCTAAATGGGTCAGGAGAGGCAAAAAAGATATCACAATGGGTTCTAGAGGAATGGGCCGTAAATGGCGTACAAAGTACAACGCGCTACCGCAGCAAGGGTACTTCTAATCGTCGCGCCAAATCCAGAAACGCCTCGCGGACGAACGCCCATGCTTCAGCGCGCGCCATGTCCGGCCGCAAGGGCGGGAAGAAGGCGGCAGCAAGCAAGAGGGCGATTCTAGGCCGACAAAACCCGGGCCCTATATTCACAACAAGCGGCAGCGGTAGCAACCTTCAGGGACCAATGCAAAATGTCGTCTACGAGGGGATGCAGTATTCTCTTCCTACCCATACAAGAGACGAGCCGATGACACCCCCCGATCCTAGTCACGAGAGCATGATGTTAGCATCGAATACAATGCAATCGATGGTATTGCCGACGAATAATGCAAATCATGAATTCTCCTTCGCGCCTAACGTTCCTCAGTACAGCCAGGCCGGCCACCCTAATATGTACGCTCTTGAGAACGTAACGGGGCTATACCAAGGCCACCAAGCACCTATGAACGTACAGGGGGGCCAAGGACTGTCAACAACTATGCATACTGATTTCAACCCCATATTCGAAGACCCTGACGACAACCGCAACAATAGGCTTTCGTATTCTTATTGGAGCCAGCCGGTACCAGGTGGTCAATTCCAGCCATAGTAACGCTGATTTCCAACAAAAGACCGGTCCTAGTTGTGGAATTAGTGTTTGTAACATTTCTATTGGGCCGCTGACACTGATCTCAGGGGAAAGTAAAGGAGGAAAAATGAAGTTAAACTAGGATAAGGATTGGAATATGGTCCAACCTTTATTTTGGCGCGGAAAAGCAATATTCTTGGGCACAACGCCACAGCCTTGTTACCTCTTATTAGAGGTCACCCTATGCCATCTACCACACGTGGAAAGAAGGGAGAAGTTACTTGTACAACTTCTTCTGGCGTATTACACATAACTACGAATACTACAGACAAGCTTAAATCGATATACCATTATCGCAGAAGCGAATGCGAACTGTAATCCGAAATGTCCCTAGTTGCGCCTCTACGGATCTCCGAGTTCGATGCCTACCAATCATTTTGCGACTACATGATACGGACCGATCCTAAGCATTCAAAAGGCTATAGCTACAGTTTTGGTACCAAACAAAACGAAACATTATACTCGGAACTAGGCATGAATGCGGACGGTTTATGGCACGGGACAATACCATCGCGAATGGTATTGCGCATGAATTACCCACCAGCCAGACAGAGCTTTTTAAGGGTCGCCAGTTACCCTTCTGCTTTCCGATTTTCTTTTCTCTAGACGCCTCTTGCCATAGGATCGTTGGCATATGGTTTATATCATCCGCGGTGCCTTTTGTTTTCAATATTTCCGTTGCATACCTCGTTGCATTTCATTTTTCATTTTGTACACCAGAAGGACGCGCTTTTAACTTCACGATTCATGTTTCCGCATGAGGGCATGAGACATTAGGATGGGAGGAAGCAGTGTCAGTTAAAAAAAGATTTTCTACGAAATAGCTAGAGAGGTGCGCGGTGTTAGGGGGCCGGGCAACTGGAACGCGAATACCACACGTCAATTGTTTTCACGCCTCGAGATTCTTTACGACCGGTTGTGATCAGGTCTCAATGTATCATCACACCAGGGACATAGGGGACAGTCTGGGGGGTGCGTTTTTCAGAGGGCACATGGGGAATTCCTGCTGCGTTGCGTTGCGTTGCGTTGTGTGCTAGGATTGGTAGCATGGTATGGTGCGTTAAGCGCTGAGCCACATACACCGATCTGGCCTAGGCTAGTCAGTCATGGCAAGGGGAGGGGGGATGATGAGATGGATGAGATGGGAGGTACGAAGTGCTAAAGCTGCGTGTGCCTATTCTGTATCGTTGTGCTACCTAGATTTAGTACGCGATAGTACTCCAACAAATCCAAGCCACTTAAGTTTCTATTTTGATGCGCCTTTCTTTCGTGTGTGCCCGGATTTTTCTTTCATTTCTGCATATTCTACAGTCGTCCCCTGCTATTGGCCAGTTCGAGTGCAGCCCATCTAAACTAGGTTAAGCGGCTCCTCCCTTACCCAGACTGCCGGGACGAGATCGACAGCGTTGGTGAGGGGGTGCTCGGGGTCTCAGACCAATGCCCTAACCGTTCTTCATGCCCTGGCCTGGCCTGGCCTGGCCTGTTCCACTCTTGGTTTTTACCTGGTTAAGTCATGTCAGGTTAGGGTTGACCCGCATTTGATTGAGATACTACCGCCATCTGACTACTTATGGAACACTAGGTATCCTGGATCAACGTAACGGGTCGGGGGTTGCAGATCGGATAGTGGTAGTGGTAGGTACATGATGTACATAGCTTAATTTTGGGGGGGGGGGGGCTTTTCCGTAAATGATGCGGTAGGGGTATGTATCCTCGTTGGGGCCGTCGGCACTAGGGGGGTTGTTTAGTATGTCGTGTACTGTTAGGTAGAATATAATTGCATTGTCGAGTTTTATGTAGTTGATATGATCGTGATTAGTTGAGAATGACAATATACGAAAGGACGTAAAGTCACTGGAGTCTACACGACAACTCTGTCTAGCAGTACTTGATATAACTAGTAATAATAATAGTGTAAGTCTACGAGTAATTTAGGTAGCACATTTCAAAATTCCTAAGCACTTATCGCCCTTCGCGGCTATTCTTACTTACATGTACCAACGAGCAAGTAATCCCGACGATTTCTTCGATAATACGAGACCATAGATCACCGCGTTCCATGTGGTCAGTTAGTCAGTCGACCAGTCAGTCAGTCACGGCGCTAATCGCGTGTAATAGAGCGAAATACATTTCACTAACCAACAAGTCTATCTAGGTAGGTACCTTAAAAAGGTATCTACTCCATGAATTACTCCCGGGAATTCAATTGTAAGATTAATTACTGGAACGTGCTAACGACGACCAGGTCTACAAAGAAATATCTAGAAGTCGGGAGTAAAATTAGGTTAGGTAGGAGACGAGGGTTGGTTTGGCTTCTTCATGGAGGACTGGCTGGCTGACTGACTGGCTGACTGGCTGGCTGGCTTAGGCTCGCGTGTTTGTGGTGTTAGTCTGGTGGCTAGGTGAGGGTTGTCGCGTGTCTGGCCGTGGGGAGGGTAGGTTAGGTACGGTACCTAGGTAATAACTAACTATTTTGTTTCTGGGGTGGAGATGAGATGGTTTATAGGTTAGGCGCTTAGATTGGAGGAATCGAATTAGACTAAGATACGGCACTTGATCGTGATACTAGTTTCTTCAGACTACTTTCCATTTCTCATCTTCCAGTTGGGTCTAAGTATAATGTAATGTGTAGGTACTGGATAGGTACTTGAACATCAGATGCCAGTACAACACCTAGTGGCTAACTGTACATACATCAGGTTAGGTTAGGTTAGGTATTTTTCCGTCACGGACGCTTCTCCATAGTAGGGTACACTCTACTCTAGATGGCGGATCCGCCGTCCAGAGGGCGTACAGGGAAAATCCCCTACGCCCTAATATTCCACGAGGTGCTCCTCGCGGCCCTCATTTGTAGCGGCGCACAAAACTCCACTTGGGCCCGCAGCATGCTCCGGGCCAATGGCAGGTAGTCGTCTCGCTGTTAAGAAACGGGTGAGTTGGGATATATCGTACTGTAGAGGTAGGTAATTCGGTTACACGCTAGTCGGGAAATATTTTGTACGTAGAAATATCCGCGGTCTGTCCTTGCTAGGTACCTGACTTAGTGAGTTTGTATGGTAGGATCCGCGTTCTAGACGGTCATGTTGAGAACAACAAAAAAATAAGCTATTGGGCGATTGTATATCTGCCTCGTGACAAGGGACGTCTTGCCGCCGTTTTGGAAGGCGTTTTTTGTGCGCTAGGTTAGGTACCTAGGATAGACACGAGACACGGTGCTTGATTTTAAGGGGCACAGTAAGTATTTACATAAGTGCCTCTCTAATGTATAGTGCTAGGTATAACCTGCTCCTAACTACATATACACTAGACCTAGACAGAACCTAGGCTGCTCGCCCCTAATACACAGGGCTATCCCAAGTCTTTGGTCCCATCTGAAGCCCACCACTCTCGAAAGAAATGATTTGAAAAGAGGGGCAGGAAGGCTAGAATCTGGTTCGGAGGATGGAGAATTCAAGTCGGATGGATGGATAGATAGATAGATAGATAGAGCGAGTAGGAGAAAATGCCTCAAATCCGTCATGCTGCCGCTCCCGACCCCATCTTCGTTCATCTACACGGTGGGTTTCGGTGGAGGCGTGCTGGGAAGAGGTGCGTAGCACGATGAGCATGGGGAAGTCAAAAGAGCCCTATTGCTCATATGCTTTGTACATATCCCGTTACTGACGCCGCTATGTGTAAGTAGTATGGATGGATGTATAGTACAGCTACGCACGAAGTCAACCTCACCAAGTTAATACGTATATGTCGTAACGAAGTTAAGTCCAAGTGGGACACTTAATTTCTGCCGTACATACAGTGTGTAACGACAGGCTGTGCGTCTACCATGTAATAGATGTAGTCAACTTTCTGCCTCGTCGCATGCCCATCCCATCATCTCTTGACGTTCTCCCCTCATAGCATAGCTAGCTATGCTATACCGAGTTCCTGAGCGGGTTACCCACTTGGTTCGACCGGGCTGTGTGACATAGTATGTATGTGTTTAAGGCTGTCCGTCTATCCGTCTGTATCTCTGTATACCATGTATTACTACGCTGAGAGGAGAAGAAACTACCTAATTGGCGCAGTCACCTGTAGCTGCTATACTAGGTATACTATACTATACTTACATACCACCTAACGCAAAACACAAACGGCTGCTGCGGTGAACCCGTGCCACGGCTTCTTCTAGGGTCATCCATCTACTTACCCTCGTGCTTCTCTCCCATCAGCCAGTAGGTATTTACCTACCGTCTCCGCCTTTTGCGGCCACTTTTCAGTTGGACATGATTTCTAAGAAGAGAGGATCGGGGGCCGTATCACCGCCTTTCTTGTAGGTAACCCTCCCCCTTTTCCCCAGAGTGGGACTGGAATCTCTCCACCTAGGTATACATGTTCGTGTACCTAGAGCCGGTGCGCTGTGAGCGGCTTGGAGCGGATTAAGTCGTCGTGGGACATGTTACGGGTGATACTACATACATACCTATCTACCTATCTACTACTGTTTCAGCAAGACCGCTAATTATATATGTATGTAGAGTAATTTGGGTACGAAATCTAGGTGTTGACTGCCTGCCGGGTCTATTTTTACATACCTACCTAGGTAGTTGCCGTTGGCCATTGGACGGGCCTGGCTGCGTGGCATTTGTACCTACCTTTGCGCGCGGGTGATGGAGAAGCTTATTCGATATCCACGCGCACGCTAGCAAAAATGACAGGTGCACAGACTGTGAGAGGCTAGTGGTAGGTAGGTAGGTAGGTAGGTAGGTATCGTGAGATTTTCTTTTCGGCCGGGGAAGAGTCCCGCGTTGGAACCGGGAACACTAGGTAAAGACTGACCTTCATATCTGACGGGAGCTAAGAAAGCCATAGGGAGGTATGTTGTGGTAGGTAGATTGATGGCATATTTAGTATCGTTGGGTTGTACAACTACGTACGAAGCTTTTATCTGTTTAACTACTACTACTTCTATCGTTACTTTGTAT